TCCACTTTCTCCTGAATATCTGCTGGGCGATTGGTTCTTGTTTTGTTTACCCCCATAGTTTCTTGTTGGTTCTTGTTCTTTCCGGCCATCTGATCTTCAGTATAGAACGAAGACAGTTGTTGATAAAGGTCTGCAACAGGCTGTTGGAAATATTCTTTGTGACCCGCCGCCAAGCTTCTGATGCGTATAGAAGAACTGACTGACTTGACGTTTGTATTGAAAATCCGAATTTCGTTGTTGAGTGTTGCTGAGTGACGAAGATTTCCAGATTGGTTTCAGGTTGGTGAATGTGTTTCTCGCCTTCCTGATTCTCGATTTGACATCTTCAGACTATAGGGACAGAAAAACAAATAAAGAAAACGCAGAACACACGGCAAATAAAATTTGAATTTGATGTATGTATACATGTATAAATATATATGTATACATTATCAATAATAATATGTGTAAGTGTAGTGTCAGGAGAGTAAAACGGGGGAGAATGTAAAGAAGTAAAACGACGATTTTAGTATTTATTTATTATTTATTTATTTAAACGCAGAAAAACTTGGTACAATATAGCACCAAGAAAGATGCGCCACACAATAATGATAAAACAACATAGATTAAAAGTAAAAATATAAGTAGGAAACGGATAAGGAACTTCATCTGGAAGGAAAACAGTCATGTTTAACAAGTTCAAACAGTATTCGTTAACTATCACCAGGAAGGGAAGAAAGAAGGAAATCGCAACACGTTCGCCATTGATTACGATTCTTGGCCATATCCGATAACGTTTCGAGCCATCGATTCGAGCTATCTCGCGGACTCCAACCAGGGAGTCGTGACACACCAACCGATGCTAATCTAGCCGGCGCACACCCGATATCTATGGTCGGCCTGAATTCGGGCTACCGATATCCATGCTGAAAATTCCATACTTGTACTGAAAATAGGGTGTGGAATCAAGCTGTAAATCAAAATAAAAAATAAAATAAAACAAATATCCTTCATCACACGACGCCATGTCATGGACTGACCACCCCCCCGCCTTTTCTATCCCGTCCCAGGGCTAGCGAACAGAAACCTGTACGGAAGCCTCTGGGATGACATTCGTAGCACATGTCCAAGCCACCGGAGCCGGTGTTTCCAGATGACGACACTCAACGAATGGTGATCTCCACTGTGTTCAAACACACGCCGCCGAACCTCAGAATTACTCACGTGGTGATGCCATCAAACTCAAACAATTTTGCGGAGACAGCGGTGATCGAACACGCAGAGTCGCCGCACATCCTCAGGTCGGAGAGGTCAGGTTTTACAGGCGTAGAGCAAGACAGCCCGCACCGAAGCATTGTATACCCGACCTTTGACAGCCAGGCTAACGTCGCGACAGCGCCAGAGGTGGCTCAAGTTGATGTATGCCACCCTAGCCTTGATGATGCGGTTGGAAATCTCATCCGTCACCCCTCCGCCAGCACTCACACAACTACCCAGATACACAAACTTATCAACAACTTCAAGTGGTTCACCCGCAAGAGTGAGTGCAGGTACAGGCTCCTGCCAATCTTGTAACAGTACTTTGCACTTAGACGGCGCAAAGCACATACCATACTTACAGACACTGATCGCCAACTGATTAAGTGCGATTTGGGCAGTCTGCATGCTATCGCACAGTAAGACGATATCGTCTGCATACTCGAGGTCGAAAAGTCTATCTCCAGGTAGCAGATCTACACCACCTTCACGCACATCCTTCAGAGCTGACTCCAGAATGTCATCGATGGCAAAGTTAAAGAGAAATGGAGAGATTGGGCAACCCTGTCTAACCCCACTGCTGGTTGGGAACAGTGATGATAGTTGGTTGCATGCCCTCACTCTACCTGAGGTGTTTCTGTGTAGGGCTTTCAAGATGTTAACAAATTTCTCAGGTACACCTCTCTCTAACAGACAGTCCCAGAGCACAGTTCTGTCCAACGAATCGAAGGCAGCATTAATATCAAGAAACACAACGATCGTTGGCCTGCAATACGTGTGGCGGTGTTCCAACAACTGACGAAGGGTGAACACATGATCAATGCATCCACGACCTGAACGAAACCCAGCCTGCTCTTCGCGAATCAATCCTTCACGTCTTTTGCACAGCCTGCGAAGCAAGACAGAAGCCAATAATTTAGACGCGACTGGTAGCAGACCGATACCCCTATGGTTGTCACACGAATTAAAGATAGGGACGATAATGCCTTCGTTGCACATTGATGGTACACCTTCAGTCTCCCATACCTTCCTGAACAATCCATTTAGAGCCATTGTGAGAGTCTCGCCACCATCTTTAAAAAGAGCCGGGGGTAAATTGTCTGGGCCGGGCGCCTTATGGCGTTTTAACACTTGGAGTTCCTTACGGACCTCCGCTTCGGTGAGTGGGTCACTGTTAACCGACCAAGGGGCACTGGGGCTAATGACAGCAGACATTGAAGCTGGTGGCCAGCTAAACTGTTTCCCGAAGTGCTCTGCCCAGCGTTCCAGGCGTCTTTCCAAGCTGGTAATTGGCGTGCCGTCTGCCTCACAGACCGTCTCCCTGACACCTTGTTTCTTGCTGCCGGTGGCTCGGATGAGTTGGAACAGCTTCCGACTGTTGCCAGATGCAGCAGCTGACTCCATCTTACCCGCACTTTCTGACCACCAGGCTTCGCGGTCCTTACGTAAACACTGTCTTATCTTGCGCGTCAGCACCTTTCGCTTATTGCTGTATTCGCTGTCAGCCGCAATGGACTGGTGTTCATCCAGGAGTTGCAAGGAACTCGCAGAAACCCAGTGGTTTTTGGCGGAGTATTCTTTCAAGCCGCAAGCGGCTACACTCGCTCTTTGCATGGCACCTTGCACATGAAGCCAATGTTCATCTATACTACTTGGGGGTTGCTGGCAAGCATTGACTGTAACTCATTCTGATATTTCAAACAAGTAGCAGGTGCTACTAGTTTGCTCACATCAACGTTTAGCAGACGCCTTTTATGAACCCCACCAAATCGCAAGACGAACTTGGCACGCACTAACGCGTGATCGGAGTCCAGGTATGTGCTCCAGAAGGAGCAACAGTCTTGTATGCATCCTCGCCACCGGAAACTGTCAGCAATGTGATCGATCTGAGTCCAAGCTTGGTTCGCAGAGGGAGGACGCCAGGTAGCGCTACGGTGATGGTTGTGCCGGAAGTTGGTGCTGGCCAGAAATAGGTTGTGATCCACGCAAAGCTGCAGAAGACGGTCCCCATTATCTGACCTGCTACCATGTAGTCCCCATTGACCACCTAGACTATTCTCCTCTGAGCTCAGACACCCGACCTGTGCATTCCACAGCTAGCAATACGATATCCCTCCGACCCGCCTGTTTCAACAGATCGCTCAGTTGGTAGTAAAACTCATCCTTCATTGCATCCGGGCTGCAATCCGTTGGTGCATAGGCAGAGACAACAAACAGACACCGCCTATCTGGCCTACTACTCCTTACTTTCGTATAACCCTCCAGCCTCATAGCACATAAACGACTGTTAATGGGAATCCAGTCAAGCAGTGCAGCTTCGGCTCTAGCGCTCAGTGCGACGCCGACACCAGCTACGCCAGATGCCGATGCCACAGGGTCCCCGGACAGGCGCAGGTGGTACATACTACTAGAACTTCCAGATGGAGAGGATAATCGAAGCGCTTTACTGGGATCTTGAATGCGAGTCTCCGAAATGCAGCAGACATCGATAGCGAGGCTTTCCAACGTTCTTACCAATCCTGCCTGTTGTCCGATTCGCATCAGCGTCCGAACATTGTAGGTGGCCAGCTTGAACGCGGCACGCGGTTTCAGGATATCTGTGTTAGATGTCACATTGGGACAACCATTTTGAGGGTTACTCACTAACATCTCGAAACGACACAGATAGGCTAGGAATCCAGGCAGAGGCGAAAGGCTGTCGAAGGTTAAGAAGTCAAGGTGAGCAAAGATAAAATACAGGAATCTAAGTATAAAAATAAAAGTAAGGTTGGAAGGACATAAGTTGCTTGAGGTATCATTATTTCTTGAAATCATTTTTGCGAGCGCGCGGTGAGTTTCCATAACAGTTTGTTGCTTCATTCCATTTATTGTGTGAGGGCTGAGATACTGCCCGGGCGCCCAGACCGAAGCAGGTGGTTTTCTTAAGGGACCACCCCCCGAGCCTTTGACTTGGAGTCTAACCCGCAAGGCAGCGGAGCAGCGTCAGGTGCTACGTTCCCATGACTGCCGGTGACCCATATGGGTTCATACGCCATTTGATCCGATTGGATTCTGGAGCCCATGTACCCCATGGTAACTGCTTCTAGTCTAACTGCTATCCAAACAACCTTCCTGACATGGTAAGACCTGCAGGGACATGAGTTCCAGCCAGTTTAGCTTGTTGGGTCACTGCGGCATTCAAGCCCGACCACCACGGCAAAGTAGCAGTTATCGGCCGGGACGATTTTAGTTGTCTACCCATGAATGTTATGTAGGATTTTAAAGGAATAGACCATTTGGCTGAAATCCTTGTGTCACTGCATGATTGTGTAGCCTTCACTTATAAGTGTCCACAGACAGTGCCGTAGCTGCATCTGCAGGTTAGGAGTTCCAGGGACAGTAACCCCGCAGTGAAAAGAAGGGGACCGCACCCGAGTCTTTGTCCTCTGGTGAGCTATCATTCTGGGATTTCCACGAGGAAGCTCATAACTACTCAGTGGCAGGACACCTTTGTTTGAGTGATTATGGTCATTCATTATATTGTAGGTAGTAATCAAATCCCCCCTAAGCCGGCTGTAGTTAAGTGTGAATAGGCCTAATTTCTTTAGCCTTTCATCATGTAAGATTAAGCAATAATAATGCATAATTGTTAATTAGCTCAAGTGCATTGAATCCAGTAAGAATTGCGAATGTTGCAGCTTTAATGTTTCTAACAACATCAATCATTTCATACCTTCAGTGACCTTTATCAGTACAAACTTTTGTTTAGTCGCATTGAATTAGTCAGATAGCGATAGTAACGCCTCAAACTGCATTTGAATTACAAATGGCTGTGGATGCTGTTCAAAATGTGGAAAATTATATTCGGGATATAGCTAAAGACAGGAAATGCCGATTTAGTGAAAACTTCTTAGATTTTGACAATTTACGCTCTGGTCGTGTCACAGGTATTTAATATGGTGTGCTTCAGTCTTTAAATATGACAGCAAGCCAATTTTTCAGAATCCTACGGAATCTCATTGGTGTCCCGCTTGAAAAACCTCAAGAAGATTTAATTCTTAGAAAATATGGAATTAATGGAAACAAAGATATAAACTGGAGGGAGTTTGTTCGCGCAGTGGAGGGGAAATTTGATGAAAACGATTTCTCGTTACCACCAGAGTTGAAGGTCCTTCATACAATAGAGTAATTTTGTGATGTTTACATTTACATAAGATCACCAAACGTAGGCACGAAGTCGTATCATCAGTTACCAGGAGATGAGAACTTTGATTATATACGACCGTTATTATCAAGAATTAATCAATTTATTGAACAGCAGGGCTACATAATACGGGAGTGTTACAGACAGTATGATACTCACAACATGGGGATAGTAACAGAAAGCCAGGTCTGTGGACGCATACCGTATTATGAAGTAATTTACAGTTTTTCAGGGGATTTCCAGGACCAAAAGATATTAGTGATGAGGAAATTATGGCGCTTGTTCAGCGTTACAGATCACTAACTAGCCCCGGATTTGTGGATTATATGGCTTTTGAAAGAGACCTCAGAATGGTTAACTCCAACGAGAAGCTTTCAATGGAGGGTATACCACCCACGGTATGGTTACAATTAAAATTTTTATATAGTGCATTTTGGAATGTATAACAAAATGTCGTCATCACTAACTATTTCTTATAAATTTTTGACATTAGCTTATTTCATTAATTGCGATAAATCCTAACCAGTGAACACCTACGGTTTGTCACCCTACTAAGTAATTCCAGAAAATCCATTATTGAGAGTTTTTGTAAGCCATACACTTCAATAGAAATCTTCACATACAGCTAAAGTTTCTTCGCGAAACTATGTGAAACTTGTATTCCCCCTGTCCTAAATATTATTATTAAAGTAAACGACTTTGATTAGTCAGTTTCCCTATCGTTTTGTGCGACATGTGTAAAAATTTCTTCTTATTCATTCCCGTAAATAGAAATTGTTGGTTTGCCAGTGTATGATCCCAAAGCCGACTAAGCTAATGGAGCCGATAAGTATTCAACTTTCCAGAAAAATGAAGAATGCCATAAAAGTGAGAGGAAAACTTTCCGTAACCATTCAAGCAGCTTGCATCTGAAGTACAGCTGCGCAACATTCGATCGCAGCTGGGTCCATGATTGACCATGATCTCTCACCACCTCCTCACCAGATGATCTCATCCATGTCACCCTCGCACCGGCAACCCACTCATCGCTTCCCATTTGGATTTCAGTTGAGAGCCTGGAACTGGTGGTAGACAAAGTCTTAACACGATTACGGTTAGCTCGTTTAACACTTTCAACCTCCCATCATCTTTGATGGAAACATAACTTTATCTATCCTTCAGAAAATGTATATAATTTTGATGTGGTTGTGTTCTCTGAGCTGGATGGTTTATGTGCGGGGCTTTCATCACCCTACTAGGTGACATACTTCAATTTGAAGTATGAAGATGTCATCTAGTAGGGTGATGAAAGCTTCGCACATAAACCATCCAGCTCAGAGAACACAATCACATCAAAATCATCCACCTGAGCTATAATCATATCTTATGTATGTACTACTGATTAGTTCATCAGATTCCACTTCAAGACTAAGATGTCGTCGATGCTGGAAGATATAAAAAGAAAAATGGCTTTCGGTTTTGGATGTCTGCATTCAAACTTGCGCATTCGACAAAGTAACATCAGCAATAGTGAGGTAAAGTGTGAAGTATTAGGTAACAAGGAAAAGCCATTCATTGACGTCGCAAAACTTCTACATTTCTAGTGGCTAGGACATGTGCTACACTTGTCAAGGCAACGCCATCCTAGAGAAATGCAGTCTGAAATAGGATCGAGTTGGAAATACATATGGGGTGGCATGTTCAAAACATAACATTACTACATCAGGTCAGTCATTGTTAGCTTCATGCACCTAGGCTGGTGTATACCAGTCGATTGAGAACCACTTAAATCCCCTAAATGAGATGGTTCAGATTTGTTTACAGTGACACAGATGCCTGTATTTCTTTTAACCTCCGTGACCCCATGAATATTCGCCAATCTTTACCTAACTGTCACATGCTTTGTTAGTTTCCACCCATTATGATTTTATTAAATTCCTTTTCTCTACTTCTATGTGGACCTTTACCAGGCGCTAAAACATCAACCCATGATTTTCCAAATAGAGTACTGTGTTGTTACTTAGTTCAGTCACTGTTAACATTGACATAAGCGGAGGGGTTTAGAAGAACTCAATTCAACAAGTTAAGCTTGTATTCTACTTCCGTCATTTATGAAAGATACTGAAAAGAAATTTGGAAAAATTATACATACAGATCAACCACTACCTGATAAACAGGCAGTTGTAAATAATTGTACCAATCGGCATTAATTACAAGCAAACTAAGTTTTAATTGACATATAGTATTAGTGCATAACATGAACATGAATGTCTTAGCTACAGATTACTTTTCATAAAACCAATACTTATTACACGTAGACCTATCCGCAAATCATTATGGAATTTTGCTCGGAAGCTAATCAGAAATGCATGAAACAGAATGATATTAGTAAAACTGAGAAAGATGTATCAAAGAGGAAATATCTTCATGAAGGTGTGATAAAGATGTTCGCAAATCAAATGATAGAAAGCGTATACATCTTCAGCAGTGTAAGAATCTTTCAGACATTTTAAAAAATAGTTTCAGCATCTCAAGGATGACAAAGAGGTTACAAAAATCCACTTCATGGTCCACTCACAAATTTGTTTCCCCTGATATCCTGCTAGCAGCATATTTAATTGGGGAAATAAGCTAAATTCACCAACCAGCAATAGGTTTAAAAAGTAGCTAGACGTAGTTAGGGATAAGAATAACTGGCCACTCAGTTTCAGTAAGTTTTTCAGGGAATTTTAGTATCTCTGATGCCTAAAAGTAGCCTGCAAAAGTAACACCAAGGCATAGCCTTTTGTACATTGATTTGTTTTGGTTGCTTTGAAATTTTGAGCCATATTTCTCTGTTCAATATTTTTTGCACAGACTGACAATGATTAGTCACTTTCTCACCTCATTTCTGTTTCAGTGTTTTACATGAAATAATATTTCCCGTCGTCAAGTAAACTGGAGACACTGTTTTCTTAGGAAAAAAGGAAAAGCGACAGCCAACTTGTCATGCATCCTTTTTTGACCTTCTGTATTGTGTGACAGTGATTTATGTTTTGATACAACTGCCTTATTCTTTTGAAAAGTTAACGTGATACATTGTCATGAACTGTAAATTCTTTGCAGTCGTTTATATTTCCGGACTACCTATTAATTTGTAAGTTTCAATAGGGGTAACTGCAGTAACTTAGAAACGTGTGCTTTCGTTTATATTACCTAAGAATAATGTATGCTGCACGCGTCAACGATTAATGTACCTGTTTTTTAATTCAACAAACAGCTTATCTTATTGGAAAGAGAAGCTACTCGCTTCCAGTTTTTATCCACAGTTTGTTTCATGTGATAGTTTTTGGATTTCCTGAGTCCTTCAGACTGTAGTAGCCTTATGTTTTCATAATTCTATGTAGTAACCGTTTAATAAATGCATGAATATGAAATTAAAAACTGGAGATTGCTATTTTACTGTCATATTTGTTGTGCTAGATAAGTTTAGAAAGCAGAAACCATGCTGCTTCATAAGAACAAATAGTTAAATTTTGCTCACATATATATCACGAGATAGAGAGAGACTTTTTAATTATCCTTCTCTTACAGAAAGAAAAAGAAACCGCGTATATCTATCGAAAGGAAGAATTGTATAATCCATCGATGAGTATGATTGTTGACCGGATAAAGTTTGCTGTACACAACCGCGGTATACGCGTAATGGAATTTTTTGTCGACTATGATAAACTTAGACACAATGAAGTGACAGAGCACCAGTTTATTTGCGCATTACTATCCGCCGTTGGCAAAGAAGCTCAACTAAGTCGTGGGGAGGTTCAGATGCTTGCAAATTACTATCGGTCGAAAAGAGACCCGCAAATGATTAACTATCGTGAATTCTGTAGAGAAATTGATTCACGTAAGTTGTAATATGACGTCGTGATTTTGGTTCACTGAAAAAAATAATGAATGAATAAAATAAAATGATGTCAGTTCATGATGAAATCCTCCAACCAAGCAAACAAAATTCCCTGCAAAACAAATACTTCAAAATTTATCTGACCATATTCAGGCAGTTACCTGGGGTTCTAGTGGGAATTTGTGACCGATACGGCACAGCAGGTTAAAGGTGAGGTAGTAACTCATCGGAGAAGACATTGGCTAGTGTTGGCGATATGTCACAAAAAGGTAGAAGTTTGAATTCATGGTCTGGTTCCCAGTGTTTTAGTGGTCTACGAGTTAGCTCGCCTTGTAACCGGAAGGTCGTGGGTTCGAACCCTGCTGGAGGGTGCGTACTGATGAAGAGCTGGTCCCACACTAGGACAAAGGAAATAGCTGTCCAGTACTTCCTGCAGGTTTTCCAATGGTTCTCTAACTGATGTCAGCTCATGATAAAGCCCTCCAACCAATCAAACACAATCTCTGAAAAACCAATACTTGAATAAACTTTCACCAGCTGATCAACACGGGACTGGATACTGCCTGGGAACTGAAGCCGACCGATTATAATTTAAGGCGCATCTTCTGTTGTTCATTTTTGTAAATCTACTCCCTCTTTTCATATAATATGAGAGACAATAATGCTTATTTTTAAAGTTCACTTAAAAATTCACACAAAATGAAAATTGGGGGTAGGAAGCTGATGTTTGCTTTATCTCTAAGAAGGTGGTCCATTGATAATGCCAACATTTAATTGTAAAAGAGACTTGATTGAAAAGTGTAACTCATTTTTATATGCAGTAGAAAAATAGCAACACGTGATTCTTTATATATGTGTAAAACTTGGGCACTGTGGTAGTAAGTAATTCCATATTAGTTTGTTTATTGGATGTATCACACAGTGAGTGAAACAGTATTAGTGTTTACTGGATGACAATGTTTCGAACAAAATTTATTGTGGTTCATAATCATATCAAATGTAATCACACGACTTCGAAACTTGAGTTTTATAGTTTAATTTGTCCTCTCCTATTTGTCGTCGTTGGCGTAGTAAAATTTTCCGGATATCTAGGACAGGTGTTGAATCATTCCTATTACATGTATTTGCAGTTGATTCGATAAACAAAGCTTCTGTTATCAATCTCTCCGTCCACCCTGTGACATTAGATTTTAAAACTGTCATCCTATCCCATCATATTGTATGGTTGTGTGTAACTGTATGTAATCCTATAGCTGATATACATAGCTGATATATTTATGGATAGGTGAGAAAACATAGCGATCGAAACGTTCACCCCCACCCCAAAAGTATAGTGGAGATATGCAGATGACACATTCACTGTACTCAGAACACAAGATATAGATAGATTTTTTGAACACATCAACTCGAAGGTAGAGGCAATTCAATTCACTTATGAATTGCAAAGTCAGGAAGGGGAACTTCCAGTGTTAGATTGCAGTGTGAAAAGGAAAGAAGATGGGAAGTTAAACACTAGTGTTTACAGGATACTTTCAATCATCCCATCCTATGTCAGTAAAAATAGGATTGGTGAAATATTTAAATGACAGAGCACAAAAACTAAGTAGTACCAAGGAAAATCTAAGACAGGAAGTGAGGCATATAAGAGAAGCCTTGAAACTTAATAAATTACACCGTTAAATTAGTCAGAAAGTATGTAAGGAGAAGTAAAAATAAAATAAATGATGACAGTAGTGGTAGTCGTAATAATAGTAGAGGTAATAGTAATGACGACATGAATGTCAGACATGCGCAAGACAACCCCAGCAATAATGAATCTAAATCATAAGTAGTAATTCCATACAAGGAAGGAACCTCGCAAGCCTTACGCAGAATTCTTAACAAGGCAGGAATAAAAGTGGCTGGTATTCAAACTGCTCACAAACTCAATTAGAAACAAACTTTGTCGGTTAAAGGATCAATCCTGTGGAGCCTTTAAAACAAAACAATTTAGCTTATCTAATACTCCGCTGCAATGATTGTTAGGTCAAACACATAGGTCAAAGTAGTAGAACAGGCGTAGTCAGACTAGCCGAACATAAAAACCTAGCAAAATGTAGATTGGTTGACCTGAATAAGATAAGAAATCTAGAGAACAGTTCAGCTATAGCACTCACTGCATGCAATTACACACAACCATACAATAGGATGGATGGGATAAGATGACAGTTTTAAAATCTAATGTCAGATGATGGAGGGAGATATTAATAACAGAAGCTTTGTTTATCGAATCAACTGCAAACACGTGTAATATGATTGTTTCAACACCTGTCCTAGATATCTGGAAAATTTTACTACGCCAACGACGACAAATAGGAGAGGACAAATTAAACTATAAAACTCAAGTTTCGAAGTCGTATGATTTTAATTGATGAAATGATTATGAACAGCAATAATTTTTATTCGAAACGTCATCCAGTAAATAATATTGTTTCACTCACTGTGTGATACATCCAATAAACAAGCTAATATGGAATTGCGTGTATCTTTAATCTCACATTTTAGGGTGAAACAATGCCAAAGAAAGAAGAAGCTATTCTTGCAGTCTGATAAATAATTAGTAGGGCTTTGTGAGTTGAGCAAATCTACTCAACGAAAATAAAATATTGTTTGCTACAGGACTAGCTATTTGCTAGTGACTAATCATGGGCAATGAGATGCTATCTAAGGTACACCTCACCATAAATCCCCGAAATTAGTGAACAATTAGGTATGTAGCATCGTCTCTTAGTGACTTAATGAAAACCAAAAAAGATTTTCTTAGTTGAAAATTCCCTTCGAATTAATCCTTCCTTGTGTGCCTCTCAATTTACCGTTTATTTCGTCATTTAAAAACCCTTTGAGTACTTTTCAAGCCTAGTGAAACATTATCCATATTTTATGTGAAGACTCTTTCGGTGATTATGACCAAGTTGTCATTGGTGCCTAGTGCGAAGAAGCACATGTGACAGATTTCACTTAGATATCCTCTAAATCAGGCATTCTTCTATGTAATTGCCTTCACACTTACATGAATCTCGAAGGGCTTTATCTCCAAATTATAACTGTAGATATTTTGGTGTTATATTTATAAGGAATGAACCCGAGGAAAGGCTTATTTCGTTTAAAAAACACTGCTTAGTCATTTTATGAAATTTAAGCCTTATTTACTATTTATTTATTTTCTATAATTCATCTGTTTGCACGATTAGTCTGTTGATTTTTCTTGCCATCAGCTCAGATATTTTTAGCTGTACGCCATATACTACTTACAAGTTTCAAGTAGTTGAATAATATTTTTGACTCCCAGTCAATTCTAAGAAAAATTTATAGGGAATAATAATATTTCCGGAAATTTGACCACTTCGTAGTCAGTTAATGACTACAGCTTATGGGCTTTGATTCATATATACCGTTTCAGACCTCGGCATATGATGATTCTCAACAAGATTTCTCTCAATGACAGTCAGTTAAAAAACTACACAATGGAGATTTATTTGTTTATAAATGAGTCATAATCACGCCTGTTTTGTATAGGCTAGCAGTAGTGCTTCTGTGTGAAATTGTTTTAAAGAAGAAGACATGGACGCAGGAATATATGGTGTCTTTAAGACACAAGACCTATTGAAGTAACCGTCTCTTTTTAAATTACAGTCAGTGTATTCGTCTACTAATGATTTTTGTTTTACTTTGCATGTTCATGAGAAAGGTAATGGTTTCTGATGGCTTTAATAGCTGGAATAATAAGTACTCATCACTAACACAAATAAAGCTGAGGCTGGATGTGATAAATGCGGTGGTTAACTGATCCAATGGTGTGGATTCGTTGTAGGTAATTTGAAACATTCAGTTGGTGATGGGTACTTTTGAATGTCATGGTTTTTAGGTAAAATGACGTTTTGATACTGTAGGTAATAAGGTTGATGATTAGAAGTAGTTGTATTTGTACTTATGTATTATAAAATCAACATAATGACTTATTAGGCAGTGAAAAACGTTTCATGAACACTGAGGAATAATGCATTCTGATATAAAGTGAAAACAGATTTCAACAATTCCTGTATATCAACTTAAGTATGATGGAGAAGATTTGTAGCTCAGGTGGATGATTTCGATGTGGTTGTGTTCACTGAGCTGGATAGTTAATTTGCGAAGCTTTCATTGCCCTACTAGCCGACATCTTCAGCGCATACTTCAATTTGAAGTGAGCTTTAAGATTTCTCCACGAGTTTATTAATCATTTCTCCCGGTGACCTTGGGCATGATTGGTTGCTTTTGTGTGTTTTCACACCTTCTAGGTTACTTGTATTGTAACTCATTGTTTCTTTGACTTGAACTTCGACCCTTTGTGTGTGGGTTTCCTTCTTATCGGTTGATAAATTTTGTCTATGTCGATGATTCTATTGATTGATGATTCACTGGAATGCCAAGCTTCTAAAAATTCTCTAGCATCCTTGGTGTCTCCTCTGTCTAATAGTTGAAAGCTGTTTGTCCCAGTCGAATTGATGTCCGTGGTTGTCTGTATGTAGTGAGGCGATATGAGGGAATGAATGTCATGTCTTTTGACGGCTAGCTTATGTTCGTGGATACGAAGACGAAGGGGATGTCCACTTTGGCCAATGTAGTGTTTTTCGCAGTTGATACAATCTATTTTGTAGATGATGTTGCTTTCATCTTCTTTCGCTGTTGAGTCTTTTGGTTGACACAGAACTAAGTGAATTGACTTTGTTGGTTTGTGTACGACGTCAATTCCTAAAGGTTTGAAGAGTCTTGTAGTGATTTCTGAGATGTCTTTTATATATGGTAAGGCGATTTTCTTTGTGCTTTCCTTGGGGGCTTTTGGTTTGATAGGTTGGCTTGGGAGTATATGTCTTTTGATGAAATTCCGTGGATATCCATTCTTTTGGAAGACGTCCATGAGATATCTTTCTTCAATTTTCCTTAAGGTGGGAGTGCTGCAATGAGTCCTGGCCCTCTTGAATAGTGTTTGTATGCAATTCCTCTTGTGTGCTATTGGATTATTGCTGTTGTAAATCAGGATTTGGTCTGTGTAAGTTGATTTTCGATAGACTTGAGTTTCTAATTCCTCAGTGGAAGATTCAAGACTTTTTGATATTGCAGTTCACTATCAACAAGACAGCAGCTGGAAATTACAGAACAATAGACAATTAATAAGTTTACTTTGATTCTTCGATACCATGATTCACCTGTTCTGTCCTACAGTCAAATTTTCCAGCATCATTCTTCAAGTCAAAAGAGATGTTATTAGGAACCTAATGCCTATTTATAATCCTCTTCATCTTCCAATAAAGTATAAGTGATGGGGTTAATATTAGTGCCTTCCGATTAGAAGAATAATATTCCGCAGGCAGCTTTTGTTCCTCAGTAACTACTCGTAAACTAATTTGATTGATTGGTTACAGGCTTTCATCATGAGCTGACATTGGTTAGAGAACCACTGGAGAACCTGCAGGGAGTACTGGATAGCTGTTTCCATTGTCCTAGTTTGCGACTGGCTCTTCATCAGTAAGCACCCACCACCAGGGTTCGAACCCATGACCTTCTGGTTACGCGGCTAGCGAGCTCGTAGACCATTAAGAGACTGGGACCCACCCAATCCAATGGCCAGACCATGAATTCTAACTTCTTCGAGTATTTTCGTAAGAAAAGAAATGCAAGATTTTTGAAAATAATAGCAAGATCATACTGGAACTTTCGGAACAGCATCATTAAAACGTTTACTAAGAGCCCTCAAAACGACAGAGAGAGAGAGAGCAATTTTTAACTACTTTTTGGAATTCGCCCTGCTACTTAATTCATATTTTGTCCCCTACTGTTGAAAATCATGATCTGATTTGCTTTTCAGAATAACGCACTAATCAGTGTATGTATGTATGTGAGAGACAGTGGGATAAAATTACACTTTCGTCTTGTTCCTTTACAGCTTTCCATACACTTGACTTAGAAAAAGATCCATTAAAGCGAATAAGTATGCCGCCGACGGGTGCACTTTCAAAGGTAAGCGTAACGAATTGATCCAATCAGAATAATACTGTCATGTGCTAGCATGCCTGTTTTGAATGAATACATTAGTTTGAACAAAGAACAACAGTTTTTGCAGAATAAAATGGTACCATCTTTTATTTCGTTGCCTTCTCGTCAGCTGCTTACAGGCCAAAAAAATTAATAAATGTATCTACAAAAACAATTTTAACATACTTGCACAGAGTTCATTTTAAACAAAAAATCAACCGATCATTATATGCATATATATATGCAATATTAAACACTATTCAGAACAATAATAATCATACACAATGGAAACTTTTCAGCATTTCGCATTCGAATGAAAGAGAGATGAAAAATATCCAGTTACCAGGGCAGAGAAAGACTGATAACCGCTTTTTTCTGGAGACGTAAATGGGGTTTCATGCGATTGATGGAAATGGCTTCAGCAAACTTAAGGATAATTGAGCTCTATTGCCTATGGAACATCGATAAGTCGTTCAAAATTATCAATAAGCAAAGGAGCTCAATTCTGGTCAAGTTTGCTGAAGCCATTTCCATCAAGCGCCTGAAACTTGATTTGTGCGTCCAGAAAGAAGCGGTTATCAGTCTTTCTTTGCCCTGGTAACTGGATATTTTCATCTCTCTTCCACCTGAATTCGTAATGCTTGAAAGTTTCCATTGTGTATGATTATTATTGTTCGGATTTTTTTTTCCTTCACTTTCCCCAGTGGAACATAGGGCTTCAAGCTAGTGGCTTGAAGTTTCTGTAGCAGTGTTTATTTTACAGGATGGGGTTGCTGGCCTCATGCCCAACCTTTCCTCTTCATCAGCATTATTTCTGGCTTAGCAAGGTAAAGGAGTGTGTCTGTGGTCGGTGATCGAACCCCAGACCATGTTCATGGTCGACAAGCATCCTAACCGGTATGCTACCAACGCACATCGTTTGGAATAATGTTTAATATTGCATATATATATGTAAATATTATTAGTGTATGCATATATTAATCGATTGGTTGATTTTTGTTTAAAATGAACTCTGTGCGAGTATGTTAAAATTGTTTTTGTAGATATATTTAATAATGTTTTTGGCCTGTAAGCAGCTGACGAGAAGGCAACGAAATAAAAGATGGTACCACTTTATTCTGCAAAAACTGTAGTTCTTGATTTGTTCAAGTTCATTAAGGGGAGTAAATGTATTGAAGTTATGGTTAGCTTGAATTAAAGCCTAGGTTGGTTTCGAGAATACTTAAAACAGTCGAAAACAATAAACAACTTCAGGTGCGTAAATTCTGGCGACGGGTTAAAATGTCCAGGAGTTAAAACAAACATAAGCAATAGCTCTGTTTTAATGAACAGATATGCGCATCAATGATGATGATAGGAGTTACTTGTTTCTCAGATTAAAAAAGTGTTGGCTAAAAAGTGAAACCGTCAATTTTGTATTTTTCTCTCACTAGGCTTTGTGTGTGCTAAGTCCTGAAGAAGAAGATCGTGTATCCAAGCTACTTGAAGAAATGAAGAGCAAAGTTCGCGAGAAACGTATTCTGACATATCCATATTTTCGAGATTATGATTTTGTAAGTTTGATAAACAATTTCAACAAAAGTCTCTTACCTATAAAAGTACTGATAGTTTTATTTTAGAATAATATTTAAACAACTCTGTTGAACGCTAACACCTTACACCATAGGTAGACAGCAGTGTTTTCTCAAAAAAATAGTAAAAATGTCTTGTGGGGAATGTGTTTGATTGGTTGGAAGGTCTTATCGTGAGCTGACATCAGTTAAAGAACCATTGGAATTAATCTGACGCTCGCTAGCGACTGGCCCTTATTCAGGGAGTTAACCTTAGGTTATAGAGGGAAGCTGTGACCAGTAGGGTACAGCAGGTTGAAGGTGAGGCAGTGTGCGTCGGTGGCACAGTGGTTAGGACTCTCGCCGACCATGCATATGGTCCGGGGTTCGATCCCCTGCCGGCGCACACCCGATATCTATGGTAGGCCTGAATTTGGGCTAACCGATATCCATGCTGAAAATTCCATACTTGTACTGAAAAATACGGTGTGGAATCAAGCTGTAAATGAAAAAAAAAGAAAAGAAGATATTGCGAAGTGGTCGCGATATGTTGTAAATTGGCAGAAGTTGGAATTCATGGTCTGGTCACTGGATCGGATGGATCCGAGTGTCTTAATGGTCTACGAGGTACCTCGCCTTGTAACCAGAAGGTCGTGGGTTCGAACCCTGGTGGTGAGTGCTTACTGCTGAAGAGCCGGTCGCAAACTACGACAACGGAAACAGCTATCCAGTACTCCCTACAGGCTTTCCAATGTCTCTCCAACTGATGTCAGCTCAGGATGAAACCTTCCAACCACACAAAAATGTTTAAATTTTATTTGGATGGGATTAGAATATTCAGAGCGCGTTAAGATGAAAGCAAGAATCTACAGTTATCAAAATCTGGCCAAATGATTTGCAATAAAATGCTATTTTTTTCATCGGCTGGTTGAAGCAATGCAGACAGAGTATTGCTAAAAAATTCCAGGATTTCAGGCAATCAAGGGATCACAGGGTCTTTCTAAACACCATGAATATTTAACAAATAATGAAGCTCTATTTCAGACACTATGTAGACACATAGTACAGAATATTTCAGGGTATTCGGTTCGAAAATCGCTCCTCCCCCCCCCCTCATTCAGAATTCACCTTTAAAGTAATAATCTGAAGATTATCGTGTGATGCAGTGTTGGTGCATATGAACTGAGAACCACTTCTGCATATTTTGTCGTCATTTCCCTCAATAACTGCTCAGATTTTTGTTGAAAGTTAATTACGTGTGCGAGTTCATGCTGTGATCATTTTATGTAATTATAAGTTATTAAAATTAATCCCAGTGTGTTGAAGAATATCAAAACAAGATTTTTCTGAACATGAATAAAAATGAATGAATGAAAAACAGGACGACATTGTTGCTTTTACTGAAGAAATGAACACTGTAGAGCAGCCTCTGTTCGACCATCGAGAAGTAAATGCTGTTGAACTAGAAAAGTTTGAAAAATCATCAGCCATAGGTCCACATGCTATAGAATCAGGCCACGAAATTGATTTTGACAATATTGAAATAATCCAGAAAAACTTCAGAAATCACAAAGAACTTCTCAGATAATCATAAGCACTTCATATCAGATGGAATCCGAATTGTCTGAATAGGAATGATGGACTAAAACAGAATTTGACCTGGTTAAAACACCCCTGCACTCCTTCATGAAATGAAAAATATCAACACGAATGTGATAAGCAAGTTCACTATGTAAACACACGCTGTTTTTGCATTTTTACACGCTTATCAAATCCAACAGCCATCTACACCTGGTTTTGTTATCTTTACCAATTGGTCAATTTGACAACAACGTGAAAATGAACCCATGCTGAGGAACGATGATTACGTTGTTATATATAAGCTGAGTGGATTTTGTAAATTCTGGTTTAATATTACTACTTTGATAAAACTATTAGCAGCAGCATTAAATAGCGAAACGTCAGTGGAAATAACAATATCGTTTTGTTTTTCATTCATTCATTGGGAAATACAAGAAAACCTTCATTATAGTGAATATCATATACCCGAAGCCCAAATTCTTTCAAACTCTTAAAAGTGAACTTGGTTTGAACATACAGAGGAACTCTATGGCCTTAAACCTAATATAATCATAAACGCGTCTGATTCCCTTAATGGAAAACTAAAATCACAATAAAATAATACTAGAAAAAAATAGGATGAAACACGTTTTAGTTGGATTGAAGTTAATTAAAATTATTATTATCATTATTATGTCCTTGAGGCCCTAGTGGAACGTAGGAATTCAGCAGCACACCTCCAACTCACTGTGCCTTCTGCAGTCCTTGACTTCATGACTGCGCATAAGTTTCAACCTCTTCCTCCTCCTCACGTGGTCTCCTCCACGTTACCCTCAGACCAACACCCAACTCATCGTTTCCCACCCGAGTTCCAAAAACAAATATAAGTTAGAGCAACTATAATAGAGGGAGAATTAATAAAGTGGAAACAGGATCTGGAAGGTGACTTCAATTTAGTATAGCTGCTCCGGTATGAACAGTTTTCAGGCATATTATAAGGAGTCGCCAACTGCTGATTCTTACTGCCCTACAGATCCCGACTTGACCCACAAACTGCTGCTATGTTATAGTGTGACCACTTTTAACTCTTTATTAACCCAGTTGTGTATCGTCTAACGTAATTTGTCAAGGAAAGGGGTGGTTCCTAATGTGTAAGACATGTACTAGCCACCTAAATCAATGAAGTTTACAACTTGATTGCTTGACTTTCTCTCCTTACCTTATACTGTACGTTCAGTCTCGTTATTACATATCACATTGCTCCACCTAGTATGCGTGAGGGAATGAAGGCGCCTGCGATTGTTATTCCATGCTACTTCTGACCTAAATCCTGTATTTCCCTCTGGTGAATATGAGCGAAAAACAGAGACTAGAGTAGAACTATGAGTAAAACTCATAAGGGTAAAGAAAAATTACCTCTTATGGAAGTCAGACATAAGAAACGAGGCAAGAGTAAAAGATAAGTTAATGAAGTCAGAAGACCAGGAGTTATTAAGAAATGGGCCACTAGGGTAACTGGAGTCCAAAAACAGATTCCTTTCGGACATATGGGTCAGGTTTCAGCCGTTCTGTTGCGATAGCCTCAGCAAAGTGAAGACAACTTGAGCTGTTTTGTCTGTTAACTATTTTGAATGATGCGCGTCTACTCGGTGTCCAGTGTGTCTATCAGGTGTTTGGTAATTGAAGAGCTTAAATGACTTGGCCCCTTTAACCGGAAGCTCCTTGGTACATGTTCGAAGAATCTGACGTAGGCCCTTCTTTCTGTTCGTCCAATCTAACTGCTCCGGCAAATACATGTGAATTGGTATATACATCTGGAGGTTACATATAATGGGTACTTGCCAATCTTTGACTGCACAAACGCAAAAGATGTTCGGAGCAGAGAGATTAGTTTTGCTGCAAGATACGACCTGGACAGGGCTGTGCTCAATCTTTTATTTATGATTCTCATATTATCATCGCCTTTGAAGTCAAGTTTGATGAAGACTGGCTTCTTGCTGACGGCAGGTTCAGCGGGTTTCTCACTTTCATTCTTACCATTTTTGTCAATGAAACCTTGTGGATAACCGTTTTCTTTCAAACAATTCTCAAGTAGCATTAGTTCACTGCATAATTTATCAGGCAAACATATTCTTTTAGCCCAGAAGAAAAGCGTTCTCACCAGCTTTCGTTTGCAGCTAAATGGGCAGAAGCTTTTGGAGTTTAAGTAGAGATTGATCCATATGTCGTTACCACATAGATCTTTAGCAAAGACAGGACTCTAGGCGAACGTAGACAAGACAGAGGTTATGAAAATAACCAAAAAACAACAACAACAGCAGCAACAACATCCAGCGCTAATCACCATCAACGGGAGGGATTTGAAAGAGGTTACTTCATTCACTTATCAACGGAGCATTGTCTCAACTACAGGAGGAACGAACGAGGATGTCAAATCGAGAATCGGGAAGGCGAGAAACACATTCATCAACCTGAAACCAATCTGGAAATCTTCGTCACTCAACTCAGCATCAACAACAAAATTCCGATTTTCAATACAAACGTCAAGTCAGTCAGTTCTTCTATACGGATGGATCAGAAACTTGGCGGGTCACAAAGAATATTTCCCATAGCCTGTTGCAGACCTTTATCAACAACTGTCTTCGCTCTATACTGAAGATCAGATGGTTGGAAAGAATCACCAACAAGAAACTATGGGAAGAAAGAAAACAAGAACCAATCGCCCAACAAATATGCAGGAGAAAGTGGAGATGGATTGGACACTCGCTGAGGAGGCCACTGGGTGACATCGCGAGTCAGGCCATCTCGAGTGGAAGCCGAAAGGGAAGCGGCGAGTGGGACGTCCACAGGTGACATGGAGGTGATCGTGTAAAGAGGAGTTGAAACAGCATGGACTAGCATGGATGCAGGTGAAAAGTACAGCAGAAGACAGAAACAAGTGGAGACGTGCAGTTGAAGCCCTATGTTCCACTAGGAACCCAAGGGAACAATAATAATCACAATTTACATACAGAACTTACAAGTGTCTCATCCAGTTTTCTCTCCACGTTTATATCTTGAAAGTGGAAATTATCAGCGTTTTCATGCTTTATCGTGAAAATGATATTCTTATGTACATTGTTGAATAAGCCCAGTAGAGAAGAAGCGTGACTCAAGCCATTGCATACAATGAATGTGTCATCTACCTATCTGTAGTAGGCTGTTTTTTCACCAACTGCCCACTTGACTGTAGTCTTTTCTAGATTGGCCATAAAAGTATCAGCTAATGCAGGACCCAATGGACACCCAATAGCCACTTCATCAACGTGGCGATACATTTTGTTGTCGAACTGGAATTGTATATCCTTGGTGCATAACATGAGAAGCTATAAGTATAAAACTTGGGCACTGTGGTAGAGCGTAACTCCATTATGGATAAGTTTTTTATTTTGATAAATCACATAGTGTTGTACAGTAATATTAACTGATGACGTTTCGAGCATAAACTATTGCTCATAATCAACTTGATATGATTATGAGCAATAGTTTATGCTCGAAACGTCATCAGTTAATATTACTGTACAACACTGTGTGATTTATCAAAATAAAAATCTTATCCATAATGAACATGAGAAGCTGCCTAAATTCCAGTTTTGATAGAGAAAGCAAGTCAGTACGTTGACAGATGATGTATAAAGTCTCATGCAGTGGGACCTGTGTGTGTGAATAGGGTAGTCACATTGAAGGAGACCATGAGTTTATCACATACCTTAGGTTTACTCACTTCTTCAATGAATTGGCTAAGAATCTTTCAGAGTCGTTGTCTAATAGGTTTCAACTTATCGGCTAACCAACAGGCAACTTCTTGGAAGGGCTAATTCACCATTGACTGTATAAATCTTAGTGGTAGTTATTTTTAGTGTATCTTGGGTAGACCATACATATATGGTAGACAAGACCAATTTGGGCTTTAACTCATTGTTTGTGTGTTTGTCAATCATTTTCTTTTGTGACAGCTCTCTGAGTGTTTTTATGACTTTCTTTTCTCTCATGTCTGTCATATCTTTCTTTTGGTTATCAATCTTGAACGTCAACAGAATACTAGTGGGGTAATTCACACAAAATTAAGCAAATGGAGCTGTTTACACTTTTAAGGGTCTGGTAATTTTCACAGGTTTCGTATTATCACTCAGCTACCTGGGTAAACATAACACGGGTAATTGCCTCTCGTTTATGGTTATTGACATGGCCTTCAACAAAAACTTTAAAATAACAATAATGAATGAACTTCGCGGTTATACAAAAATCACCTTGCAGATCAATTTTTGCCTTTTTTATTCCTGCAGCATTTATAATGAAGATACAATTTTCCTGTACACTCTTTGTTTGATCTTTCAGGCAACGGGCTTTTCACGAAGTATCACCTGTACACAGTTTGAAAGAGTTTTACACTTTCTTGGTTTGGATGTGGGTAAAGAAGACTGTCGAAGATTATGTCGAAAATTCGCTGATGTAAACAAGACAGGTGTGAATTATAGTGCATTCTGTCAGACAGTGGATGAGTGGTATACAGCTGCAGCTCCTGTAGACATGAATGCCGATAATCCAGGTGATGTTAATTTCGAAAATTCGAATTCCGATGAAACGAAAAACATTCCTAAGATAGGTGACACACGTTGTGGTAAAAATGCAGTACGCCGAGATTGGTACTCGACAGTAATACCAGTGATTAAGTCAGCCGGTGATAAATGGCCAGTTGAAGTTTTACTGGATCGTATTCGACACTTGGTCTTGACAAATCGCATACAACTTAAGCCATGGTTTCATGATTTTGATCAGTTACGCACTGGTTATGTAACACGGTCACAGTTTGAACGTTGTTTAACAGCTGCAGGGTTAACACGTATTGGTCTGCATGACCTTACTCCAGCTCAAGTGGACGTTTTAACCAATCACTATGTATCGTCGTCTGATCCGAATATGGTGAACTGGATGAATTTTGTCAATGATGTAGACACAGGTAATTTAAAGTGTAAATGAAGTGAATATCTTTTTGTTTAATTAGTGTTTTACAAATTACTGAATATTTGATAGTTCCAACAGTTACTGGCTCACAACCAGCACGGAAATTCTTAAAGCACGAATTCTAACTATTTTGTGCATACAACTTCTCATAGAAATTACTCAGAGTATTTTAAAACCATACCCTCATTTCTTGTTTTTATGAAAACAACAGGTTTTCCATCTCAGAAGTTTTTTTTATCACAAAGTGATGTGAATAATCTACTCTTAATCCATTAGATTACTACTTACTTTCCTTCCACTCGAGCTGATCCAAGGTGAATTTGCAGCGTTGAACTTTGCAAAATGTTCAGCGCTTCAAGTGACCACACTCCACGTAGGCACACAAAAGTAGCGAAAGAAGAGAAATGCAGAGAAATTAAAATCAGCAGAAATTTACGGAAGATTGATTACATGCACAATAATGAGGATTGGATAGATCTGAGAGATCATGAAAATGATTTCTAATCATATCACCTATAATGAATTCCTGTAACCAATCAACCAAATCCCTACAAACTAACACTTGAATATCGATGAGATGCTCACTGGCGACTGGCCCTATCCAGGTAGGTAGTTATCTGGGGTTCTAGTGAGAAGTCGTGACCAGTAGGGTGCAGCAGGTCGGGCCGGAGAAAGTGGAGATGGATTGAACACTCACTGAGGAGGCCGCTGGGTGACATCACGCGTCAGGCCAGTTCTCGAGTGGAACCCTAAAGGGAATCGGCGAGTGTGACGTCCAAGTGTGACATGGAGGAGATCATGTGAAGGGCAATTGAAACAGTATGGAATAACATGGATGCAGGTGAAAAGTACAGTAGAAGACAGAAACAAGTGGAGACGTGCAACTGAAGCCCTATGTTCCACGAGGAACCCGAGGGAACAATAATAATAATACACATGTCCTCTGTTAGATAGCCATATATCACATGTGCGTTGGTGGCACAGCGGTTAGGAGGCTCGCCGACCATGCACATGGTCCGGGGTTCGATTCCTGACCGACGCACTCCTTTACCTCGCTAAGCCAATATTATAAAAAAGCTGGTAAAGAGGAAAGGTTGGGCATGATGCTAGCAACCCCATCCTGTAAAAATAATTACCACTGCTACAGAAACTTCAATCCTCTAGCTTGAAGCCCTACATCCCACTGGGAACGCGAAAGAATAAAAAAACAACGTCAAAACCAGAGATGATGTAAGTCGGAAAAGGCAAACGAGCCCATTGTGTGCGTGCAAACACCTGATTAGCTCTGATGCAGCTACTCAAATATAAGTGAAGTGTTTAACACGCTAAACCATTTCATCCCCTATCCTTAAACTAAGAGCTGAGGTAGTCTAGTCTTGCACAATCATGAAACATCTGACCGGGATGACTTGTACATCAAAAATGCCTCAGAGTTTTTCTTATGGTGTTCAGGAAATTCTGTATTTTGTCATATGAATTGTGAAACAGTATCAAAATAAAGTGAAACAATTATAATGTCGAAAACCAAAACAAATGATTCAGCGAAGAGACTCTTTTCAACGAATTTATCATCAAGCTGTACAATCGTATGTATATGGTTTTAAAAAAATTATATCCGGTGAGGGAATTGAATCATAGGTGTGAATGCATAAATAATAATAATAATATGAAATGCAATTAAAACTAAAAATGTTTGTGATTATAATCGTAGTTAAATGTCAAGTGGCAAAGCAAATTAATGTCATATATAGAATAATTCATAGGATGGATAGAACTTGAAAAAGGGTGTGCAATTATAAGATTAGTAGACAAATCGAATAAAATAAAAACGTTACGTAATATTGTGTGAAATTTAATAGCATAGAATTGAATGTTGTAAAAGGGAATTGATTTAGAATGACTAGTGGAACAAGTGAAATAATACCGGGGACAATTAAAAGTGAGAGAAGTAATAGTAACAATTGACGTAATAAAGGAAGAGTATACAAATTGAATAGACAAAATGAAAAATTGGTAGAGCTAAAATATGATTAGGGATTACCATACTTTAGCATAGACGGATTAATACCATGAAAGTTGGAGGGGTTGAACGAACGTTTTCTGTACACAGAGATCTGGCTTTTCTGTTTCGATATAAAAGCTTCAGCACTACAACAGATGAGTCGGGTACGTAGGGATTTGGGTAAATTACTCTTTCCCTTGTAGGTGACTTTAAAGGCGGAGGCTATGGAGATAGGGTGATCATAATCGACCAGATGTTCAATGATCGCGCTTCTTATTGCTCCACTTCCACCTCATCGTAACCATGCAGGGTAGTGTTCTTGCACCACCTTGGACAAAACTTGAGTCGAACGACCGATATACCTAGCCCCACACGAGCAGGTGAATTTATAAACACACATAGAGTTGGTCAACAGCGGGATCTTGTCCTTCAGGTTATTGAACAGTAATGGTCGACTAATAAAGGATATTCTCAGAGATGCAGCACGGAATGTTCTTCTCAGAAACTGTGAGATCCTTTTAGTGATATCGGAAGCTAAGTCACCTCTGAATTCAAAGCTTGGGTGCGGATGAAAAGCCACATTTCATAAGATTTTACTGTATATTCTTGTCAATAAAACGTGGTGGAAATCCATTTTCTATTAGGATTTTCTTCAAAAGATTTAACACATCCTCCACAGTATCAGAGCTGCATATGCGCCGAATACGAGTGGTAAGCGACCGGACCAGGTTTCGTTTACGACCGATGGGTACCCAGCTGTAAAAATTTGTCAGTAGACCATTCTATGACAGCTTTCGATAAATCGATCTTCTCAGAGTTCCATCGGTCCTCCTTGATAAGTTCACATCGAGGAAATGAATGCTAGACTCGTTCTGCATTTCGAGTGTGAATTTTATCTCCGGATGGCGACCATTAAATACATCTAATATATTATTCAAGTTACAATCACTATTACAAATAATAAAGGTGTCATCTACATACCTTTTATACATTTGAAAGCTTTGGATTATAGTGTCATCTACTAACTGGATTTTCAGATAGAAGAATGATCAAATTTTCAGGCTATCTAAGCATTAAAGAAAAAGCTCTCCACTACGTAACATATTCATATTTTAAAACTCGATACATGCATATCCGTTTTAGTTTCTTATTTATTCTCAGATTTCGAATGTCAGCCATCCGACTTAACACTTTTACCACTGAATTTGTGTTTGTTTTCTTTCTATAACAATGCTGTTATTCTTAATATTCTTCTAAATCCATCTTAACACATCTCATTTAGTTATTTTTGGTCTTTTTAGTCTTTACTATACCAGAGTTAGAAAAACAACCATTGACACGTGTATTACCACAGGAAACGTTTATTCAGCCGAAACCCGGTACAGCTGATTGGTCAACTGCTACTGACGAGATGATAAAGAATTATGAAAGTGGTATGGCGGCTATAAGACGAAAAGCTAATGAACGACGCATGCTACTGCTACCGGATTTCGCTGCTTTTGATCCGTGAGTATAAATCTATATTACTTGTACTTATAGAGGGATAAAACTTGGGAACTGTGGAATCCAAGTTTCATCCTTATATCAATTATGCAAGTTGACATTATTATTGTTATTGTTCATTAGGGTTTCTGGTGGAACATAGGGCTTCAACAACACTACTTTATTCTATTTTCATCTTACCTCTTCATCTGAGCCCATGACTGCCCATAATTTCTCATATCCTTGTGTCACGATTTCCTCCATGTCAGCTTCGGACCAATGCCCAGCTCATCGTTTCCCATTCGTGTTCTACTCGAGGATCTGGAGCGCGACGTGACTCAATGGTTTCCTCAGTGTAAGCCCAATCTATCTCTAATTTCTCCTACATATTGATTCTTGGTTAGTTTGTTGCCAGAGTTTCTTGTTGATAATTCTTCCTGGTCATTTGATCTCCAGTATGCAGTGAAGGCAGCTGTTGGTAAAAGTCTGCAACCTGTTGGAAATCCTTTTCGTGATGCACCATGTTTCTGACCCACATAGAAGAACTAATTTTACATTTGTGGTGAAAATCCGAATCTTGTTCTTTATCCCAAGTATGGGAGATTTCCAACCTGGCTTCAGGTTGATGGCAATCACGTCTTCATCCGTTCCACCTGTGATTGAAACCTTGCTTACTGACTAGATAAGTGAAGGAAGTACCCTCTGTGAAATCTTCCCTGTCGGTGGTAACTGATGCTGGTTGTTGTTGTTGTTTCTGTTCGTTGGTTGTCTTCACCACCTATATCTGCTCTGGCTGTTTCTTCAGCCAGTTTGTTGGTCTTCGCCTGCAAGCCTTCAAATCTCTGTGACATTAGACATAAATCATACACGCGCGAAATCCAGAACTTAGAGTCTTCTTATCGGTATTAGAGCGTATTCCCGTCTTCTCGCTACCTATCCACAGTCTGACGCATAATCCAGTCCACCACACTTAAGAATATCATCGGTGATAATAGGCAGCCAGCTTGTTTTACTCCTGTATGCAGATCGAACGCCTCGCTGAGTTTTCCGTTGTGGATCAATTGGCACGTGGCACTGTCATATAGCTGTTGAATGAGGTTGACAAAGACTTGAGGTACGCCGTAATGTTGAAGTAGTTTCCAAATTACAACTCGATACTGTCTACGCTGTAGAAGGCCTTCTCGAAGTCGATGAAGTTGAGGTAGAGAGAGGTTTGACTGCCATTCTATGCTTTGTTCTATGATGATGATGCGTAGAGTTGCAGTTTGATCAGCCCATGATTTGCCTGTCCTGAATAGATCCAGCTTGTTCCGGTGGGTGGCGGAGTTCTGTGTCCAGTGAATCCTTTATTCTCTCGAGGATGATGCGACTTAGTATTTTACCTGGTTCAGACAACAGCATTATTCCATGGCAGTTACAACATAGTGAGGTGTAAGTAACCTTTCTTTGGCGGTGTGACAAGGTAGTCTCTCTTCCAGTCGGTAGGTACCTTTCCTTCCTTCCAAACCTTTTGTAATAATGGCAAGAGACAATCTGCCGCAGTGTCTGGGCCCATTTTCAGTGCTTCAGGGGGATTCCATTTGGTTCCGCTGCCTTACCGGCCAGTGTTCAGTAGCTAGATCGCAATTAGGATTTTTGCTTTCGTTGGAGGATTGGTGTCCACTGGCAGACAGATATGTGTGTGTGCAGTTGGTGGTGGTGTATTTCTTGGCGAGTTGCCGGTGGTGGTCGATCCAAGAATTCTTTGAATTGATCAGCCCACTGTTTCACTTGTTTCTACTCCATGGTAATCAGGTTCCCTTGAACACCTCTTATTGGTTTCATAATCTGGGTTGATCTCTTCTCGGATAGCGAGCAGTCTGGTTATCTGATACAATATTCTGAGGTCTCTTTGACCTGCGACCTGCCTATTCTACTTTAGTTGGTAAGTAATAAGGAAGTTGTTTTCCATAAAACATTTATTTAGCGGACAACAATCTATAGGTCTGATAGATAGGTGAGATAACATGAATCGGCTTTATTCCGTCAGATCCTCTGTAGCTACTGATATTTCAACTAATCCATTACCTGTTACAGTTTAAATGTAACCTATTTGAGTTTATGAATGGAAATATGAACCGTACATGGAGTAAATGATCATAAAAGCAAAATCGGCTGTTGCACAAAACAAAAGAGGCTCGCTAAATTATTGCAGTTGTGCTCGTTTTCAGACTCTTAAGGTGTCAAGGAGAGACGTGTCAACTACATCTTTAGTCTGCTGAACAATGAAACTAGAACACAAACATTTGCCGTTATAAATGGAAAAAAATCACTGAGCACGAAAAGTCTAACCCTGCCTGTGAATTATTATCACGGAACAATTTATGATTTTCCCCAGAAACTGATCTGTATACAAGGTATTTTGTAACGTTGCATTCCAGTCCCCCTGACTCATTTGATACTTTTATCACTTGCCCGATATCTGAAATATATTTTTCGATTTTCCATTTGCGTCGCTTCAACGCAATCATCGACAGTTTTCTTCTTAATTTCAAAACTATTTCAAAATAATCTACCTAATAGGACGTATTTTGTTCCAAAAGCTGAGAACAGAATCGTAACATCCATATAAAAGAGCTTTAGATGTCAATTTTAGTGACCAGATAGTTCAACAAGTCAATATATATTTTAATTGATTAAAAATGCCCATTAAAATTTACAAAAGAATGGATACTGAACAGAGAATACTCTTTCGATAACTTCATCATCAGGCTCTACAGTTATATATACTCTATAATGAATGAATGAATTAATGTTATGAACAACAACATTAATGTTTGAATAACGTCGAATCAATAATATCAATGGATTACAGTTCAATAGCATCAACATAACAATAAACTGAATGTCAGAAAAATTAGGAAGGATAACAATATTACGAACTCATGAATTTCTAGTCTCTACTGATGGCCGGCAAGGGCAGTTGTAGTGGCTAGCTGGACTTGCTTCGTTTGCACACAGAGCACTGGTTGTTTGAAGCGAATTGCAGTAGCCTCTGCTGTTTGGAGCATGTGGTACCTCGATGTTTTTGGCAATTTATAAGGCATCCGGTAGATGATAGAGAAGGATTCTTCAAGGATGGCTGGCTTTGTGGCCAGTTTGCACCAGATGGTGTAATATCGAACTGTTAATGGTTTTAACTACACCTTTACTTAGCCATAGTGGGAGATATTCTCGAGCACGAAAAATCAAGTTCCTAGAGCAACGGCCAATATAACTGGCTCTACAAGCGCAGTTGAATTGGTAGGTACAATTTGAAGTGGCTAGTCTAGGTACTTCATCTTTCAATCGAAGTAACACCATCGGTCGTGTAGAGAATAAGACTTGTAGTTCGCCAGCATTAAAAGTTCTTTGAACCGATTTTCTTAATTTCTTCGTAATTATCTCACTTGGTATATCGCCCTTGAATTGCAGTTGTATATAAAGTGGCTTCTTGTTTACAGATAGTGAGTAGTCCTTTTCCGCTTTCTTTGTCATGTGTTTCTTGATAAATTTTTCGGGATAGCTATTTTCGATCACAGTATCATATACAATGCTTAATTCATCTTCAGTTACCTCTTCTGAGCATATAGCTCTAACTCTGTGGTTGAGGGTCTTTACTAAATTTCTTTTGTACTGGAGAGAAACGAAGTTGTGAAAATGTGTATATTTTCCTGTCCAAGTACTTTTTCTGTGAAAACTGCTTTTTATGCTACCATCTGGTCTTGTAAGGAGGACATCCAGGAAGGCAATTCTGTTTTGGAATTCCTCTTCGCACGTGAAAATCATAGCAGAATGTACTTCATTGAATTCAGTTATTATTGTACTCCTATCCGAATCATTACCACAAAGAATAAAGGTGTCATCCATATACCGGCAATAACATGGGAAATTTCTGATAAGGTTGTTCTAAGGTCCACTTTATATTTTACTTAGAAAGAAATCAGCCAAAATGGGACCCAATTGGGAGCCCATCGCCACCCAGTCCACTTACCTGTAAAGCATGCCGTCAAATTTAAAATTTACATTTATGGTACACCTTAATAACAATTCTTTTTGGATTTCAGTACGGATGCCAATGTTTATCGACTGGTTATCTACTTGTTCACATATGTTGTAGCTAACTGTTTCTACTAGAGGTACATTTATGAATGAAGATGTTATGTCCTTGATACTAATATCTTTTTGATTTTGTCTACGAATTCAAATACATCTATGACGCGCTATATTTCACTATCTTATCATGCAAAGGTTTGAGAATATTTACTAATAACCATCTAGCTAAAAATTTTTATATTACAACCTGAAAGGAAAGCGTAGAAAGATCTAATATACTAATATAAATGGAAGGAGAGAGCAAAATTATATCATGTGACCATCACTGGTTTTAGTCAGAGGGGTGATGCTTCTTTCTTATTTATTCAATACAGAAAAAATAAAACCTCTGCAATATGTTGTCATGGTAAGGTAGAATAATCAAATGTACTATTAACAATGATGAAGGGTTGTTAAAATATCTCTTTCTGTATAATTAATGGTGTGAATAATATCGCTTACCTTTAGTGGACGACTATTTTGGATAAAGCAACTTGCAAGCAGTCTGTATGTATTTGATGATTATGATGATGATATGGAGTCGGGTTTTATTTTAACATAATTTGTTCATTTAAGCAATCACAACTTCATTGGGGACAAGGTAAAGATATAAATTGCCTTTTAAGGTTTCCGTAACACATTATTAGACAAAACTGTTTCCCTTACAGATTTTTTTGATGTGTAGCTAGAAGAAGTAAAAATATTTTTTTTTCAATGATTAAAAGTACAAGCATGACTTGCGAAACTGTGAGTTGTGATCAAATACAGCAAAAAGAAAAAGTCTTTTGAGGGATAGATTATAATTAATTGTATGGCCGGCGCTTGACCATCTTATTCTGAATAAGCACCAATTTGAGGACTTTTTATTGCTTAATTAGAATACTGGCTACTTATCTATAATTATATGGTTAAAGGAATTCTAAAAGCGAATTCTGTCGCCAGCAGTTTTATTTCACTATTAAAATCAATGCCTTTAACTTTTGGTGCTTACCACTTTTTCAGATATAATGAACTTTTCCAAGTATTGGTTTTATAGGGATTTTGTTTGATTAGTTGGAGGTCGATATGGGCAATTCGCAGAGTCTTCACTATAATCACCAGAGATATGTTCACCTCCTTATATATATCTCTGATGAGGTCAAGATTGGAAAAATGCATCCAGGCCGCCAGTCCTTGTCTTAAAAGGGACTCACATATTCCAGAAAGGGTTTAAAGGAAAGCAACACGTATGGTTCACGGTATGACAAACTTATCATATGAGGAAAGGTGATTTTGGTGTGGTTGTGTTCTCTGAGCTGGATGGTTTGGCTGCGAAGCTTTCATTGCTCTACTGAGCAACATCTTCAGCGCATACTTCGATGTGAAGTGAAGGAAAGGTGAGACAGTTTAAATATCTTCTCACTGTCATACCGTAGGCAGAGAGGAGATTTAATCACAATGTTTAAAATCCTAAATAATGACTATGGACCTGACCTATTTTCTCTTTTCCTTCCCACCAGGTCGGAACACCTTAGAGGACATAGCAGGAGAGTTCAAAAGCCAAGAAGAAATCATATTGCTGTTGAGTACTGGTTCTCACATCGAGTCATAAACTCTTGGAACCAGCTCCCAGAAGAAGTGGTGTCTGCAACCTCAACTGATTCGTTCAAGAAGGGTTTGGACAACCACAGAAATTTACTAGAAAAGGATTAACATAGGCTCCAAGCCTTCTATCCTCAACCAATAAATCTGAAATATCAGTAAGAGAACTATTGAAAAACCCGGGGTTACTGGACAGCTGTTTTTTCCTGCTTTGGGTCCCAGTGGCTTAGTGATCTATAAGTTTGCCTTGTAACCAGAAGGTCCTGAGTTCGAACCCTGGCCGGTGGGTGCGTACTGCTTAAGAGATGCTCCCAAACTGGGACAACGGAAACAGCTGTCCAGTACTCCCTCCAGTGGTTCTCCAACTGATGTCACTTCATGGTGAAACCCTCCAACCAATCAAACACAATCCCTACAAAACCAATACTTGAAAACTTTAATAATTTCCATCCTGATAGATATTTCCTAAAATCAAAATAAGTCACCTCCCTCTATTTTAATTTTATTCTAAACATAAAACTGCATGTTTTTGATGTCCTTTTCTGGGGCGTATTTTAAATGTCTAGGTACTTAGTCATTTTTCAGTTTATGTCGTAGTACTTTTGTGTAGCGCATTTCTTTACGTGAGCGAACAACACAGGTTGCTTTAAAATGAGTATACGTCAAGTGAACAATGCTTGTTTGCCTCAATGGGTAAATTTTTTATTTGCATGTACCGTGACTGACTACTAGACCGTGATGTAATGTTTTTTTTTCTCTAGGTTCATTTTTGCAGTTTTTTCCAGCAGGAATCAGATTAGCGTTGTATATTACAGTTAAATATCACGGAGCTAACAAAAATACAAACCGCTTGTTTTTAAGGCAGAAACTTATCAATGATCTTGGTGGTTTAAATGATTTAGCACTGTAGTAGCAAGAGGTTGATTGTCTTATCGCTTTATTCATTGCACGAAACAACATAGTTTAAAATTTAGATGTAGCAATAAGAAGACGTAATTTGTCTGAATCGTGTTGTAATGTATTTGCACAACGCATTTCGAATAATCTGATCACACACGGACTTGTCATAGGAATATATACGTGTGAAATTAATAAAGAGTTAAGAGGTGAGGAAATAGACAAGTTAGGTCAAGTTAAAAGGACATATTGAAGGTCAAAATAACAATGAAGACCACCAAACCAAATAACAGGAGTAATAGTACATCTAACCTGACTGCTATGAAAACAAAGTTTACCAAGGAAGGTTTAGTGCGACGACGAACTGTTGCCTTGAACGCATAAATGTGGTTTAAACTTTATAATTCCTAGCTAGGGCTTTCACAAACTTTAGGATACGCCCCAAACACGTTTTATAGATAGGTTTCAAAGATGTGTTAATGTCAATTTTATGTCATGTCTATATAATATGTTTCGCAATAGAGGAGCTAGGTTGTCGCGTGTTCTCGCCATTAATGGGTTCTGAAGATTCCATTTGTTTCTGGAGCTATTTAGGAATATGCTCTGAAGCTAGCCCTTACTTGCAGAGATCGATGAGTCCTCCCTATGTATGTATGGCCACACGTAAGTTCATAGTGGTAAATACAGTGGGATGTGACATTATTTTTCGCTTGTTCAAAGGGCTTACATAGATAAATTGGCTTCACATTCTCAATTATTATGATATTAGCTGCATAAAAAGTCTTTTTAACAGCAGCGCTCAATCTCTGTCTAGTTATCGAGCTGCTATGATGCCCCATATAGGGTAGCTTGATGTACACGTCTTTCTTACGGGCGAGTTGTAGAGTGGGTCTTGGCGTTCTCACTACTTCATATCACGTGATGAACTTGTCTGCATAATTGTTATCAACCAGACTTTGTGTCAATTTCACTTCTACTTAGTCTCTACCTGTAATTACCTCTGTTGCTATCCTGACCTAAGTTGTAACATTTTAGTCAATTATATTACGTCATCTAGCTTACTAACTCAATCTTACTTTAGTTGCTGTCTGATTAACTTTGTCTCTATACTACATCATTCTTGTGTTAACTAAACTTGACAAACCTCATGTACACACACACACAAATAATTATATATAAATGCGATTGTACAGCTATGTGAATGAATTCGCCGAAAAGAGTCTCTTCGCTGAATGTCTTCTCTTTTTCATAAGCAATATGTCTAGGAAAGACAAACAGTTATCTTCCTCTTCTATAGATGTAAGTGATATGCTATTCTGAACTTAATTCATTCGATTTAAAATTGAGGTGGCAGTAGAAGACGTACCACTTATGATTACAATATCATCAACATACCTTCAGACAAATTACTTCTTCTTATTGCTTTATCTAAACTCATAAAGGGAACTAATTGTTTTAAAAATAGCCCACAATGTTGCTACAGAAATCGCCAGTCAAAGTGCTTATATCTTTCATAATACTAACTAATGTGTAAAAAATTCTTTTACACTCTAAATTAATCTTCATGCTGACTTTTTATCTTGCACAGAATACATCGTGGTCTAGTGACAACAAATAATTTCCGTCAGCTAGTCAGCATGTTTGGATTTTCCTTATCCCCTGGAGAAATCGATGCAATCATTGCACGCTATGCAAACGATGATGGCTTCAATTATTTAAGCTTTTTGAATCATCTGTGCCCACCAACTGAAGAAGACAATGAGTACAAATATCCAAAGCGTTTAGAACGCTTACAGAAAACAAATATGCTGGGTAAAATCCGAGTGGAAATGGAACCAGTACTGAGGGATGCTGAAGGTGTTATGGATAAGCTTAAAGCAGAAGTATGTGGAAAAAGCATGAAAATTAATTTATAAATATATATGAGGTATTTTCTAAATTTTTCCTAAAGATTAATTTTCTTCCCACTAGTGTATATTGTTATTGAATTAGATGTGGAATAGAAAGTTCTCGATGCAAGGTAGGAGATTGTGCAGGAGTGCAGCTGTCCAAGTTGCCACACCTGAGGATAGTGTACATAAAATCATGCAAAAGAACATACGGAAACTACAATGGACACCAACCTATAAAAGAGCGAAGTCGTCTCCATATTCTGCTGTTTTAATCCATATCCCTGTATTGAGAGACAGTGCAGACCAGTCCTGCTGGATAATTTTACATTAAAAATGAGGAAATTGTATGTTAAACCTACTCGGATTATAGATATGATGGGGAAGATTTGTAGCTCAGGTGGATGATTTTGATGTGGTTGTGTTCTCTGAGCTGGATAGTTAATTTGCGAAGCTTTCATCGCCCTACTAGGCGACATCTTCAGCGCATACTTCAATTTGAAGTGAGCTTTTAGATTTCTCAACGACTTTTTTATTTGTCATCTCTCCTGGTGAGTCACCTTGAAAGTGATTGGTTGTTTTTGTGTGTTTTCACATCCTCTAGGCCACTTGTATTGGAACTGATTGTTTCTTTGACTTGAACTTTGACCCTTTGTGTGTGAGGTTTCTTTCTTATCGGTTGATAAGAAACTACATCAGATTCACAAGAGAAGAGGAATCAGAGAACAAAATCCCATTTTTCGACGTCTTAGTCAAGCGAACAACCACAGGGGAAATAGAAACTCAAATCTATAGAAAATGAACTCACACAGATCAAATACTGAATTACAACAACAACAACAGTCCAATAGCACACAAGAAGAATTGCATACAAACACTATTCAAGAGAGCCAGGACTCATTGCACCACTCCCACCTTAAGGAAAATTGAAGAAAGATATCTCTTGGACGTCTTCCAAAAGAATGGATATCCATGAAATTTCATCAAAAGACATATACTCCCAAGCCAACCTATCAAACCAAAAGCCCCCAAGGAAAGCACAAAGAAATTCGCCATGCCATATATAAAGGATATGTCAGAAATCACTGCAAGATTCTTCAAACCTTTCGGAATTGACGTAGCACACATACCAACAAAATCACTCCACTCAACCCTATGTCAATCAAAAGACTCAACAGCGAAAGGAGATAAAACCAACATCATCCAGAAAATAAACTGTAACAACTGCGAAGAACAGTTCATTGGCCAAAGTGGACGCCCCCTTCGTCTTCGTATCCACGAATATAAGCTAGCCGTCAAAAGACATGATATCCACTCCCTCATATCACTACATACAGACAACCACGGACATCAATTCGACTGGGACAACCAGCGTTCAAATATTAGACAGAGGAAACATGAAGAATGCTAGTGAATTTTTAGAAGCCTGCCTGGTGTTCCAGTGAATCATCAATCAATAGACAATCGAGATAGACAAAATTTATCAACCGATAAGAAGGAATTCTCACACAAAAGGTCAAACTTTAAGTCAAAGAAACAATCAGTTCCAATACAAGTGGCCTAGAAGATGTGAAAACACACAAAACAACCAATCACGCCCAAGGTCACCAGGAGAGATGATTAATAAACTCGTGGATAAATCTAAAAGCTCACTTCAAATTGAAGTATGCGCTAAAGATGTCACCTAGTAGGGCGATGAAAGCTTAGCAAATCAACTATGCAGCTCAGAGAACACAACCACATCTAAAGACTACTCGGATTATACATAAATATATATTGTGTTCAGAAGATTTTGAATTTTGTTGGGCTATTCGCCTTAAAGGACTATTTTAACTTGTATATGTTACATCAATGAGATTTTCTTCTAAGGGAAGCATCCTACTGCTTTTACACCTCTGAACACTGTCCAGCTAACTAGTACAACATGCTAGGACCTGGAGGAATGCCTGTTTCAGCCAGCAAAACCCACTGAGATATGAAAACTACAATCACGATAAAACTTTGGTCAAGTACTCACTAGGGAGAAAACAGCTTGTAATTTTGCTACTACTCCAGGACAATGAATGCAAATGGTTGAATGGATGTGGAATTTATCTCAGGAGCTCATAATTTCAACTCGTATACCATTGTAGTGACTTAAAAATGCAAGGAAACGAAAGTATAATGGTGGCATAGTGAACAGAAATAAGCATCAGTTAAACAGAGACGTGTAAACAATATATATGCAAAAACCTGAATGCTGAAACAGTGCGCCTAGTATCTCAAATAATATAAGAAAAAGACGTAAAAAGCGAAGAAAATTTTCTTTTCAACGATTGATTCTCATGAGCTGCTGTACAATCGTAATTATATAGAACAAAGAAATCATTAGACCAATCAGATACTGGTAAATTTGTCCTCGAAAAACTTGTTACCTAATGTAAGGTGCAACCTAGATCGGGTGACTAACTGGAAGTTGGCATGATGTAATAATCGTGAGATTATGACTAATCAATACGATTGTGTAGAATGGACAGGAACTAGTGGAAAGACGATAAAGTGTTTTTATATAAAATCTGTCTGTAAACTGAATGTTATTAATAAACAGTAGTAGAGTGATGATAAAATAAGTATGATGAGAATATTAATAATAATAATGGTAAACTTACATAATAAATAAATAAATAATAGTCAACTATGTTACATCATCCGATTAACTTATTTATTTTCAACTGTATTATTCTCTCCCCCCACCCTTGTTTTAACCACCACTCATTAACATTGTTGCCGACCTGACCTACTCTGAATTCTACTCAATTGTATTACGTCATCCAATCCACTTAATCAAGTCTATTTCACTTTCTATCTTAACGCTTGTCTCCAAACCAAATAATACTTATATTACACAATTATCTAAACTTTATAAATCGAATGTACACACACACAAGCAAAATTGTATATATATGCGATTGTACAGCTCAGTGAATGAATTCGCCGAAAAGTGTCTCTTCGCTGAACGCCTTCTCTTCTTTTATAATAAAAGGAAGCAAAATTCTAGTAAGAACGTTACTCTTGCCACTGTAGGGCGAGTGAAAGTATGTGGTGGTTTTGAATGCAGAGGTCTTGTTCCAGATCCCGAATAGCCAATGATTCAGCTATGTACACATGGCGTATTATAATTATCTTCATCATAACTGGCTGAGATTGTTTAGGTAGCCTGATAATCAGCTTTGATTGATTAACTAAAGGTTTCAAATTAGCACTTAGTATATATTTTGGTAGGCAAGTGTCTTTCTACAGTTAGAAACCATATTTTGATTCTTGCAGGTTTTCCATCGCTTGTTTCACTTACGTTTATTCTTACTTCTTATCTAAGGTATATCGTAGACGTCTTAGACTTTCTGACTGGTTCCGTGATCATGACAAACTGAATCATGGATATCTACCAAGAATAACTTTCCGACGATGTCTTGGCGTTCTAAATTTACAAATCGGAGAAACAAATTTAAGTGTTCTCGAAGACAGGTAATGACTTTTTGTGAAATGGTATATTTGATAACATTCTAGATTTCCGTGTGAAAATAAGACAGACACGTACGTAAGGTAACCGTAGTCACGGCTTAGTGGATTTCATAGATCGAATGTCTTGTATACATTAAATTCCTGCTTCTGTCAATACCGGTCTGTTTTCTGAGGTGATACAGGGTGTGATTTTCACCCTAGAATGTGTAGTTAGGTTGATGCCAGAAAAACAAGAATTGTGTTTGTAATTTTGTATTAACATGAAACTCAGACAGAAGTCCAATCACAAAAGCTAAAAGGTGACCTAGAGTTTAGTGACTGACTGATTGGTTTCAGCATAGAACTTTGCATAGATGTGCAGCAGTTCGAGTTGTCACACTACATGTAGCACACAAAGCAAGAGAAGAGAGTAATGAGAGATAATAAACAGAGATATGAGGCAAGTAGAATAGTATTATAGAAGAACAATATAATTTTATTGGGTATTATAAATCACAAGAAGTAGTGAATGCATCCGTGCCATCACCGAGATCGATTTTCAGCGATTGGTTTTTACCACCTCGAATCTACCAACTAGTCAGGAAGTCTACACTTCCCTACGTAGCTGGCCTAAACTGACTGTTGTGAATTTCACAGACTGACTGATTAGGCCATGTTTTGGTTTGACCACCACTAACTCTTTTGCAACCTGATTCATCCCATGCCAGCTAACTCTGCCCGTAGTCGAGGAAGGCGGTGGATCGCTAGGGTTGCATGCGTAACATATGTCCTAACCATCTGTCTCAATCGGTGTAACTTCACAGTCTCGTTGACTGATTTCCCTTCCTTACCTAGCACCTGACCTATGCCTCACCTCAATATTGCTCACCTTGTTATACCACTGCTTAGCATGAGAGATAGAACTCAGACACATATGATCAAAGACGGCTAGCTAAGCTTTTTATGTCTTCCACTTTCAATAGCCATTTCTCACAGTCACCCATAACAAAGGATGGAGCGAATTGGTGCCGCCGAGCAGTACACATGCTCTATGGTCAATAAGCAGCTGGATGTCACGTCTACTAAGCCAGAGATGGCGTTATTTGGCTGAAAATTGCCAAACCAGCCTTCTGCATACATGAGGAGATTTTGTCAGCGATCAACCTGCTGGCGTTGGGAGATGCGACTCCCCAAATAAGTGAAGTGGTCAACACACTTCACCAATAACTTCACTCACTATCTTTAAGCTGGGAGTAATTCGATGTAGTGCAGACCAGTCCTGTAGCATCATCATCTTATATTTGCCAAAGGGAGTGAATCTCATGTCAAACATCCGAAGATTACTCCTCCTCAAAGTATTCAGAAGACAGAATTTTGTCAGCGTCTTCCTCACACGGGAGGGAGGACTATATCATCCGTATATTCTAAGTCAACGAGGCTATTATTCTCTGGTGGTAATAAGTCAGTCCCTGAGTCGCTGAGAACCTGGTTTGTAGTAGTACTTGGACAAATCCATATTCTACCAGTTAAAACATACTTACTTGTTGTTCAGTCAAGAACTTATCTCCCAACAAATATATAGAAGTAAGTGGAAGTGCACTGGACATAAGCTGAGTGGCATCACGTGTCAGGCATTCGAGTGAAACCCGAATAGAAAATGACGAATTAGACGTCCCTAGAGTGAAATGCAGGCGGTCGTTTGAGTAGAAGGCAGAAGCTTATGAGCAGTGATGAAGTCAACTTAAATGGAATTCAGTGGACAGAGCGAAACGCAGATGTGCCGCTGAAGCCTTACGTTCTACTCAGAATCTAAGGGAATTATAATAATATCCGTTATGAAATAAACTGGGTCATTACAGATACCTGTGCAATAGACCGGACTAATATTATAGAAATGGGATTAACTAACGGATTTATTCGTGCATTAAATGTTTGATCTCGCGATCTGCATGTTAGTACAGGTATATAGTTAAAGTGACGCTAACTGATATTTATAAAGTGTATTAACCCAAGGTTTCCTACTAAACTTGTTATTAAGAAGTTTTGTGATCCACAATCAATAATAATAATAATCTACTTTATTCCAAGACGAACAGTACTTATAATACAGAATGGAATTCTCAGCATTTGTCACAACACCTTGCATCTGATTTACTCAAAATGTAAACAAAATTAAAAATTAAAGCAAAATTAACCAGAGGAATTTGTCTACATTTACGATATAAAGTCCAAAATGTTCGAAGCACGAATTGAGAATATTAAGTATAATAATAATAATAACAGTGAGTTTGTTTCAAACAGTATAGTCGATTCAGTGTGAGAACTTCAGCATGTTACAGATTATTGTATCTAATGTTCTGTTGATATAGCAGCATGGTGAGGGGAAATACAAAAAATAACAGTTTTAACACAGCTTAAATAATGAATCACACTAATGAAAAATAAATAAATAAACAAAAAGAAAAAAATTGAGAGGATTATAAATACAAGAAATACAATAACAATAAAGTTTGTTGTAAGGGTGGAGGAAACGGTTTATTTAGTAGTGCAAAGAAGGTTAGTTAGTTCATGCCTAACACTATATTTATAACATAAAGTACGTGCAAAATATGGTATAGTGGAATTTTTATACTTAGATGAACGTGCATAAAGTCTTCTGAAAAGACTTCTTGTTTTACCTGAGGAGACACAAGGTTGGGGCTGAGGTTAAGTGACGTGGATGCTCACAGTATGACAAAATTCCTTTAGGAAATTTGTTGCATGACATCAAATGCCTGTCAATGACAGTGTCAACGATATAGCCCGATGGGATAACACTCGCCCTGTTGAAAGTCTTCAGAGTTCTACGAAGTATGACTTAGTCTTTTTTATGCAATCCAGGAGAGAATAAGCAGGGGTGTACAGTAAAGAAGAATAGGTAAAATACACGAGTTGACAAACTGTAAGAAGAGGAGTTGAGTTATGTCTGAGTGCCTTCACTTCCTAATGTAAAAAGTCAGACAAAATATTCCTTTAGAAATCGCCAAGACAGGGGAAACCAGGATAGGTCAGAAGAAAGAATTAATCCAAGATACTGAACTTCAGATTTGGTTTCTATATCTTTATCATCAACGGTCCTAGGAACTAACAGCTTCATTTAACTTCCTTTTACATTGGAAACTGAAATTAACAGTCTGACATTTAGAGGGATTCAGTTTAAGGCTATTAGTTGGCCTAACAGTCATTGTCCACATACTAGTAGGGTTGGCGTTTTTAACCGCTAATGGTGTGGTACACTTGTCTATCCCTTCTAGAGAAGACAAGGGTCTTTGGAGGCCTTCCCTGTGACTTAACATGACAGGCTTGTAAGCATAAATGCGCGATGGATTAGCAGTATAGAACCAATGAAAAATGTGGCAAGGCATTCAACCGATTGTTGTTTCACTACTACAAAGATTCGACTGGTGTAGAGATGCACATCAGAACTGAATTCGGATGAGGGGAAACAAGCAGCGAATTTATTAAACTTGAGCCTTTTGAAGCTCTATGAATCGGCTAAATATCTTTCGCCTGGATGTTTCTTATCTTCATTAAACAATTGATGTACACCTGTTTTACATACCATTAATATCATATTTGAAATTGCATTTCAGATATAAAGGTCCGCTGCCTGAGACAATAGATTGGAGGGCGTTTGTTGCCGATATTGAGACTATATTCCAGACACCGAATTTAGAAAAAGATCCTTTAATAGAACCTGGTGTATACAGGCCGGATTCACCAGTGGCTCAGAATTATTTAACAGCTGAATTAGCTAAAACCGCTGCTGAAGCAATTGTTAAGATTCAAGCCAGGGTGAGTGTCTTTTAAAGTATATATATATGTTTATATGCATAGAATATTCTAGATTAGTAGTCAATAACAATATGAGTGTATTTTAAATAATAATATCGATTTGTAAAGTAAGATCACAATGGAATTACAGTTCATTAAAGATGCTTAAATTATAATAATAATAATAACAAAGATATAGTAGCAAATAGAATATCAACCAAAATTGTGGAAATTCCACAACAAATTGAGGATCATTCAAACCTAGATGGCCAAGGTAAGGATAATTTCTGAACTAACAAACTTCTTTTGGAGGCACAAATTAGGTTTCTTAATATGGATCCCAACAGCCAGTCTCAGCAAAGTTTAGTAGTCGAACTTTTAAAGCGAAATTGATATTCATTGTTATGCGGTAAATGACTCTGAAAGCTGCCTGGTTAACATCAATCTTGTCTTCTGTGTCCACAAGATGAGACAGAATAGTGCTGTGAATAGATTTTGTTTGTCCTTTACTTAACCACACAGGGTGATGTTCAGCAATTCGAAGAGAAACAACAGTTCCTTAACGAATTCGTTATCAAGTTACATAATCGTATACATACGTGATTTTGAAAATGACTATATCTCGTGAAGAAATTTAAACAATGTGTTTTAGTGATAATAATCATGATGTGAGTTGCGAAAAGATACTTGCTATTATAGTCATAAGTTACGTAGCATATAAAATAGGTAAGAAATCAAGACAGTCAAACGGATCCACAGAACACAGAAGAAACAATTTATTGAACTTGTGAACATAAATATGCAAACGAACCGTAAGTGTCCATCATATTTTATGGTTCATTTCTGCTTAGAGGATTTTTGTGGTATGAAAGTCTTGAGTAAGCTGGCGCCAGATTTGTTTTAGTTATTTTATGACGCTGTAAGTAATTTTCTGTCAAAAATCATCGGTCAGCTGAGAATGTAAGTAGGGATTTATACTCACCATTGAATGCGCAAAGCTCTATCTACTGCACGTAAAAGACATGCATTCATGAAGATGTTAAATGACAGTGATCAAGACAGATGTCTATAAGCCTCAGCTAGAAAATGATAAAGGATACGTGAGACATTCTGTATCGCGTGATAATACTTCATAATTGATTTAGTAATGTAGAAATTTACATTAAACTATAGCACTGAAAGTGGACCCAGAGACGACAGCAGATATGCTGACTCCATTATTGCAAAAGGTCTGGAAGGAGGCAAAGGTACCTCCTGACTGACAGAAAGGTTACCTCGTGAAACTATCAAAGAACGGCGACTTAGGACTCTGCAAGAACTGGCGAGGAATCATGCTCCTGTCGACGCCAAGTAAAATGCTGAGTCGCATCATCCTGGGGAGAATAAAGGACTCACTGGATACAGAACTCCGACTAGAACAAGCTGGATTCAGGAAAGGCAAATCATGTTCTGACCAAATTGCAACTATACGCATCATCATCACAGAACAAAGCATGTAATGGCAATCAAACCTCTTCCTCAACTTTATAGACTTTGAGAAGGCCTTCACCAGACAGCGTTGACCGCGAAGTAATTTGAAAACTACTCGAGTACTACGGCGTACCCCAAATATTCATCAACCTTATCCAACAGCTGTACGACAACGGCACATGTCAAGTGATCCACAACGGAAAACACAGCGAGGCGTTTGCAGTAAACACAGGAGTCAGTCAAGGGTGCTTATTATCACCAATGATATTCCTAATTGTGGTGGACTGGACTGGATTATGCGTCAGACAGTGAGAAAGGAGAAGACATGGATATCCTGGACCGACGTGAAGAACCTAGAAGACCTGGATTTCGCGCGTGGATGATTTATGTTTGATGTCACACAAAATCGAAGACTTACAAGCGAAAACCGACAAACTGGTCGAAGAAGCAGCCAGAGAAGACAGGACTCCAGGTGAACACAGACAAGATGAAGGTTATGAAAATAACCAAACAACAACAACAACAACAGCATCAACACCCAACGCCAATCACAATCAACGAGAAGGCTTTGAAAGAGGTTACTTCATTCACTTATCTAGGTAGGGAGCATTGTCTCAACTACAGGAGAAACAGACGAGGATGTCAAATCGAGAATCGGGAAGGCGAGAAACACATTCATCAACCTGAAACCAATCTGGAAATCTTCGTCACTCAGCCTGCATCAACAACAAAACTCGGATTTTCAATACAAACGTCAAGTCAGTCAGTTCTTCTATGCTTGGTGGGTCACAAAGAATATTTCCAACAGGTATCAGATATTTATCTACAACTGTCTTCGTTCTATACATAAGATCAGATGGCCAGAAAGAATCACCAACAAGAAACTATGGGAACAAACAAACAAAACAAGAACCAATCGCCAAACCAACCAAATATGCAGGAGAAAGTGGAGATGGATTGGACACTCGCTGAGGAGGCCACTGGGTGACATCGCGCGTCAGGCCAGTGCTCGAGTGGAACCCGAAAGGGAAGCGGCGAGTGGGACGTCCAAGGGTGACATGGAGGAGATCGTGTAAAGAGTAGTTGAAACAGTATGGACTAACATGGATTCAGGTGAAAAGTACAGCAGCAGAGAGAAGCAAGTGGAGACGTTCGGCTGAAGCCCTATGTTCCACTAGGAACCCAAGAAAACAATAATAATAACAATAGTAATAATAATTCCAGCAGTTGCCATGTTTTAGAAAAACAATTAGTGAAACTATATTGGACAAATATGTAGTGAAGAGAACGCAATTAGGTGAAGAATAATGGGAAGTCCCCGAGTGTGAATGATGACTGGGAGTGAATACATCGGCGGCACTATGGAAGATCTTGAGCCGTTTTATCAACCACCATTCCACGGATCAGTATACACCTCCCTATGTGGTGTAACTAGCAGTCAAATACTTCAATTAACGAAATACTCCCATAGTGAGTCATACAAAAAAGGAGCAACCAGTGAAGAAAATTTTCCTTTCGACGATTCATTTTCATGAGCTGTACAATCGTAATTATATTAAACAAAGAAATCTTTAGACCAATCAGATACTGGTAAACTTTGTCCTCGAAAATGTATTACATAATGTAAGGTGTAAGAAGGGATGACTAAGTGGAAGTTAGAAAACAGGCAGAAGTTGGCATGACGTAATAAGTGTGAGATAATGACTAATCAATAAGTTCGTGTAGAATGGACAGGAACTAGTGGAAAGACCGATAGAGTGTTTTTATATAAAATCTGTATGAAAAGCAATGTTATTAATAAACAGTAATAGAGTGGTAATAAAATATGGATGATGGGAATAATAATGATAATAAAATAATAGTAATAATAATAACAATAACAATAATAATAGTGAACTTACATAATAAAAGAAAGAAGCAAAATTATAGTAAGAACTTTACTCTGGCCACGGTAGGGCGAGAGAATGTATGTATCGCTTTTGAATGCAGAGGTCCGGTTTCAGATCTCGAATAGCTAGTGCTTCAGCTATATACGGATGACGTATGCGAAGTCCCTTTCTACGATATTGAGGGACTCTGTGTAGCATTGCGAAGGATTCATGCAGGGGTGCTTGATGTCCGGAGATGACAGGGTGTTCGAGGATAGAGCTGCTGCTTTTCTTCCTTTCTCCTCTGGCTAACCAACCTGGACAATGTTCCAGAATACGTTTATGGACTTGACGTTGCGTACGGCCAATACACTTTGCTCCACACGAGCAAGTAAATTATAATTAGCCATCCCCTCCTGTCCAATCTTACACCTTACATTATGTAATACATTTTTCGAGGACAAAGTTTATCAGCATCTGATTGGTCTAATGATTTCTTTGTTAAATATAATTACGATTGTACAGCAGCTCATGAAAATGAATCGTCGAAAAGAAAATTTTCTTCACTGTTTGCTCCTTTTTCTTATGACTCAAAGACTTCATAGATTGGCATTTGTATTCTGACTGTGGTGTAAATAGATATGTAAGCTTTCTGTTAACCCAGCTGAATATTTATCATTCATATGCCTGCATTCAGTTTTTACTATTCCTTCCGTTAATTCCAGGTGAGAGAACGTAGATTACAGCTTGCCACATTGTTCGGTGATTTTGATCAAACGCATCGTATGACGGTCAGTCAGAGTCAATTTCGTCGTGTACTAATGACACTGGGTCTTGGTGACCTGCTAACAGAAAGAGAATGGACTGCACTTTACTGCAAATATCGTCATCAGTTAGGCGTAACTGACAATATCAATTATCTGGCCTTTGCTGATGATGTCTACAGAGGCGCTGGTATCGAACCACGCATACCATAGTTGTATCATGCAACCATAAATTATGGTACGAAGTATCAGTATAGGTGCGTCATGTCAAGGAAAAAACCAGTTGTTGTCTTTTTAAAGAGAAGCAAGGCCGTTTTTATCACCAGTATCCTTATTTGTAGTAAAAAACAAAAACAAAAAGTGCTCAGTGATTGTATCTCTTGACAGAACAGTACAATGATGCAATGAGCATAACATACTAGAAATAAAGAAGTATTTCTGTTACACAGTCTTTTCTTTTTCAATCAATTACGATAAAAATAGGTGCCTAAAAGTACTAGTAGGTAAAGGGATAGTTGGTGGTAATCTTGTTATATTTTAAAACCCAAGAGTATCTTTTTTACTAGAGTTTGATGCACGACTGAAACCATTGCAGATTGGGCATTACTAATCAGCACAGATGAGAAAAAACGGTTTAAGCAAGGAGAAAAACATATGTGTAACACTTGGGTACTGTGGTAGTAAGTAATTCCATATTAGTTTGTTCGTTAGATGTATCACACAGTGAGGGAAACAGTATTATTCACTGGATGACAATGTTTCGATTAAAATTTATTGTGGTTCATAATCATTTCATCAATTATAATCACACGACTTCGAAACTTGAGTTTTATAGTTTTCTTTGTCCTCCCCTATTTGTCGTCGTTGGGGTAGTAGGATTTTTCAGATATCTGGGTGGATAGGTGTTGAGTCATTCCTATTACACGTATTCTCTGTCAGATGATTCGATAAACAACGATTCCGTTACCAATCTCTCCCTCCACCCTGTGACATTAGATTTTAAAAGTCATCCTATCCTATTCCATTATATCGTTGCATGTAGTCCTATAGCTGAACTATTCTCTAGATTTCTTATCTTATTCGGGTCAACCAATCTAGATTTTCCTGCTAAGTTTTTCTGTTCAACTAGTCTGACTGCCCTGTTCTACTAGTTTGACCTATGTATATGACCTGACAATCATTGCAGCAGGGTATTAGATAAACTAAAATGTTTTGTTTTAAAGGCTCCACAGGATCTTTCCTCTAACCGTCAAAGCTTGTTTCTAATTGAATTTGTGGGTAATTGAATGCGAGCCACTTTTATTCCTGCCTTGTTAAGAATTCTGCGTAAGGTTTCCGAGGTTCATTCTTTGTCTGGAATTACTACTGATGATTTAGATTCCTTATTGTTGGTGTGGTCATTAATTTTATTGTTATTATTATCACTATTACTGCTATCATTATTTATTTTATTTTTACATTTCCCTACATATTTTCTGACTAATTTATCCGGGTAATTATTAAGTTTCAAGGCTGTCTTGTCTGTGAATCTGGGTGGGAATCCATTTTCTATCAAGATAATTCTTCATCGATTGACTCTTTTCAATGCAAATCTTCCGGATCCTCGAGGAAAGAGAGTACATTAGGTTTCTCTTTCTGCTTAGAGGCACAGAACTTTGAAAGTTAATAAACTGTCCGTTCCATGTGAGCTGTCTGTAGATGGATCTTCTTAGTGAGTTGTTTGCATTCCTTCGTAGTTGAATGCCGAGAGGTGAATAGTTGTGTAAAACTTGGGCACTGTGGTAGCAAGTAATTCAATATTAGTTTGTTTATTAGATGTATCACACACAGTATTATTTACTGGATGACAGTGTTTCGAACAAAATTTATTCGGGTGGGGCGTGTTTGTGTGGGCGTCATTGAAGATTTGAATTAGGCTTTCTAGGTCACAATTCTCATCACAAATAATAAAAGTATCATCGATGTATCTCTTGTGGAGATAGAGGTCGTCGATTGTTGATGATAAGGAGTTGTTCTGTAGGCTAACCACAAAGCAGTCGGCCAGGATGGGTCCTAGGGGAGAACCCATTGCTACTCCATTATTATTAATCTAACCTCTGACCGGAAATAATTCTGGAACTTTCTCACACATGTAAAATACAAATACACGAATGTACAGCTGTCTAGTTGGTGACTTCGTCGAAAAGAAAATTTTCTTCGCTGCAACCGTCTTTTTAATAAATCCACTTGAACAAAGCAAAAATACCAAATGTAGCAGGATAATATGGACAGATTTTTGTTACAATTTTGCAGATTCTTCTAAACTGCTTTTAACATCCAATCAATGCCGAAAGATATAAATTACAAAAAGGGCTGAAAAGTAGTTTTTTTTACTTTCCCCGACCAGGTAATAACAGTGACTATACGTAACATAAGTCCAGAATGAAGTACGTAGTTAAAATAATCAATACTCAAACAACATTAGGTGGTCGCCTCCCTTCTAACTTGACCGCTAAACACGGAGAGTGAGTTATACTTGTGATGAAAAAATCCCGCCTTCTACACAAAGTACCGATAACATGATTTCTTAAGAAAAATATTAAAAGGACGGTGGAAGCGAAGAGAATTTTTATTTTCTGACGAAATCATCAACTAGACTGTACGGTGGAGGTATTTATAGCAAATGGGTTAGGAAGTTCAATAACTGTTTCCCGCCAACGATGAAATTGATTATACTGCTAGTACTAATGTGGTGGTGAGATACAGACAATGTGTTCCAAGGGAGTATTATTCTCACAGTCCAATACGGCATTAGCAACAGAATACGAGATGTGTATATTTGAACATTCTATTTCATGTCATTTAGTGTAAGCCGAAATCACGTGCTCAATGATTGGCCTCTATGCCTTGTCTCCTTTTGTTACATTAGTAGAGATTAAAATGTAATAACAGACAAGAAGATCGGATAAAAACATAGTATGATTATAATTACTGCGAAAAATGACTTTTCCGTATAATTAGGGATTAAAACATGTAACAATAATAAAGTGCATAGAAAGTACGGGTAAAAAGTAGAGTAGTGCTTACAGGGATGAAAAAACAAAAATAAGAGAAATAAACAGGAAGTTTGTATTAGAAAGGTAGTAGGATAATCATTATTGAGAATACTCAAGTATTGGTTTGTAGGGATTTGGTTGATTGGTTACAGGACCTCATCATGAGCTGACACTGGTTACGGAACCATTGGAAAACCTGGGAGTACTGGACAGCTGTTTTGTCCTAGTTTGGGACTCTTCAGCAGTACGCCATTGGATCGGGTCTCACTGGCTTAATGGTATGCGAGCTCGCCTTGTAACCAGAAGGTTCATGTTTATGACTATTGTAATTTATGTTGGCTTTAATGAACTTCTCTGGATATCCGTTCTCGCTTAGAATGTCTCGGATGACCTGGAGTTCTTTCTTTTTACACAGTCTTCGGAACAAACAGACCTCGCTCTAAATGCTAAGCACCTGATCAGATTACGTTTGTATTTCATCGGTACGAAGCTAAGGATAAGTATGTGTACTGAGCTTTGGTCTCTAGCTATCTAAATATGGTTCTTTTGATGAAACCATCCTCTCTTCTCGTTAGTAGGACGTCGAGGAAGAGTAGAGAGTCGTTGTTTTCTCCCTCGTAGGTGAAATGGATTGCTGGCTTAGCATTATTGAAGTTGATCAAAATCAAATCACCACGTAAACCTTCATGGTACACTACAAAAGTCTCATAAGTGTTATGCAGTAATATTAACTGTTAGTTAATATTATTTTACTTTAATATTACTTTACTTTAGTTAATATTATTGTATAACGCTATGAGACTTTATCAAAATAAAATCTTATCTATAATGGAGTTATACTCTAGCATACTGCCCAAGTTTTATACTTCTGTCAATTTCTCAGCTGTCATTTAACTGGTATACCTGCAGTGTTTTGGGAATAATGCCTAAATGCAGCAACTACACTCCAGTGACTTGATAACTGAAAATCAACGAAAGAGTATTTATTCACTAACAGATTGAAAAAAGGGACGTCAGTCAGTCAAAAATGCTAACAGAGATTAAAAAAACAACATTAACTTCACTGCTGTGGACACTGTCTGTACGTAATACCATCAGATAAGTTCCCTTCATCATATCGAATACATCAACTGGCTTAACTACATGAAGAAAATAAAGCCTAGTTACTCTTTCCATAAGGAAGTTATCAGAAAGGGATAGGATGTTTTTCTTTTGTTTTGTTTTTATTTTGTTTTCTAAGCTGTCTGGAATAAACACGGAAGCAAAGCCTATCTCATATACACAAAAACAGAAACAAAATACACCTACCTATCTACACAAGAAAAGCAACTCATTAAAAAGTCAAGCTTGCAAAATGCAATGCAATTTCACAATAGATATTAAGCAGAAAGAAAATACACTGTAAAATAATAATAATAATATAAGGCATAACTGTTTCTGAGGCAAACACACTTACAAGCGATAATAAACAGCTTAGGTCTTAGTATTCAGGAAGTAGTGTATTGCAGCACACAGTTTTTAATTAAAATAGTGATTAAAAGCTTATTAGAAGGTGTGTATACAGTGACAATAAAATCTAAAGTACTTTTTTATTTTTGTTAAACCAAGGTATTCTCAGTAGTATTAATCACAGGAAATGTTTTAATGCATGTACTGCATTACTGTACTGAGTAGAAATTATCGTAAAGTTGGCGCCCATTTGTCATGAAAATGCATATACTATTGCGTTACAAAAAATAACAAACAATTTGTAGGCTATCAGGAATTATTTTAAAAAAAATGCAGAATAATGCAACCTTACCATTATCATTTAAAAGAAGTTCATCTTTGTGTGAAATCACTTGTCATAGAGAGAGAGATGAAAACTTTTCATATAATGCATAGATTTCGTTGAAACACCTCTATACAAGATTTGCTGTGAATTTTTGTACCAATCAATCCATGAGGCTGTGAAATTACATCGACTGAAATGGTTAGGACATGTGTTACGTATGCCTAGTCATCGCCTTCCTCGACAATGGACAATGCTAGCTGACATAGGGGCAAACTGGAAAAGAGCTAGCGAGTGGCGGTCAAACCAAAACATAGCCTCATCAGTCAATGAAATCCACAACAGTTAGTTTAAGCCAGCTACGTAGGAAGGTGTAGACTTCCTCGTTGGGGTCCTCGGGACGGTAAAAAACAATGACGGCTGGTGACAATTGGTGATATGGCTCAAAGTGATCGTTCTCAGTGGCTGGCGCAAATGCATCCACTCCTTGTGACTCATGATTTCCAATGAAACTATATCGTTCTTCGTTATTACTATTGCTTCGTCCCACACCTCTGTTTACTGTCTCTATTTTGCCTTTTTCTACTTTCTTCTCTTGCTTTGTGTGCTACATGGAGTGTGGCGACTTGAACTGGTGCATATAGGCGCATAGTTCCATGTCCAAAACAGACAGACTAACTGATGTCACCTTATGATGAAATCCTACAACCAATCAAACGAAATTCCCTACAAAACCAATACTTGAAAATTAATCTGATGCTCACTAGAGACTGAATCTATTCACGCAGGTAACCTGAGGTTATAGTGAGAAGTCGTGAACAGTACAGTACAGTTGGTTGAAGTCGAGGCAGTAACTTATCGAAGAAGATACTGCGAAGTGGTCGCGCTATGTCATGAATTGTCAGAAGTTGAAATTCTTGGGCTGGCCATTGGATCGGGTGGGTCCCAGTGGCTTAATAGTCTACGAGGTAGCTCGCCTTGTAACCAGAAGGTCGTGGGTTCGAACCCTGGCAAGGGATACGCACCGATGAAGAGTCCCGAACTAGGATGAAATAGCTGTCCAGTACCTCCTGCAGTTTTTTTAATGGTTCTCTAACTGATTTCAGCCCATGATGAAATCCTCCAACCAATATCTATAAGACACAAAATTCTATACACATATGTCATTCATATGATACCGTAAGTGATAGAAACTGGAGACTACTGGATTACTTTCAGATACAATTCTTTGAAGCAGAGGGATATTTTTGAGCATCTTATAAGAGCAGAAGACAGGACGAAGAAGTCAACGTATATTTTCAAATGATCAAACAGCTCCTTATATCTATACAGTTTATATTCTTTGACCAATCATTCAGCAAGTGATTTTAGTTTTTACATTAAACGACTCGAAATAGAATGTTCAAATCCAGGTGTAGTATTCTATTGCGAATGCTGTGTTGAACTGTGGGAATAAGTGAGAATAATATTCCATTGGAACACATTGTCTCTATCACACCACCACAATCTTACTATACAATCTGTAATGGAACATATCATCAGCATTTATAAAAAATCAAGACTACCATAATGCTGTGTACGTCGGTGACACAGTGGTTAGGACGCTCGCCCACCATGCACATGGTCCGGGGTTCGACCCCAGGCCATCGACGCACTCCTTTACCTCGCTAAGCCAGTAATAAAACTGGTGAAGAGAAAGGCTGGGCATGAGGCTAGCAGCCCCATCCTGTAAAAATAATCACCACTGCTACAAAAACTTCAAGCCACTAGCTTGAAGCCCTATGTTCCACTGGGAACGTGAAGGAATAAAAAGAGAAACGGTAATGAGGTTACATTTCTTATCTAACAAAATGATTTGAAAATGCCGGGTCAAATGTCTTGCAAAGTAATGGATTAATGCGTAAACAGACTGTCAGAATTCTCTTCTCAATACGCTTACCGGTTAACCGAAAATCTATAGGATATCAGTCTTCAGAAAGACACTTAATCAAATGTACTACACTCTGATTTCTTAATTCGTTAGGATTGTGTAATTGTATCACTTTTCAGTCTTTCCTACATTATATGATCACCAGTAAGACATTATTGCAAGATGGAGGGAAACTTTATGACGCCTAATGTTTACTTTCGCTGTACTCCAGGTGCCTTTTCTGTGGTAGTCAAGATACAAGAGTTAGAAACATAGTGACAACGGTCGTGTGATTCGGGACACTGCACAAAACACACCTGTATCAGCCTTAAGAACTACGCCTGAAGTGTAAACTCAACGTATAATCCACATTCCTTGACATAATTTACAAACAGGAGGATAGGGTCGTAGACAGTTGCATGGCAAGCCTCTAGAATTGTTTATTAGGGACAATTATTGATAATTTTTAGTTGCATATATATGTCGACAACATTGTGATTACTTTCATTAATAAATTTGAGCATAAATAATTCTTACATGTAATTTAATGACTGCTATCCGGTGACAGAATCCACTCTCCTAAGTGGAAAAAGAATCTAAAGTTCCCTTTCTTGACTCTCAAGAAGAAGAATTGAACCTCCGGAGAGATATCTTCATTCAAAACGGATATCTATAGAGATTTACTGACGAGAATATCAAACCGAAAATTTATAGACAGGAGATATGGTTTATGCCAAAAAATAAACTTTGTGCGAACCTTGATTTCAAAGGAACACTAGCCTGCGGTGTCGTTGAGAGAGAATAATTTCAACACCTTTGAGAACATTCTTTTGAGGGATGCCATCAGTAGTGTTGTTCAATCGCTGACTGATGTGCTGAAGAGTGAAAGACACTGTCTAGCATATAACCGCTTCTTTTTGCCTGTAGTAGTTCACATGTTCCTGTGGAGCCAGGTATATAGACATTTCCTACTTGTGAAAAGGATTTCGAAAATAAAAGACAAATTCAACGAAGAAAATTTCCTTTATCGATGAAATCATCTTCACAGGCTGTACAGTCGTATTTATACTTACCAAAAATGTATAGTGGTCTATTATTGAGTAATAGGGGTGACATAATTGATATAATTACTCGGAAGTGGCTTTAGAAGTAAAAAATTAAAAGCTGTAAATTACGTGGTATTGGCCGCACAAAGAGCACACTTTCCAAACACATCTGTGAACAGATTCCGGCATTGGTTAGCAAAAGGACAAATACTAGTTCAATTCGCAAGCACCTGGTGTACTCAGGCCACGCAGCTCCACCAGAGTCGTCTTTCAAGATCATCTGCAAGGTTATGCCAAATGGTACAAAGGGCGTCAGTTTCGGCTTTTGTGTATAGCGGAGACGCTGGGAATTCGTCAAAACAATCCCGAACTCTGTAGACAGAAAACGTTTGTCGAGTCTCTGATTCTACCTTGGTCTTTACCTCTTCACTAATCATTCCCTGTAAAAGGTTTTGATTTTTTCTTTTCTTTTTTCAATTTTACTTTTAGTTTGCTTTTGCTTTGATAATTAATTCCCTATTATCACTCTCATATGCTCCTTTAGTACATTTCCACACCCTCTTCACACTTGCTAAATCGACACTCAACTACCTTTATTCTCGCTCACTCAATTGCAATTTTAACCTTATCAAATTTCTATCTTTGTGCCGTTGAGTACCACTTAATTTACAACTTTATTGTTTTTTACTTCTAAAGCCACTTCCGAGTAATTATATCAATTATGTCACCCCCTATTACTCAATAATAGACTACTATACATTTTTTGTAAGTATAAATACGACTGTACAGCCTGTGAAGATGATTTCGTCGATAAAGAGAATTTTCTTCGCTGAATTTGTCTTTTATTTTCTTCATGACTCAGTGGGTGTTTTCGGTGAGTCTGAAAATGCTATCCCACATGACGGCAGAAGGGTAGCAGCGCCTCTATAAGGAGTACGATAACTGAACACCTCTTCGGCACTGGTCATTCTATTTCAACAAATTCATCCTTCAAAGTAATCCACAAAGTGAAAAGCAACCTGCTAAAGACAATACGCTATCATCTGCTTTGCATTAATGAAGCTGTAGCCATCGAGAAAGAGATAGAGAAATCTGCGCCATGTTGTTTTCAACCCTTTTTAACTCTTGTGTTCTCTGAAAGTATTACGTAACATCACATTTCACCCGTTTCTATACACAGCCTGATTACAACTCACTCACTGTTAAATTATTCACCTCATAAAATTATTCTATCATCCCTATTCCACCTCTTTCATGTACTGATTAACACATGTAACAACACCTGTTACAATTCACCTTTTATATGAATAGTCCAGTTTAGGGGAAGAATTTAGCGCATAAATGGGACTGTACAGCTCTTCAGCTGAACACCTTTTGCTTTTCATTAGTGCTTGAACGAGCGTTATTCATCGACGCTGATTTTTCCCACTATTCTCTCTCTCACTTAAAGAGAAAATTAGAACAAAACAAAAACTCTTAAGAAGATTGTTTTGTTTCTTCTTCTCTTTTTTTTATTTGTTTTAATTTGTACTCCAAATACAGTTTTATATTCATATTTACAATGGAATTGAAATACACAGTCGATGTTTGAATACTTTTCCCTGAATATTTAAATATATTAGAAAATGGTTACTTTTGTTTTTTGCAGCTAGAAACGGTCGGTTTTCTATGTTGTCATTTTGCTTTCCTGGTCTCTGAAAGAGGTAGATATTATTACTATTATTATCATTATTATTATTGAACAGCATTATGTAGATTTTGGTGCTGAAAATAGGTACTAATTTGATATGGTCGTCGTCTAAGTACTGCATAAGATTCATCAATGTGATACTGAATCATTACTTCTCAAGCAGTTCGTGGTTGAACCGATGAAAATGGCAGGATCTAGGGGGAATAATCGGAAAATAAGAAATGATAATAACAGGCAATGAGAGTGAAAAGCAGCTGTAAAAATCCCATAGAAAATCCACACTAAATAGATACTTCAATTTTCAAATATTGGTTTTTGTAGGGATTGCTTGTTTTAATGGGTTTGAGGATTTCATCATGAGCTGACATCAGTTAGACAACCATTGGGTAACCAGCTGGGAGTACTGGACAGCTGTTTCCATTGCCTTAGTTTGCGACTCTTCATCAGTACGCACTCACCAGGTCCAAGTGGCTTAATGGACGACCAGCTAGCTCGCCTGGTAACCAGAAGGTCGTGGGTTCGAACCCTGGCGCTGGGTGCGTACTGATGAAGAACCGGTTCCGAACTAGGACAAAGGAAACAGCTTTCCAGTATTCCCTGTTGGTTTTCCAACGGTTCTCTAACTGATGTCAGCTCACTATGAAATCCTCTAACCAACCATGATACTTCAATTATAACTTCCGATGAAAACAATAATCCCCCTCATCATCACCACCACATTGCTGCGCGTTCATAAAAACCAAAAAAGCTCAGAATATTGAACTATAAATTAATTTGTTAGATGTACTATACTGCTTTCAAAATATGCAAGCATCTTATTTCCCATCTGATTGTACCTGATCAATAACACTCATATTATTATTCCTCAATGTACATTATCCTATAGTGATTTTTATTCAAATGTCTAATCATCAATTCCTAAGATCCGGATTTTCAACTCCAATGTGAAGTCAGTGCTACTATACGGATCAGAGACTTGCACTGCGCGTCATAAAGAGCATCTCAAACAAACTACAGACCTTCATTGACAGTTGTCTTCGCTCAATACTCAAGATCAGATGGCCAGCCAGAAAAGATCAGCAACAGAGATCTCTGGGAGACAGTAAACAGAGGTGTGAGACAAAGGAATAGTAATAACGAAGAACTAAACAGTTTAATTGGAAATCATGAGTCACAAGGAGTGGATGCATCTGCACCAGCCATTGAGAACGATTTTGAGCCATGTCACCAATTGTTTCCAACCATTGGTTTTTACCGTCCCGAGGACCCCAACCAGGAAGTCTACACCTTCCTACGTGGCTTAGACTAACTGTCGTGGATTTCATTGACTGGTGCCATGTTTTCGTTTGACCGCCGCTAGCTCTTTTCCAGCCTGTTCAGTTCCACAGAACACCAACCTTTAGCTACTGAGCCACATCCATTTCGAACCGTTAAAAGGCAATATTTGTGTGCAAATGATATTATATTTAAGTGAATCAAAGTGAAAGTTAAGTCCTTTATTTGCTTTATCTACTGTCTCCAATGATTTCAATGATTGCAGCAGACTGGATAATGCGACAGACAGCGGGCTGGGCAACGAGGAAACAGGCATAAAATGGACTCACACAAAGAACTTGGAGGATCTGGACTTCGGCGATGATATATGTCTAATTTCCCACAAAAACTGGAAGATATGCAAGCGAAAAGCAACAAGTTGGAAGAAGAAGCATGCAGGGAAGATAGGAGGGACTTCAGGTGAACATGGAGAAAACAGAGGTGATGAAGATTCCTGACCGACAGCAACACCAACAGCAACAACAACAGACAACAATTAGCCAGTATAAATGAGAGAAATCTGAAAGAAACAATCTCCTTCACCTACCCACCGAAATGGGAAGCATCGTTTCAACTACAGGCGGACGGAACTGATGAGGTTATCATCACGGCGTGGATCGAGAAAGCAAGGCAAGCTTTCATTACTCTGAAGTCTGTGTGGAGGTCAACAGCTCTCAGCATGAAAAATGAGATCCGGATTCTCAACTCCTATGTGAAGTAAGTGCTACATATCATACGGATTAGAGACTTGGCGCTGCGTCACGAAGGGCACCTCAAACAAACCACAGACCACCAACAGCTGTCTTGGCTCAAGATCAAATGGCCAGGAAAGATCAGCAACAGGGTAGGATGTCTGGGAACGAACGAACACAGCAGGAACCGATTGTGCAACAAATATTCAAGAAAAAATGGAGGTGGATTGGATTGTGGCCATACTGTGAGAAAACTAAGCATCAAGTGAGTGACATCACACGCCAGGCCATCGCTCGAGTGGAACCCGAGTGGGAAGCGGTGAGTTGGTTGGTCGTCAGTGAGAGGGCGACATGGAGGAGATGAAAGCATGTGGGTGGCAGACGGGTAGCCAGGTGAAAACATTAGCAGAGAACCGAACGCAATAGAGACGTGTAGCTGAAGCCGTATGTTCCTCTAGGAACTAAAGGAAACAATAATAATAATAATTTGCTTTATCCGTCAATAGCATAGCACATACTTTCATAACCTTCCATTCTAACAGTGATGTCTTGAAATTACCAGTTGCTGTTCAGTTAACTTTCAAGGAGGAATACTAAAATCGAACAGAAGGAAGACCGGTGACTACTGAATGATGCTACAAGGATATCAAATAATGCCTGTAGAACGGCACATGTATTCGTGACAACGATACAGTGAAATGATGCAAACATTGACCTTGAAAACATGATCAGCAGTTAATAGTAAATGGAAGTCATGCCGGATAATTTCAGGAAACCGAAATAAAAAACACAGTCTGGTAATAAAGACCATATATCTCCAAATATTACAAAAGGAACCAGTATATTTTATACAATTTAAAATGACAATAACGTCAACCAACGTCTACTGCTAAACTCAGAAAATATCTACATCTAATCAGAGATTTCAATAAGACTGATTCATAACTGAGAAATTTTGAAAATTTATCTTGATTGTACTTAAAACTGCAGGTGAGTTGGTCTAGTTCCGAAGTACTATTTCCAAGAAACGAAAACCATACAAATTATTATCATCACGGTATTAGTATGCAAAATGTGATAGAGATTTGAATGAGATTTTTTACACACGCAGCTTTAATTCTGTCAGATATTTAGAAGCACATGAAATGTTTAGTAAACTCACAAAACGCTAAAACAAATTCCACTTGAAAATAACTAAGAGAGAGTTATATTTTGATTGGACACTAGTAACTAGTGTCACGTGTCTCGTCCTTTCTTTGGTGCAGACTGAATTCTATCAGTCAGTCAGGGTTTCCAATGTGACCACCATTCTAGGTAGCTCGCCATCATGGTGCACACATTGATTTGATGATATTAGATAGTTGGAGGCAATCGGCCACAGGAAACCTTGCTTGACCTAGGTTTCGTGCTAGTTGGCACTCACCAGTCAGTCAGCAAGGCATATCTGCAACCTTGAAGGAACTCATGTGCCCCCTTCTGAGATTCGAACCAGCGTCACCCAGTGCTACCAGCAGTCAGAGACGTTACCACTGAGCTATTCAGGCTCGCGATTGACCTTTTGTTGGAGTGTAGTGGGTATTTTGATTGGATACTAGTAACTAGTGTGACGTGTTTAGTTATTTCTTTGGTGCAGACTGAATTCTATCCGTCAGGTTTGCATTAGATGATTGAAGGTGATAGACAGGAGGCGTTGAACCTAGGTTTCATGCACTCTTCATCAATCATGTCGTGTTCCTTCTGAGATTCAAAATCGGATTATCCTGTGCTGTGCTATGACAGATTTTACCACTCAGGTATTTGGATTCTTGACTGACCTCCTATATGACTACAATGGATAATACTCTTTCATTGGACACTAGTTGATAACAAATGTCATTCGTTTAGTCCTTCGTTTTGAGTAATTCTACCAGTCATGTTTATAATTTGACGACTATGCTAGACTCCTGGCCATCACAGTGGCTAGCGGTTGCTCTATATCGTAAACCAGCAGAAGTTAGAATTCATGGGCTGGCCACTGGAACGGGTCCCGGTGGCTTAATGGTCTGCGAGCTCGCCTTGTAACCAGAAGGTCCTGGGTTCAAACCCTGCTGGTGGGTGCGTACTGATGAAGGGTCCCAAACTAGGACGAAACAGCTGTCCAGTACTCCCTGCAGGTTTTCCAATGGTTCTCTAACCAATGTCAGTTCATGATGAAATCCGGTTACTTTGATAGTTGTTAGATGATGGTTGAAGGGTGTGATACTTTTCACTCATCAGTCGTTTTTCCCTTACACGAAATTTCAGTTGTGTGGATGTACTGTTGCGCCCTATTGGAATGTTCATTCAATGCAAATACATGGGGTTTGATGGTGGTAACAAGGTGAAAATCTATTCAGTAACTTCATAGAAAGCAGCGTAAAATATATTTTGTTTTTTATCGCCTAAAGTTAAAAATCAACTTAAATGGCCGCCATTTTTTTAAAAATGGCGGTATTCATAATTTGGAGTTATCGTTTGACGTGCCTTCTTCACATTGTTGTTTCGCTAATCTATTGGTACTTCAGAAAAAACATGCATATCAAAAGATAAATAACATACCAAGCTGACAATGCACATATAAAACCTACTTATTTTTACTGAACAAGCATCACTACACATTTCAGGAGTTTGAATTAATAAAGTCGAACAAGCTCTTGTCAGTATACTTGAAGAATTCGCTATTGATTTTGTTATTATTGACGGTCTTGAACTGTATGGACGCCACAATTTTTGATGGTTGCCAAGTCGCTCTTTGGATGTATCAATAGGCGGTAGAGGGAATGTGATCTGCGTGAATGAAAATAGACAAACAAAATAAGTTAAATTAAATCATTGTTCAACGTGTAGTTAACCCAATCAGAAGACAAGTTTTCTGCCACACAGTTCAAGATTCATTCGACTTTATCGACTCAATCGAAAACGTCAACGTATCCAACAAGACCGTGATTTCATTAGATGTCACGTCATTTTTCACAGACGTCCCACTGACTGAAACAATATGCTACATATGCGAACTTATTCATTTGGAGGGAATAAATATCGGTATGCAAACCGAGCGTCTCAAAGAACTCCTACTGAGGTGTACCGTGAATGTTCAATTCTCTTTCAACAACGAAAAATATCGCCAAAAAGATGGTATATCTGTCGGTCCATTGCTTGCAGACGTCTTCATGGCAAAACTCGAAAACACATACTTGAAGAAAATGATCGATACCTTCGGATTCTACAAGAGATACGTCGACGACACTTTCATTATCGTCAACAATGGAGAAAATCTAGACGATGTCTTAAATTCTTTTAACAACTGCCACCCCACTATTCAGTTCACGTTAGAGAAAGAGTCAAACTTTCAAATATATTTTCTTGACGTTCAACTAACAAGACGAGAACAGGATGGAACACTGAAAGGATCTATTAACAGAAAGTCAACGTGGAACGGACAGCTTACTAACTTTCACAGTTTGGTACCTCTATACACCAAACGAAACCTGATCCGTTCACTGAGCTACAGAGTGCGCAGAATTTGCACCCCGAATACCATGGAAGACGAACTGGAAATCTCAAGAGAATCCTCGTCGAGAATTGTAATCCAAAGCGATTTATTGCAAAATCCATGAATCCTAGACCGCAAAAGCTGCCCACGCTTAGTGTCCCGAGAAACCTTCTCTACATGAACCTTCAATTCAATGGAGATTTATCTGTGGAAACACTTAAAAATCAACTGTCCCGTTCACTTAAGAAAACCCTCGTCGCAGCTGAACTGCGACTGACCTTCCCCAAGAAACCTACGATTCGTATGAACGTGAGGGACAAGCTACCACATCTGGCCTCATCAATGTGTATCTACCAATACACCTGCTCGTGTGGAGCCAGTTATGTCAGCTGTACCCAGCGTTCACTATCCAAACGTACCACCGAACACTTACCAGTATGGTTTTACATAGTCACATACACTATGATCGGAAAAGGACATTTGAAAGTTCACATTAGTTATTTCAAAACTACTAATGGTTAGACATATTTTAGAACAAGAATTAGGAGCACATTTACAAACTAAACAAATGAAATATGCGGGAATAATGAACGACTGGCTTTCGTGGACGCATATAAGATCAGAGAGAAATACTTCTCCAGGGGTGTACGATGATTTTTTTAAAACCTTTTTTAACATAGCCACTGATATTCTATCTTTCTAGTGTTATAAACTTAAGCGAGAATTTCTTCACCCCTCTTAGTTTTATTTTCAATCTGGTCCATGTGTGTTAAAATATAAAGTGTGCGTCGGTAGCATAGCGGTAGAATGCTCACCGACCATGCATGTGGTCCAGGGTTCGATCAACGGCCACAGACGCACTCTTATACCTCGCTAAGCCAGTATTAAGACTGATGAAGGGGTAAGGTTGGGTATGAGGATACCAACCCGATCCTGTAAAAATAATCATCACTGCTACAGAAACTTCAAGCCTCTAGCTTGAAGCCTCTCTATGTTCCACCAGGAACGTGAAGGAATAAAAAAATATAAAGTAATATAAAGTATGTTAAAACATAAGGCATTATATACTTCCGTTAGTCCAAAATTAGCAACAAAAACTATGCAACAATTACTCTATAGTGATGAAAACATAATACCGCAATGTTCAACTTGGATAGAACTCATAAAGTTATGTCTTACAGAATACTTCCAATTCAATACTGAAATATATGAAAAGATAAAAGGAACAACAATTGGATCTCTCATATCAGGCTTATTAGCTGAAGTTGCGTTATGCAAAGATTAGAATTAATAGCTATACCTATAATTAAACCAAAAGTCTGGGTTCATTACGTTGATGATACATTTGTAATAGTTAAAAGAAATGTGATTTGGAATATACCCATAAATTAATACACAACATATTTGAAGACATCAAATTCACAAGAGGAGAAGAAGAATTAGATAACAAAATCCCACTTTTAAATGTCTTAATCTAGAGAACAAACACGTGAAATTTAGAAACACAAATAAATTGAAAATCAACGCACACACAGATCAAATACTCAACTATAATAGTAATAACCCAATTACCCGCAAAATAAACTGTGTGCAGACATTGTTTAAAAGAGTTCAAACACACTGCAAGCACTACCGTGGTGTTGAAGAGATCGGAGGAATAATACCTTCTAACCGTCTTCAAAAAGAATGGATATCCGCACAATTTCATGGAAAAGTGTTTAAAATCAAGTCACAACACCAACAAGAAATCATCGCCAAAGACTACAAGAAAATTCATCCTAACATATATAAAAAATATCTCTGAAAAACAGGCTAGAATATTCAGACCATTTGAAATATATACAGCATACAAGCCAGCCAGCGCAATCACTTCATTCAATATTATGCAAACCGAAAGATCCAAAAAAAGGAAGATGGGATTAATACCATTTGCAAAATAAATTGTATAAAACTGTAACAGACATTAAATCGGTCAAAGCAGGCGTTCCCTTTGAATTAGAATACCAGAACACAAATTAGCTGTAAAAAGACACGATATATGTATTTTTTCTCGTATTAATGCATGTAGATAACTATGGACACCAATTTGATTGGGATAATGTCGAGATTTTTGTTGTCCATCTGGACAACGAAAGGTTTGGGATCAAATCAACCAGCTCAGAGAACAGAAATAATTCTAAACTATGAAGTACTTTGTGACGGAAATTAATGTACGATGATTTTGAAACAAAATAACCAGGGAAAGAAACTTCTGACTATGCTAGGTAACGCCACTGTTACTTCATGCTGTAAGACAGCTCCCTGAAGAGATTACATAGACATTGTTACGTGGTTTAGAAAGACATTGCGCAAGCATTTTTAAGTAAGACGGTACAATATTCTGAAGAATTTCTCATCTACTGAAGTACGCGATGGAAACCAGTCATAATTAATGTCGTAGAAACATTCGCTGTCAAAATCTGGGTATCAATAAACACATAGATTTTGTCGAAATTTCTTTCTTTTCCCAATGAAACTTTAAACAGTATGTACATGCAACCACTTGATCACCATGCCTTTCATAAATTATCTACGCTTTCCGTTAACTTTCACCAACATCGCGGGCAAGCAGTGATAGTATTCAATCACAAAAGTGTTAGTTAGTGTTACATAAAAATCAAGAAATCAAGTACTTTTAAGTTTGATAATTGAATAAAAAACTTTACCCGAAGTTGTGAATGCATTTCAGATTAGGCTATAACAAACAGATGGCAATGTGGCCACCATCCTAGCCGGGGGTCAATCACGAGCCCTAAATAGCTCATTGGTAACGTCTCTGACTGCTGGTAGCACTGGGTGACGCTGGTTCGAATCTCAGAAGGAGGCACATGAGTTCCTTCAAGGTTGCAGATATGCCTTGGTGACCGACTGGTGAGTGCCAACTAGCACGAAACCTAAGGTCAGGCTGGGCTCCCTATGGCCGATTGCCTCCAACCATCGAATACCAACAAACAGATCTCACTCAGACTTATCAGTGATGCATTTATAGTAAAAAATAATAGTCCACTGTCCACTGCTTACCTGTTTTGTAGAACTCTGTTTACGGTGAGTTGATGACTTTGATGATATTCTTTGAGTATATACAGATGTATTTACAGAACTATTATTAGTATTCTGTTGTGCAACTAAATTTCCACTAATACCTTTATGCAGATATGGTGGATGTTGATTGACTTGTCCAGCGTGCTGATGCAACGCAAATCCAGTTTTAGGGGCTAGAGACAAATTATTCTTAGGACTTGGGAGGCTTAATCCTGTGTTAGTTAACGGATTCGATGAAGTATTCGATACTGGAATTGTGTTGATTGTTGTTGATGAGGAGTTAACAGTACAATTAGATAACGGTGGCAGAATGACACTACGAGAAGCTGCACCATCACCCAAAATATTGGCTGGTATTGTCGATGTTTGAATATTTTGACCGATTGCATTAGTTGTTGTTGTTGTTGATGCTAGTGGAGATGGTGGCGATGGTGTAGGCCCGACTATGATGGAAGACAAAAACTGGTTACCATTGAAATTATGACATCTGGATAAAGCAGATGTACCAGTTGAGTGAGTAGAGGATTCTGTGTTCGCCAGCTGTATCGTCGGTGTTATTGGTGTTGTTGAGGAGAATATAGTATTCTCTTCTAAGCGTGAAGAATATTGTATTGGCGGTGGTGGTGGTAAGGGTGTACGTATTTTGTCCAATGGGGCAAGTCTCCCATTATGGTGTAGGTTAGCAGCAACACCAACAACCCCAACACCACTAGAGCCACTATGACTTGGTATTTCTGTTATACAACCACTACTAGCCGTAGGTACACATTTACGTGTTAAATAATGCGGAGATTTACAATGCAAGCTGGAGACAGGCCGTGTAACAAAAGAACCTCCTGCAGGTTGTGGACTGACACGTGATACTGATGTTGTGACCGTTGTCATAAACACTGAGGATGAGTGCAAACTAGTTGCAGTAGTAGTAGTAGTAGACGGATGGTTACACAGTGAGTCTGTCGCAACGTGGCTAGCCGCAGTAGGTTGTAATCGATTGGCGTTGTCACTGACTTCACTAGTAAGTAAGTAGTAAGTGGGAATTAAAAAAAAAACAACAGAATAATTACAATGTGACAACCCATAAGAAAAATTATCATTAAAGTCAATTAAATTTAACGGTAAACGAAATGCTTTCAGTCAGGAAGAGAGAGAGATAACAATTTGCGGTGTATGGCACTGCGAGAGACAGAGAGAGATGGAAGTGTAAATTATACACCTTAAACTCGATTGAAGTATTTGCAAGAGGTTACTTCATTCACTTACTCATCTAGGGAGCATTGTCTCAACTACAGGAGGAACGCACGAGGATGTCAAATCGAGAATCGGGAAGGCGAGAAACACATTCATCAACCTGAAACCAATCTGGAAATCTTCGTCACTCAGCCTGCATCAACAACGAAATTCGGATTTTCAATACAAACGTCAAGTCAGTCAGTTCTTCTTTACGGATCAGAAACTTGACGGCGGGTGACAAAGAATATTTCCAACAGGTTACAAACCTTTATCAACAACTGTCTTCGTTCTATACTGAAGATCAGATGGCCGGAAAGAATCACCAACAAGAAACTACGGGAAGAAACAAAACAAAAACCAATCGCTCAACAAATATGGAGGAGAAAGTGGAGATGGATTGGACACTCGCTGGCTGAGGAGGCCGTTGGGTGACATCGCGCGTCAGGCCATCGCTCGAGTGGAACCCGAAGGGGAAGCGACGAGTGGGACGTCCAAGTGTGGGTGACATGGAGGAGATCGTGTGAAGAGGAGTTGAAACAGCATGGACTAAGATGGATGCAGGTGAAAAGTACAGCAGAAGACAGAAACAAGTGGAGACGTGCAGTTGAAGCCGTATGTTCCACTAGGAACCCAATGGAACAATAATAAATAATATATATATATATATATATTATACGTTACCACAAAAGTTACTGTGGCCAAGAATCTGATTAACAGAGCCAAACCTCTAGTTACTGAGGAGGAGGAAAAGATTAAAAAGGAACTAAAGTTGGTTCAGTTCACTCTTGAATCAAATAATTATCCTAAAGTCTTCATAAAGAGATATTTAAACTATGAAGATAAGGATGGATCGAATCCTGTTGCTATGATCTGGGTTAGTACAGCGGTGAAGCCTTACCGCGAAGAAACATCGGATGAGATAAAGCGAATCCTTAACATTCATGACATAAGAGTGTATTTTCGTTCAACTAACACCTTATTTTCATCATTGGTGAAGGTTAAGGATAATAAAATAGAAGAAGACAACCAACAGAATTGTGTGTACCAGATCACTTGTGGGGACTGTGATGCCGTATATGTAGGTGAAACTTCCAGACAGGTAAATATAAGAGTGAAACAGCATAAACAATATCTAAAGGTGGTTCCAAAGACCTTTGCAGACTTGAAGAAGCTAGAAAACAGATCAGCGATCGCACTGCATTCGATAGAAACGGGATAGAAAATCGACTTTGATAGGACTAAGGTTCTACAGAAAGGTTTTGGTTCGTATAAAGAAAGACTGACTTCGGAAGCCCTACATATCTGGGTGAATCCCAACAGTTTGAACACACGTGAAGATGGGATGTTAGCTGATGCTTGGCGAGTCCTGATTAATAAATAAAAAAATGGATATGCATCATACTTGGTCAAAATTCCCAATTGTTTATGTCTTTTTATGGAGAGGCTAACAAATGTTTTACAACTGTTTACCCCCCCACACACACACACATACACACACACAATTGTATACTGCATATGCACATATATTTTTCAAATTCACTTATCTGTGACCTCGAACTTTAGTCTGACGTAATCACTAAAATTCAGATGCAAAAGTACACGCTGTTTTCAGTATTCAGCAAAAGTAGACTGAGGTTAAATTTTGATCACAGTTCATGCAATTTTGTTTATTATACATGTTGATACCTGTTTCATGACTCATATGATTGAAGAAAGATTTTAAAAACAAGAGATGTCTCCCTTGTTATATATAAACCTCTGTTATGTTAATTTCGATTAATTTCCCTGAAGAAGTTCGGACCAGTTTTTTGCTGAACACAGTAAACGTTGAAATTACTCGTTTCAATTTCGCTGAGATTTTACAAATATAACTATTTTTTACAAATGTCTACTTCTCACTCAGTGCCCAATTATTTTGGAACTATTCGGTCAAATCTTAACAACAGTTTATATGAGTAGCATGTAGCATTTATAAATCAGTATGCTTCACTGTGATAAATACATCACCTAATATACTTTTTCCCACTGAATATTGTGCGTAGATTATTCAGTTGTAAGCGCTTCACACTTACTTTACAGCATACTGTCCTCTTTATCCACTAAATTAATAGTCAGAATAACTAAACAACCAAGTATAAAAGTATATTTAGTCAGTACATGGAGCTGTTATGAATACCTTCTTTACACATAGTATGAATTCAGGTAAATAGGCCGTCGCTTTAGGAACTTGATTTTTCGTGCTCACTCGAGAGCATCTCCCAGTATGGCTAAGTAAAGGTGTAGTTAAGACTATTACCAGCTCGATATTAGACCATCTGGTGCAAACCGGTCACAAAGCCAGCTTAGCAGAATCCTTCTCTATAATATACCGGGCGCCTAACAAATTCCAAACAGCAGAGGCTATTGCAATTCGCCTCAAACAACCAGTGCTCTGTATTTAAAAGAAACAAGTCCAGCCCCTACTACTGCCCTGGCCTTCAAAAGAGACTATAAATTCATGAATTTGTATTATTATCTTTCCTAATTCTTCTGACATTCAGCTTATTGTTATGTCGATAATATTGAACTGTAATCCACTGATATTATTGATTCGATGTTATTTAAACAGCATTAATGTTGTTGATAACACTAATTCATTCATTCACTATAATGTATATATAACTGTAGAACCTGATGAAGAGCAGGTCATCGAAAAGAGCATTCTTTGTTCAGTATCCATTCTTTTACAAACTGATTAAGTTGCTTAGATCTTATTCATCACCTCTTTGAGGTGAATAAGACCGGATATAACGCCTGTAATCTCGACCTCAAACGAGCGAAACAGCTGTCCGGCGTTTGAATAATTTAAATCTGGTTAGCTAGCACTACTGTTTGATGCTAACGATCTCCACCTACTCATATCAATCAGTTAGTAGTATATAGCATCGTCGCTGAGAAAGCATATCATTTTTTTATGCGCTCAATTTTTAAAGCCTGGCTGTAATTTGCAGCTGAGAGTTTAGCGACAGAAGAAATGTCTTACTTTTTGCACAGCAAGTTCGAACACCTTTATACCTAATTCATTCATATGTAGACTCTCATATCCACAGTGTGTATGCTAATGTTTTTTTTATTCCTTCATGTTCCCAGTGGAACATAGGGCTTCAAGCTACAGGCTTGAAGTTTCTGTAGCAGGTTTTATTTTACAGGATGGGGTTGCTAGCCCCATGCCCAACCTTTCCTCTTCACCAGCATTATTTCCGGCTTAGTGAGGTAAAGGAGTGCGCCGGCCGGGGATCGAACCCCGGACCATGTGCATGGTCAGCGAGCATCCTAGCCGCTATGCCACCGACGCACTTGTGTGCTAATGTTGCTGTACTTCTATTCATCATCTCTGGTTTTTTAGAAGCTACCGAGTCTCAAAGATGAAGATAAGTAGATTAGGATGCCTCTTCACCAAATTTCAAGCATAAACAATCTGAATGGAGATATATAATAAAAAACCATTGAAAACCACAATATATGTTAAAATATCAGCACACGCGCAGTTTTATTGGTTTTGATCATAGCTTGAAACCACACCATATTTTTGGTACAAGTATGGAATTTCAGCATGTGATTTCAGGTGTGGGTCGGTAGGGGATCGAACCCTAGACTATGTACATGGTCAGCGAGAGTCCTAACCACTGTGCTAACGACTCACAAATAAGGGGAGAAACATGAGGCCTCCCCACTGACAAAAACTACACGCCTGAGCGCAGTGGTGAGCCTCCACCTGAGGTCAGAGCATTCTTGATCACCCTGAACCCTGCTCCAGGTGAATAAATACAATCCCCGATATTCTGTTAGAGGTATAATATTGTTTGATGGAAATGAAGTGAGGTTAACTCGACTACCTTTATAACAACCTCATAATGCTTCCTGACATTTTGGCAAATCTACGTCTGATTGGTTTGTTGGTGCAAACTTACTTATCTTTAGTCGACATAAACCTACACAATTTGGAGAGTGTTCATCCAGTGTTGCATCAGCAAACTCACGATGGAAACTTTTTTGAAATGCTGAATCAATTCTCATGAAATTCATATTTAGATAACTTTATGACAGTGGGGCTAAGTCTTCTGATACAGCCGATCAACATAAATACAGCCATTACTCATATATATGTGGACGGAAGCTTAACTTAAAGCCAGAGTTGAAAGTGTTGTCCAGAAAAACAGTGAAAGTTTCACAATTAGATCCTCTAGCTCTGAGAACACCACAGCCTCACAATTATCCACCTGAGTTATAAATTCTCTCCATTATTTCCAGACTGATAGTTGTTTGTATAACACATGTAAGTGGGCAATAATTACAAAGTGTGGATCAACAGCTAAGTTGGTTGACATAGAGAAAACTATTTAATAAGCTTTAGGGAACTGAAACAACTATTTTTTATTTGGTTACAGGATTTTCATCATGAGCTGACATTAGTTAGAGAACCATTGGAAAACGTGGGAGTACTGGACAGCTCTTTCGTCCTAGTTTGGGACTCTTCAGCAGTACGCACCCACCGGGATTCGAGTCCAGGACCTTCTGGTTACAAGGCGAGCTCGTATACCATTAAGCCACTGAGACCCGATCCAATGGTCCATGAATTCTAACTTCTGCCAATTCACGACATAGCACGACCCCTAGCCAATGTCTTCGGCGAGTATTTGTCCTCGTGCCCGACCTGCTGCACCCTACTGGTCACGAGCTCGCCTTGTAACCAGAAGGTCCTGGGTTCGAATCCCGGTGGGTGCGCACTGCTGAAGAGTCCCAAACTAGGACGAAACAGCTGTCCAGTACTCCCACGTTTTCCAATGGTTCTCTAACTAATGTCAGCTCATGATGAAATCCTGTAACCAATCAAATCCCTACGAACCAACACTTGAATATTTTTTATTTATTTTTTATTATTCGTATTTCAGCTCGATTCCACACCGTATATTCGGTACAAGTATGGAATTTTCATCATGTGACATCGGTGGCTCAAATTTTGCAGGCCGACCATTGATATCAGGTGTGTGTCGGCAGGAGATCGAACCCAAGACCATTTGCATAGTTGGCGAGAGTCCTAACCACTGTGTCACCAACTATTGCGGATTACTACTTGTAATATAACCCTGGAAAGACGAAGCTTAAATGTTCTATACTGCTCAAATCAGTGGGCATATCTCGTTAACCCTGATTTCGATTATATTTACATTATCCGAACGACCAATAATCTAGTTTACTCTTATTACTAATACCATAGGGTCCTAGTGGCTGAATGGTCTACAAGCTCGTCGAGAAACCAGAAACTCCTAGGTTTGAACCCCGGTGAGTGTGCACTGCTGAAGACCCCGACAGAGTTCACACCTGATCTTCCCTCTGAAAGTTTCCTTTACCGCAAGTTAATAAAACCGACGACTTCGGTGTCCATGGGGGTAATATGGAGAAGATCGTGTGAAGAGGAGATGAGAGATTATGGACAATTCTGTAACCCGCTATAGACCACTACAAGAAACAGGATGCATTGGAGATATGCTGTTGAAGCCTGATGTACCCCTGCGAACTCAAGGGAATAATAATAAAATAATAGTTAAAATAAGACCAGGGACTTACTGAATAATTGATTTCTCCCTCATTTGTAACGTTTTGGTTGAAATCTGCAACAGATCAGACAGCTCGGCATTGAACTCATTAGTCTGTACAGTAGTTTGACCACTGCCAAGTGTTGACATATCCGTGTTCACAGGCTTTGTTTGTTTAGACAGGCGAAATGACGGCAAGGATAAGGAGTTCTGTGTATCACCGACTGATGAACTACACCGCGATAATATGCTATCTCGCAGTCGATGCAATGGGAAAGTATGATGAGGGATATTTTTTTGATAAATTGCATTGACATCACCTTTATTCGAGACTGCAGACATATTTTCAACTTAAAACAGAAGATAAATATTTCAATGTTCAGTTTGTTATGAAATTAGAATTAAATAAAAATTAGTCTAATCAATAAAATTGAATCAGTTTACTGCTGAATCTTCATACAGAGGTGAGGATGCACAGGCACAATCAGTTACAACAAGGTATAATCATAAAACTAATGCTCAGCGTGTTCGTATACATTGCAATCGTAAATACCTTCGACAAACTAATACAGATATTTGAAAATTCCCATTCAGTCATAGAAAAGAAAAGGCGTTCAGCAAAGAGTTACTCTTTTCGGCGATATCATTCTCAAGCTGTACAAACCGCAAATTTATAGTAATTTATCTTGGCAACAAAAGGAATATTTCCAAGATGTGTTAATGCAATTGTTAATTTTTTTTGACAACAAATTACGTAATTTAGAAGGCGTTAATCGGTTAGAAACTAAAATAAAGTTACAAAAGTAGGTTGGGTGACGTAATCTAATTGATAGGGTTCAATGAAAAATGAATGAGAGTCAAGTTAATAATCTGAGTAGAATTCACTTAAAAATAAACGAAAATGGAGTTAGCAACAGTCGTCATGAGGGTAGAGATTTAATAGAGGGTGGGGGTAGAAAATAATGCAATTAAGAAACAGACAAACAAAGAAGAAAGAGGTAAGACAGAATTACGTATTTGGTGTTAAGATAGATCAGGACCATTGTAGATTTAGTGACTGAACAAACTTCTTTTGTATGCAGAGTTCAGGATTCAATATGTGAATTGCCATTGCTTCTGCAGTTTGAAGAAGTTTAATTCGTACTCTTTTGGCAAGATTCCAACGTATTGTGTAGATAACTGAGAAGTTGTTTTGTGGGTTTGCTTGGTGTCCGGATTCGATCAAGTGTTCTAGGATAGAGCTGTGGCGGGGGGATCTTGTTTCTCCTTTATAAAACCATGAAGGTAAGTGTTCGCTGATTCGTTTGGATAGCAAACGCTGGGTATGGCCGACATACCTAGCTCCTAGTTTGTTCAGTCACTAAATCTACAATGGTCCTGATCTATCTTAACACCAAATACGTAATTTTGTCTTACCTCTTTCTTCTTTGTTTGTCTGTTTCTTAATTGCATTATTTTCTACCCCCACCCTCTATTAAATCTCTACCCTCATGACGACTGTTGCTAACTCCATTTTCGTTTATTTTTAAGTGAATTCTACTCAGATTATTAACTTAACTCTCATTCATTTTTCATTGAACCCTATCAATTAGATTACGTCACCCAACCTACTTCTGTAACTTTATTTTAGTTTCTAACCGATTAACGCCTTCTAAATTACGTAATTTGTTGTCCAAAAAAAATTAACAATTGCATTAGCACATCTTTGGAAATATTCCTTTTGTTGACAAGAAAAATTACTAATACAGATATGTTTGGAGGACTTCATCATGAGATGACATGAGTTAGAGAACCTGGATAGCTTTCCTAGTTTGCGACTCTTCATCAGTACGCAGGCACCGGGATTCGAAGAAGACATCGCAAAGTGATTGCACTACGTCATCAATTGGCAGGAGTTGGAATTCATCGATGGGTTATTGGATCAGGTCCCAGTGGCTTGATCATCTACGAGCTCGCCAGCCTTGTAACCAGAAGGTCCTGGGTTCGAATCCCGGTGGCGAGTCCATAGTTAGGATAACAGAAACAGCTGTCCAGTACTCTTTGCAGGTTTTCCAATGGTTCTCCTACTGATGTCACCTCATGATGAAATCCTCAAACCCAATCAAACAAAACCCCTACAAAACCAATACTTGGTAATACAGATTTGCATAGCTGTTATTTTAATATTTGGTCAGTTAAACAAGCAATAAGTCCACCCGAACTTAGTTCCTTTTTAGTTGACTTCAACTAAGAATTGGCGGCGCAGGGGTATAATGCTCGCTAACCATCTCCAGGTGGTCCGGGTTTCAATCCCCTTTACCTCGCTAAGCCGGTAATAAGACTGGTGAAGAGGGGAAGTTAGGCATGAGGCTAGCAACCCCATCCCTTAAAAGTGAACACCACTTCAAGCCTCTACTTCAAAGCTCTATGTTCCAGTGAGAACGTTAATTGAAAATCGGAAGAAGAGTCAGTCGAACAAGGGTGGTGGCAGATGGTGAATTTCTGATTTTCACTGTCTGTGACATTTGGAAATTTTTCAACAAAAATGTATGAACTCTGACCTAGCACCCAATCTTCTCTTGCATATTTTCTAACAGTTAGTAAACGCGGAGAGGTGAAGGGGTGCATTAGCTGAGAATGGGACCTAGGCCAGCAGCAGGGCTGGTGAGCATTCTACCTTTGAAGCGTGAACTCACGCTCCAGTTCACCTCACTTTATTTTCACCACTTGCATATCTATTTTAACTGACTTCAAAGGTCCAGTCTTTGTCAGAAGTGTAGAACTGCTGATAAACTGATAAAAGTAAATTTTAAAACAGAATGTTTCATATAGTAGTCACGTAGGGATCGTGTTCGATCGACTTGCATTAGTATTTAAGATTAGAAATAATAATTGTACATAGTTTATATGTCGTATTTCTCACCTAGCTCTCAAATGTACGCCTGAAAGCCAAAGTGATATCCTTTAAGAGAATGCAGCGTTTTTCCAATATTTACATATAAAACACAAAATAAATGAGGCTGTTGGGATCCATATTAATAAGCCTAATTTGTGCGTCCAAAAGAAGTTGGTTGGTTCAGACATTATCCTTACCCGCTTGGCCATCTAGGTTTGAATGATCCGCAATTTTTTCGAATTTTCCTAATTTTAGTTGATATTCTATTTGCTACTATATCTTTATTATTATTGTAATTTAAGCATTTTTAATGAACTGTAATTCCATTGTGATCTTACTTTACAAATCGATATTATTTTTAAAAAACACTGATATTGTTTTTACGAGCTAATCACGGATTGATATCAGTTAGAGAACCATTGAAATTCGTGATTTAGCGCGACCCCAACCAATTCGTAAAAACATAACTAACCCTTACAAACCAAACTATAGAAAATTAATCTGATGCTCACTAGTGACTTGCTACAGGATGGAGTTTCCTGGAGTTCTAGTGAGAAGTCGTGACCAGTGAGGTTCAACCAGATGTCACGTGTGAGGATGGATGTCCCACCAACGACATTGGTTAGGGTCGCGCTAAATCACGAATTGATAGAAGTTAGAACTCATGAGTCATTCAGTCTGGTCCCAGTGGCTGAATGGTAAACGGGCTAGCTTGCCTTGTAACCGGAAGGTCCTGGATTTTAATCCCAGTGGGTGAGTACTGCCGATGACTCCCAAACTAGGATGAAACAGCTGTCCAGTACTCCCTGTGGCTGGTTTTCAATGGTTCTCTAACTGATATCAATCCGAGATCAACTCATTAAAAACATAACTAACCATTACAAACCAAACTATAGAAAACTAATATTGTTATTGACTACTATTCTAGAATACTCTATGTATATAAAAGTGCATATATAATTGTAGAGCTAGAAGAGGAGGAAGTTATCGGAAAGGATATTCTTCGGTCAATTATTTTGTGTTTTATAGATGTCTGAATGAATATTTACACATAAAACAAAATTAAGAAATGTATATAGCCTCCATCTACCTAAACTGATCCTCAACCAATCCATTAGATCCTTCCATAAGTGTTGTGATATTACACTTAGGATCATTTCAACTGAATTCGGCAGATGCTTTTTAACAACACTGACTTTTGAATGAGAATTGCCTAAACCGTGGTCGTGGTTGTTTTGTTACTCTCTGAAATTTTAATGTTGCTTGATGACTGTGCTATCGCCTCAGATGAGACAGTGTATCTTTTGTTACACTCGTTCGACTGTTCTTTGTGTTTGTGCCTGTGATGTTCGTGCTGAGGCTGCTGCTGACTGTGATGGTTACTTCGATGATCATGATGATGCTGATGATGCTTGTTATCCACCTGTTCTTTGGAGATCGATTTTCGTCTATCACTAACTGATGACTTATCCTGATGCTCACGATGCTCATGATGCTGGTGATGTTGGTGCTGGTGCTGTTGACGCTTTTGTTCATCTGACGGTGTTTTATTTCTTCGTTCCACACTGTTCATTGGTCTTTCATCAGTGAAATGCAAGAAAAAAAGTAAACCAACATTAAATAGTTCAAGCTGAAGAATAAAAAAGAACAATAGAATTTACTGAATTCTGTGAATATCATTAATAAACGATTTATTATGCAGATATCTGATTACTGCTTGGCTAAATGAAAGCAATATATTTGGTTACAGGATTTCATCATGAGCTGACATCAGTTAGAGAACCATTGGAAAACCTGCAGGGAATACTGGATAGCTGTTACCATCGTCCTAGTTCGCGACTCTTCAGCCGTACGCACTCAGCACCAGGGTTCGAACCCAGGACCTTCTGGTTACAAGGCTAGTGAGCTCGTAGACCATTGAGCCACTGGGACCCAATCCAATGACCAGCCCATGAATTCTAACTTCTGCCAATTCACGATATAGCGCAACCACCAGCCAATGTCTTCGGCGAGTATTTGTCCTCATGTAGGTAGTTACCTGGGGTTCTAGTGGGAAGTCGTGACCAGTAGGGTGCAGCAGATCGGATGTGAGGACAAATACTCGCCGAAGACATTGGCTGGTGGTCGCGCTATATCGTGAATTGGCAGAAATTAGAATTCATGGTATGGCCACTGGATCGGGACCCCAGTGATTTAATGGTCTACGAGCTCGCTAGCCTTGTAACTACAAGGTCCTGGGTTCGAACCCTGGCAAGGGGTACGCACTAATGAAGAACCGGTCGCAAACTAGGACAAATTAAACAGCTGTCCAGTACTCCCTGCAGGTTTTTCAATGGTTCTCTAACCAATGTCAGCTCATGATGAAATCCTGTAACCAATCAACCAAATCCCTATAAACCAATACTTGAAAAGTAAGATTTAGTAGGGGGTTATGGTTGTGTATGGTGTGAGGGGTGGGCGGCGTGGTACCTATGCGCATATATGGGCTTTACAATCAACCTGGATAAAGAGAAATGTGCCAATATGGTCAACAACATTTTCCACAAATACATTTTCTGTACTGCAAGTCACACGCTGTAAAATAAATTATTATCTACTCTCATTAATTTGTCACTAAAGCGTATACACGTGAAGAGATCACCAGGTGACATCACACACCAAGTCCTCGAGTGCAGCACGAATGTATAAAGATGAGTTTGATAGCCGGTGAAGAAATGGAGGCGACTGTTTAAGGAGGAAATGAGTGCCCTATGGATGATTGTGGAGCCAGATGAAAAGGTCTACAGAGAATGAGTGAAATGAAGGTGTGCTGCTAAAAGCTGTATGTTCAACTCGGAAGCCAGGGAAATAGGAATATAATTGTAGAGCGAATTTCACTATCAGACCACATAAACGTTGCTCGTTTGTATTTTTAGAATGACAAACTTTGTCTTACTGTACTAGTGCACCACTGGGCTACCTGAGTTTATCATTTTACTTCTGTTTAACGATTCATATGTTTTGTCTGTATAATGGAGAAGATTTGTAGCTCAGGATGATGATTTTGATGCAGTTATGTTCTCAGAGCTGGCCGTTTTATTTGCGAAGCTTTCATTGCCCCTACTAGGTAACATATTCAGCGTACACTTTTATTTGATTTCAAACTGAGGGCACCGAGAAACTTTGGACCTCCGTTACAAATGTCTACTGCTGTCATCACCTGTTATATCCGAATACTTAGAACAAAGTAAACGTATTAATCGGGTGTTCTAAAGGAGGTGTTTACGTGAAGTAAACCCTATGAGTCAAGAGCTTTACAGGTGAAATTCAAGTTTCACAAGTTCACTACAAATGTATCGATATTTGACTCACTCTTCCGCATAGTCAAATATCACGTTGCTATCATAAAATTTTGGCTTTTTAGAAATTTCCGGTTCTCATTGAAGATCACTTGGATGCCTGGACTCAATGGGGAAAATTCCTCCTTCTCAAGATATCTCAGTGATAATAACAAAGGCATTTAAATTGTTTCAACAGAAAGCAGTTTGCACTCTGTTCAACACTGGCATCAATTCAGTTATCCTTCACTGCAATGAGAGATAGCTTATTGATTTATTGTTGTGAGGTCGGCTTAATCGAATCGGTAAACTTTTATACAGTAGTATAGTGATGTATTTATCCCGTTACCTGTTTCTATAGGTAGACCCCAGTTAGTTTGCTGTATACGTAACACAAACTGACTTATCAACAAAAAAACATTCTAAACTGGTCATTAACGCAGTTTCAAAGAAAACCACCTTCATGAATCTGTAATTTAAAAATTGTCTTCCTGAATCACAATGTAAGACCTTCTTTGTAGCCAAACTCCAGCTGACCTTCGCCAGACGTAAGTTTTTCCCCAGTTTTGTAAAAGATAAGCTTACTGATCTGGCTGTCTCCATGTGTATCAATCAGGTCACCTGCTTTTGTGAGACAGTGTAGATTGGTCGTGGCTACGGGGCACTTCCAACAAGGGTACTACAGCGAATCCCACAATCGTTTTACAAAGGAGCAAGCAGGGGTATGAAAAGCTCTATTCTGAAATGCTTGACCGATTTCTGTCAATCAACCAATCCTGACCATGATTTTGAGATCATCTAACGAATTCATGCTGACTTATCACGTGTTCTTCTTTCCAAATTTCTACAGACAGTGGAGGCCTTGGCCACTCATCAATTCAAGCAAGACGTTTATGTACAAAGGAAGTACGACGAGTGTTTATTTACACCTTGGCCGTAGAGGGACATACATTTACCCATTTATTTTTCGTTTTCTTTATTTGATTTATGTACCTTTCCATTATTACTACGATTGTCATTATTATTACCACTGTTATTATTATTATTCTTACACTGAACAGTCTTCGTTACCCTTTAACTTGTCACATTTATTATTTCAGACCCACATGTTTTTTGAAATGTTACATCCTATCTTACCGAATTTCTGACTACCTTACCTAGTGATTTTATTTTTCTGCTAACCCTACTGATCGTACAACCCTTTCCAAGATCTATGCGCCTTACGAGCTATTATTATTTGTAAAATGTCTACTTCTCACTCGGCGCCCAATTATTTTGCAACTAACTATTCGGTCAAATCATGATCACAGTTCATATGAGCTATCATAATTGTTAGGTAAATTGCTGTACCTCTCGACACTGAACTGTGATTATAGTCACAGGCATTTTATCGCATTTTACCAAATAACTGTTATAAATATTTACACCTTTTCCTCAAATTCCGCCACGGGATGTAGTTTCTAAAAAACCATATATGCATATGATTGTACAGCTTAGTTATTACAAATCCGCTGAACAATACGTTCTAAATATTACAATGAGACCTATTCACTTATATTTAATTACAAAACGATTCAGCAAAGAACATCCTTTTCGATAAATTCCTCTTCTGGCTCTACAATTATGCATATATGTTTATATACATAGAATATTCTTTGAAGGATGCTATTAATGAACTCGAATTCTATTGTCGGTACATGGATGATACATTTTTGATTATGAAAAATGAGAAGGAAGCAAAGAACATCCTAGATAAATTTAACGAGGTTCATCCTGCAATAAATATTTTACTATTGAGAAAGTATAAGACTCTAGTATTTCATTTCTAGACTTACTTATGACGAGAAAGAAGGATGGCGCAATAAGAAGAAGTGTTTATAGAAAACCTACATCAACGGGTCAGTATACACATTTTCTCAGCTTCGTGACCTTGAAATACAAACGCAATCTACTCGGATGAATGTCTTGATGAGGAACTTAATCATTTTAAACGGCTGCTGAGTGAAAATGTGAAAATGATTATCCAGAAAAGTTTATTGATAAGAATATGAATCTAAAATCAAAGCAGCCCAAGGTACCAACAGTTCCTAAAAAGGCCTTATTCTTACAAATGCAGTTCCTTGAGGACAACATCAGCGAGATACTAACACAATGCCTTAAAAATGCGGTAAAAAGAGCATTCCCTGCTGCCAAATTATGCTGTATCTTCAAAACCACTCCTCTTTTGCGTTCGGGAGTGAAAGATGAACTGCCTAATTTCGCCTCTTCCATGTGTATCTACCAATTCAACTGCTCCTGTGGTGTGAGCCAATTACATAGGCCGTACAATTAGGCGTTTCTCTCGTCGAACTTCCGAACATCACCCTGAGTGGTTAAATAAAGGATAAACAAAATCTATTTGCAGAGATATTCTATCTCATCTTGTGGATACAGAACACAAGAATAATGTTAAACATGCTTTCAGGGTTATTTATCGCATACCAACAAATCTCAATTTCGCCTTAAGAGTTCGATTACTAAATATTGCTGAGGCTGGCCATTGGGATCCATATCAAGAAGCGTAATATGTGTGTCCTAAAGAAGCTAGTTCAGATATCATCCTTACCTTGGTCATCTAGGTTTAAGTAATCCCGAATTTTTGTGGAAATTTCCATGATTTTAGTTGATATTCTATTTGCTATTATATTTTTAATATTATTATAATTTATGCATCTTTAATGAACTGTGGTAATTCCATTGTGATCTTACTTTACAAATCGATATTATTATTTAATAAACACTAATATTGTTATTGACTACTAATCTAGAATGTTCTATGTATATAAACATGCATATATAATTGCAGAGCCAGAAGAGGAGGAAATTATCGAAAAGGATATTCTTTGCTCAATTATTTTGTGTTTTATAGACGTCTGAATGAATATTTTCGCTATATATTTAATTATTTGAAATCTATGTATTGAAACTGACATATAGATACAGTTAAAGAAATTATCTTAATTTAAGAGGAAAAGAAATACTCTAGCTACTAGCGTCAATAGGTTTCTCGGCGTTTCAATGTTAGAATTTTCGCCAGCCATATGGCCGGTCAGTGTCTGACTCCAAACCAACGCTGAATTAAACCTCGCAAAGCTTACTAGATATCAGTAAGCCCCCACGAAGAGGAAGGTTTAGCGTAGGGATTAGATAAGTAAAATGGAAATAATTTACGCGGTGAAGAAAACTTCCATAATTACTCCAATCCAAATTAGCAGAAGAACCTAGATTCAAGTGCTAAATCTAGAAAAAAGTTGGACTTTAAACAAAACAAAAAAAAACATTTAACGCGCGCAATGATAATTTCTGATTGGTTAGTTGATAATTGGACTTATTGATTTCTTGTAGTAGTTACCATGATTATTGTTAGTACTATTTAAAATTTCTGTCATTACGCGAGTCAAATATGTACTTTAAGGTAGGTGAATCAATTAGAAGTTGAGAAAAATAAGGAAAAATAATGATGATGATAATAATAATGGGAAACAATCACGTCTTCATTTTTCATTGTCTATAGGTAGAAAATATTATGAATTTGCTAGAGTTGTGAACAAGAAGAGCTTCAAGAAAACTATAATGTTTTGTTACCTTTAACTATTTCCAAAATTTTACAAGCATTTTCCGTATTCGACTTGACAGTTTAAACTGTGACATATTTCTATACAGTGAGGAGAGATACGCTTTTAGATAAGGCATCGTCAACTTTAACATTATTGTCTGTTCTTATCATTCAGAAGGATGTTGACTACAGGTAGCTCTTCAGTTGAAAGCGCTCAGTTTGGTTTCAATGTCAACAACACAACAGTTTAAGTCTTTTCCTTCGTGCAAAATATATTTATTATTATTTTAGCCGAACGTCTCCATTGCGTTCTGTTCTCTGCCAACGTTTTCACCAGGCTCCACGTCTACCCACATGCTTTCATCTCCTCTTCACATGACATCCTACTCGATTTCACCGTCACACTGACGACCAACCAACTTGCTGCTTCCCATTCGGGTTCCACTCGAGCGATGGCATGGCGTGTGATGTCACTCACTTGATGGCTTTTGTCTCAGAGTATGGCCAATCCCATCCACCTCCATTTCTTCCTGCATATTTGTTGCATATTCAGCTTCTGGTTAGTTCGCCTCCAGAGATCCCTTTTGCTGATGTTTCCTGGCCATCTGATCTTGAGCGAAGATAGCTGTTGATGAAAGTCTGCAGTTTGTTTGAAGTACCATTAGTGACTCGCCAAGTCTCTGATCCGTATGTTAAGTAGCACTGTCTTCACATTGGACTTGAAAATCTGTATCTTATTTTTCATGCTGAGTGCTGCTGATCTCCACACAGACTTAAGAGTTATGAAAGCTTGCCTTGTTTTCTCAATCCTCACTCTGATATCTTCATCAGTTCCGTCCGCCTGTAGTTGAAACGATGCTTCCTAGGTTGGCAGACAGGTAGGTAAAGGAGGTTGCTTCTCTCAGATTTCTCCCATTTATGCTGGCTGATTGTTGTCTGTTGTTGTTGCTGCTGGTGCTGTTGGCCTGGAATCTTTATCACCTCTGTTTTCCCTATGTTCACCTGAAGTTTTTCCTATGTTTGTTACTTCTTCTGCCAATTTCTCGCTTTTCACTTGCATATCTTCCAGTTTGTGAGAAATCAGACATATGTCATCGGTGAAGTCCAGATCCTCCGAGTTTTGTGTGTGGGTCCATTTTATGCCTGTTTCCTCACTGTCCGCTGTCTGTCGCGTTATCCAGTCCACCACAGTCAGGACAATCATTGGAGATAGTAGGCAGGCAGTTTGTCTTACTCCCTTCTTCACTTCGAAAGATTCCGTGGGTTTCCCGTTGTGGATTATTTGGCATGCAATATTATCGCATATATATATACAAACCCAGGAAAGGTTACTGAGGGAATATTATCATAGAGTTTCATCAGTTACACCGAAGATGCCGAAGGGAATTTGTTCACATATCATAACTCTAAAATAAGTTTATATCAAATACTGTCACAAAAATGACATTGTTACACAATACTGTTTCAATATGAACTACTCTTTTAAGTCTTAATAAGGAAGTAATGCAGACTCACAGGTTTTTCTGTTGACTATCAATTAAAAGTTCTTCATAATTCCCATCCATAGCAAAGATCTCTTCATCCATGCAGTTGGCGTTTACTGTTACAGCTGATTCAGAATTTGTCATTCTATTTCTGTAGAGAAATAAAGGAATGAATTTATTATGCATAGTGTTCACATCAACACATACGCTGTCCAGTTCATCATCATTCCCTAACTGCACCTCAATAAAAACTACTCTTCACCTCTACAACTTTAAGTTATTCCCTTTACCTTTTGTTTCTTCTGGTTACAGGATTGATCCAGAGGCTGATATCAGTTAGAGAACCACTGGAAAACTTGGAAGTGCTGGACAGCTGTTCCATCCTAGTTTGAAACTCTTCATTAGTACGCACTCACCGGGGTTTGGACCCAGGACCTTCCGGTTACGAGGCAAGCTCATAGACAATTCAGCCAATGGGACCCCAATTCAACGGCACATGAATTCCAACTTATACCAGTTCGCGATATATTTAGTGTAACCGCCTTTGGACCATTCAGTTGGGTCTCCGTGGCTGAATCGTCTATCAGCTTGCCTCGTAACCGGAAGGTCCTAGGTCCAAACCCCCGGGGGTGCGCAGTGATGAAGAGTCCCAAACCAGGATGGAACAGCTGTCCAGTACTTCCAGGTTAGACTGTAAAATAAAACGAATAGAAGAAGGTAAACTTCACACTAGCGTTTATAAAAAACCAACGCACTCTCTTAATAGATATATAGACTTTAATTCGGTTAAGGCAGGCTTAGTTAAGTGTCTAACAAACCGAGCAGTAGCACTAAGTAGTACAAGAAAAGACCTAAATGATGAAATAAAACAGATAGAAGAAGCGTTGGTATCAAATAACTAATTATCCTATAAAATTCATTAGGAATATCAGTAAAGGTCCAAAGCAAAATAAAAATAATTGTGAAACTAGTAATGATAAGATAAATAAAAGAGAGAATATGTCATCTACAGTTATACCATATAAGGAGGGGACATCTGAGACCCTACGTAGGATTCTTAATAAAGCAGGAATTAGAGTGGCATTTAAACCTACAAACTCACTCAGGTAGGACAAGCTCTGTAGGCTAAAAGACCCGGTGGACCCAATTAAACAAAATAATATAATTTACAAAATACCTTGCAATGACTGTGAGTTAATTCAACTACACAGGTCAAACTAGTGGATCTGGGGTAGTCAGACTGTCGGAATATAAGAATTTAGCTAAGGTTAGAATGGTTGACCCAGAGAATATAAGTAATTTAGAAAAACGCTCAGCACTACATTCCACTGCATGCATTAAAACACAATAGGGTAGGAGAGGGTTAAGATTCTAAGAAGTAATCTAGGTAGGTGGAGAGAGAGGTTGATTGATGAATCCTTGTTCATCTAGTCTACACTTAACAAGTGCAATAGGAGTGACTCATCACTCATACCGGAAATATGCTAAATACTACTATCAATCAAGTCAAGCGATGAAAAATAATGATGGAATTATATAAACGAAGTTAGAAATCTGTGTAAGTACTTTGATATGATTATGAGGAGTAGTAATAAATTGTGCTCGAAACGTCATCAGTAAATATTACTGTATAACACTGTGTGACTTTATCAAAATAAATTTTACCCATAATGGAATTATACTGTACCACAGTGCAGAAGTTCTATTATTATATTAATGACCAAAGAAACCATGACTATCACTACTAGTGTGGTGGTGGTGTGATACAGACAATGTGTGCCAACGGAATGCTATTCTCACATGTTCCCACAGTTTGATTCAGCATTAACAACAGAATACGAGATACCTATTTGAACATTCTATTTGACGTTACAGTAGGAATGTTATTCCCACAGTTCAATTCGGCATTAGCAACAGAATACTATATATGTATATTTGAACATTCTATTTCATGTCGTTTGATGTGAACCAAAATCACACGCTAAGTGAAAGGTTAAAGAATATAAACTGTAGATATATTAACAGCGGTTCGATTAATGTGTCTTGTCTTCTATTGTTACACTAGTGAGAAGACACGATGTTTCATGTTTAATCTCAAGTACAACTACGACTGATAAAATATTACAATGCGAGCCTAAAGAGAGCAATGGAATCTCTAGAAGTCTTATATTCAAAAGGAACTTGAAATCATGTATGCCTTTTCATGGATTTAGCACTGAAGATGTCATCCAGTCTGGTTATGAAACGTCCGCTATCAAATAGCAAAACTCCATGATTCCACCGCTAAGTAAAATTTGCATCTTATCGTAACAAAAAGACAATCTACACCGTTTGTAAGATTTTTTATAAGTTAAACAGATAATACAGCTAATGAAAACATTATCGTAAATAGGCTTACTGTGTATCACTTGATCCCGTCTCACTGAGTGTTTGCCCACCAGTATCCGTAGATTTATCCGTTATACACGATAGGTCAGTGCATTTAGAGCAATCTATGAGTGCAAGATAAATTTGAATAGACATGAAATTGAATTTCTGCATTTAAGAAAGGCGTAAAATAACCTTTTAATAATATAACGAAGCGTTTGATGGTGAAATACAAATATTTTTGCCAGTAGATACCGCTTTACTGTGCATTTCTTCAAGTCTAGCTTTGAAGTCAGTAGAACATGTAGATATGTCATGCTTCCTTCAGTCTAGCTGTACTTGTGGTAAGTTGACGCGGCTTCGAATCTAAGAAGGGACATGGGTCCCTTCAAGGTTGCAGATACTTCCTATCTGTCTGTCTGTTTTCGACATAGAACTTTGCACAGATGTGCGGTAGTTCAGTTGCCACACTCCCTCCATGTAGCACACAAAGCAAGAGAAGAAAGTAGAAAAACTGCATAATATAGACAGTAAACAGAGGTGTGAGACAAAGGAATATAGTAATAACGAAGAACAAAACAGTTTAATTGGAAATCATAAGTCACAAAGAGTGGATGCATCTGCGCTATGCATTGAGAACGATCACTTTGAGCCATGTCACCAATTGTCTCCAGCCTTCATTGGTTTTTACCGTCCCAAGGACTCCAACCAGACAGCAGTCTACACCTTCCTACGTGGCTGGCTGGCTTAAACTAACTGTTGTGGATTTCATTGATTGATGAAGCCATGTTTTGGTTTGACCGCCGCTAGCTCTTTTCCAGCCTGACTCTATGTCAGCTAACATTGCCCATTGTCGAGGAAGGCGATGACTAGGCATGCAATCGTAATACATGTCCTAAACACCTCAGTCGATGTAATTTCATAGCCATGTCGATTGATTTCCCCTCCCCTCCATAACTAGCACTCGACCGATGCCTAACCTCAATATTGCTCACCTTACTATACCACTTCACACGGGAGAGATAGAACGCAGACACCTATGATCAAAGACAGCTAGCTAATCTTTTCATGTCTTCCACTCTCAATGGCCAGGTCTCACTCACGGCCATAAAGGAGGACGGAATGGACTGTTGAGCAGTACACACGCCCTTTGGTCGATAGTTGGATATCACGTCTACGCCAGAGACGGCGTAAACTGGCATATGCGAAACTAGCCCTCTGTATCCGTGCTGAGATTTCGTCAGAGATCAACCCGTTGGGGCTGATGGTACTTCCTGCTGACTGGTGAGTGCCAACTAGCACGAAACCTAGGTCAGGCTTGGCTTCCTGTAGATTGCCTACAACCGTATAATACGTCTTATAATACTTAAAACGTGTCTTACATTAACAAGACACACACAAACAAAAAGATCCATTTGTGCATTTATTTCCACACTTGTCTTTTCCTAATCTTAAATTGCCTGGTGGATGGAAATGAAAAAAGAATAAAAATTACCACGCCTTGAAGACTTTATTGTTTCCCAATGCAATTTATGAGATGATTGAAACAGTGTTAGATCCACCTAACGAACTTATGTAAAAAAACCATGTTGAATAAACGTATTTACAAGCATTTTTTAAACAAAAATACAAAAGAGTGAAATTTAATTTTGATTCTAAATTCAACAGTATATTTCTTGCAATTCTAAAATGTTTTAACTACACAATTATCTGTGCGGCACACCTAAGACGATATTTTTTATTAGACAATTTAATGAATTTCCAACTTGATTTGAGTGATTTCGATACACATTTAAGCAAAATCAACGTCGTAGTACTTTCTTTCACCTTATTGAATTGATGAGCGAATTTTGTTATGAGCCTAAATAAAAGAAGCTAATGAACTATTGAAAGTTGAGCAGTACTGCATATCGTTTGCATTGATGGTGACTAGTGGCGGCATCCAAGATTCGCCTTTCGTTTTGTTCGATACTCATCATCTGAATGTACCCTATATTCCGAGTGAGTGAACTGGCGTTCTCACTGACACTCGAATCCTCCTACACAAATCGTTGGGAATGCTAAGCCACTAGACACTAACGCGTGAGGAAGGTCCATGTTAGTCCTAAGACATCTTCGAAGAGTTCGTACTAGCAACCAACACGTCAATCGAGACCTAGGATTCAGTCCAGCATAGTCAATCGACGGTGAGTGCAAAATTAACCTAAAGACACAAGTGTTGGACATTTATTTCATTTGGATTTAGTAGAGGTCAGCAGACGATAAAGTCCTTCTAGGCGAGTACTACACAGCTGTTTCGTTTTAGTTAGATAGGCAGTTACCTGAGGTTCCAGTGAGAAGTGATGACCAGTAGGGAGCAGCAGGTCGGGTGTGAGGACAAATACTTGCCAACAGTGATATTGGCTAGTGGTCGCGCTATATCGTGAATTGGTAGAAGTTAGAATTCATGCATTGGCCACTGGATCGTGTCCCACCGCTGAAGAGTCCTAAACTAGGACGAAACACCTGTTAAGTACTCCCTGCAGGTTTTCCAATGGTTCTCTAAACAATGTCAGCTCATAATGAAATCCTGTAACCAAAAAAATATTTCTCAGCTGGTCACAGTGTACTTTTAATCAGAGTAAAAGGAAATAGAATGCAGGCAGCCAAAGTTTTCAATCCAGTATGTTTCATACTGTCATGGACTAACATTCATCAAATATTCTTCTGTTGGTTATTGCACTGCGCTAAACTTTATAACTGTATGAAATTATCGAACAAACACTAGTGTATAAAAATAAAAGTAATGCACGCACCTGATACGATATTCGAATTACCTGGCTGTCCAGTACACGTTGTAGACTTGAAGCCTTCTGAGGCGACAATCTGTTTACCAACAACACGTAAATGCGGAAATCTGGATAACCAATCTTTACATTCATAGAACAAATGGTCTTGAATCCCACTTGGATTGTCCAGATGTTGGGCGTATTGTAAAGCTAATGGGAAGGGAAGACAGTTGCAAACACGGTAAGCAATCAACAAGAAAAGTATTGGTTTACATATAAGACAAGTTTGTTTGCTTGTTCCTTTGTAGCACACAGTAATGTAGCGTTGTTATACATATTATATATTATTATTATTGTTCCCTTGGGTTCCTAATGGAACATAAGGCTTCAACTTTACGTCTCCACTTCCTTCTGTCTTCTGCTGTACTTTTCACCTGCATCCATGTTAATCCATACTAAGTCAACTCCTCTTCACACGATCTCCTCCATGTCACCCTTGGACGTCCCAGTCGACGCTTCCCTTTCGGGTTCCACTCGAGGTCCTGACGCGCGATTTCACCCAGTGGCCTCCCAGCGAGTGTCCAATTCATCTCCACTTTCTCCTACATATTTGTTGGGCAATTGGTTCTTATTTGCAGCATTATTGACTGGATGGTATATTGGGCAATGAATACTGCTCATTGTCACCACAGTGAATTCACACAACTTTCTTACTTGCTTTATATATGTTTATGGGGGATGAATTGTGCCCGAAATGTAATTCATTTATATATATGAAAACAAAACACGTAGTTCAGCGAAGAGTCTCTTTTCGGTGGAGAATTCACTTTCTTAGCTGTACAATCACAAATATATATGTACAGGTTATTTTGTATGTATGTGTACATTCAGTTTGTCAAACAAAAATACAATTGGTTATGGTTATTTTGACTAAACAGGTGAAGATCGGTGGTTGGAGTTACGTAATACAAAATCAGTCAAGAAAATTAGGTGTTAATGAAATTAGGGTTGTAACAAAGGTGATGAGTTGTCACAAACAGTTGTTAAAAAAGAATTTATGTAATAATATGAATAGTTTGGTGATTAAGTTGTACTCAGTATGCCCATAGGAACAAAGTAGATTATACGAAGTTACGTAAGAGTTCTAAATGAATAGGAGAATTATAAGCAATTAAAGAACAGGCAAAGAAACAAAATCAAGTCATCAAAATCAACAAAGTTGTCACCATGACAGTTGAAGTGGTTGAGTAATCCTCTCTGTGAATGGCCACAACTTCAGTAATACAAAGAAGACGAAACCGTATTGCCTTTGGTAGGTTATTCTTGACTCTGTAGAATACTTTAAAGGAGGCGTTTGTCGAGATGAAATGATCAGTGTTAACCAGGTGTTCAGTTATCGCGCTCCTTATTGTGCCACTATTGCCTTTCGGCAATCAAATATTAAAACTCCATGATTCCAACGCTAAGTAAAATTTGCATCTTATTGTAACAAAAAGACAATCTACACCTTTTGTAAGATTTTTTATAAGTTAAACAGGTAATACATATATATATCTTCATTCAAATCCCGAGTGGAACAGAGAACTTCAAAGTTGAGCTCTGAAGTATTTTTACGGAGTGCATTTGATAGTCACATCTCACAACTCTCTCTCTTTGCCTAGATTACTACCAGCCGAAATGAGGTTGAGGACAGAGCCCACCAGAGATAGAACCTGGAGCAATTATTTAACTTTGTTTATGTGTAAGGCTTTATTTGTATAAATGACCCATTGTTAATTTACTGCTGACAGGCATTGCAAAACCCTGTATTTCTGCCCAACGCCTTAAATTAAACTGGAGATGACTAGGCATGTGCTACGTATGCCTAGTCATCGCCTTCCTCGACGGACAATGTTAGCTGATATACGGTCAGGCTGGAAAAGAGCTAGCGGCAGTCAAACCAAAACATGGCACCAGTCAATGAAATCCACAACGGTTAGTTTTAGTCAGCCACGTAGGAAGGTGTAGATTTCCTGGTTCGGGTCCTCCGGACGGCTAAAACCAATGACAGCTGGAGACAATTGGTGATATGGCTCAAAGTGATCGTTCTCAATGGTTGGCGTAGATGCATCCACTCCTTGTGACTTATGATTTCCAATGAAACTATATTGTTTCTCGTCATTAATAACTATTCCTTTGTCTCACACCTCTGTTTACTGTCTTTATTATGCATTTCTTCTACATTCTTCTCTTCCTTTGTGTGCTACATGGAGTGTGGCGACTTGAACTGCCGCACACCGGTGCAAAGTTCTATGTCGAAAACAGACAGACAGACAAATGAAACTGGGATAAAAATAGAAACCTACATATTTCCCGACATAATTAGAAAAAAAAACAGGAAAACTAGTTAGGCCAACTGTCTAACCTATAAGCGAGTGTTTATCTTAATTTTGTTGAAGTAGCATTTATTAAAAAGGGGGGAATTGTATACTAACCGGTTATTCTTGTTGTACTATGGACTTAAATCATGAAATTATTTTAAAACAATTAGTTTCTTTTATGAATTTAGATAAAACAATAAGAAGACGTAAATTGTTTGGATCGTGTAATGTATTTGCGCAACACACTTCGAACGATCTGACCGATCACACACGGACTTCTCATAGGGATATATGTGAAATTAATAAGGATTTAAGAGGTGAGAAAATAGACAAGTTAGGTCAAGTTGAAAGGAGGGCATATTGAAGGTCAAAATAACAATGAAGACCACTAAACCAAATAACAGAGGTAATAGTACATCTACCCTGACTGGTATCAAAACAAAGTTTACCAAGGAAGGTTTAATGTGATGACGAATTGTTTTTGAATGCATAAAGGTGGTTTAAACTTCCTAATTGCTAGGGCTTCCACAAACTTTGGGATACGCCCCAAACACCTTTTATAGATAGGTTTAAAAGATGTATTGACGTCAATTTTATGTCATGTCTCTATGATGTGTTTCGCAATAGAGGAGCTAGGTCTACTGTCCTCACTCTTAATGGGTTCAGGGAATTCTGTTAGTTTCTGAAGCCATTTAGGAATATGCTCTGAAGCCAGCCGTTACTTCCAGAAATCGATGAGTCTTCCCTCTGCATGTGTGGCCGCAGGTATGTTCAAATTGGTAAATACAGTGGGATGTGACGTCATTTTTCGCATATTCGAAGGGCTTAGATGGATGGATGGATGGATATATTGGCTTCACATTCTCAATTATTTTGATATTAGCTGCATAAAAAGTCTTTTCAACAGCGACGTTCAATCTCTGTCTAGTTATCAAGCTGCTATGATACGCCATATAGGGTAGCTTGATGTGCGCGTCTTTCTTAGGGGCAAGTTGGAGAGTGTGTCTTGGTTTTCTGACTACTTTATATCTCCTGATGAACTTGTCTGGATGTTTGCTATCAACCGGAGTTGGTGTCAACTTTCTTTCTTCTTCATCAAGTGTGTCTTCAGTGCATATTCGTTGGATTCTACTGAAGGGGCACCTTACTAAGGCTCTTCCGTAACGAAACTATGATAATTAAGATGCTGTCCTGTCCAGGTAGGTTTTCTATAAATAGATCTTGTTATTGACCCATCAAGCCGTCAGTCGACTAAGCAATATGTCTAGGAAAGATAAACAATTATCTTCCTCTTCTACAGACAGACGTAAGTGATATGCTATTTTGAACTTCATTCATTCGATTTATAATTGAGGTGGCAGAACAATACTTATCACTGATGATTACAATATCATCTACATACCTTCTATAAAGTGGCGCATTTTCGATTAAATCCTCGGATAAATTCTCAATTTACGACATATAAATATCTGCTAAAAGTGTCCTTAACAGACTTCCCATAGCAACACCATCAACTTGGCGGAAACAATCGCCTTCAAATGTAAACCTAACATTGTTAGTACATAGAAGTAATAAATCCCTTAAATAATATATAGGAAACGGGATGAAAAAATTGTTTGTTGGAAATGTAATTCATAATATCAATATCGTCAATATCGTCCGTGTGTGATCAGATTGCTCGAAATGTCTTGCGCAAATACACAATACACGATTCAGACAAATTACGTCTTCTTATTGCTTTATCATGAAGTAGTTGTCAATTGTGAAAGTACACATAGCACTTTTGGCATTCTGTACTAATTTGAAACTCTGATCGTGAGCACAGTTCACTTAGTCAGAATAGTGATGTTTAGTGATGTTGACTTGCTAAATCTACTAAAAACTAAATCTAATATTAACTTAGGTTTATATTACAGGATTTTATTATGAGCTGACATCAGTTGGAGGACCATTGGAAAACCTGCAAGGGGTAATGCACAGCTGTTTCTGCTGTTCTAGTCTGCGACTCTTCATCGGTATGCATCCACCGGGTACAGCAGGTCGGGTGTGAGGACAAATACTCGCCAACGATGACATCGGCTAGTTTCAGTCGCGCTATGTAGTGAATGGGCAGGAGTTGGAATTCATGGGCTGGTCATTGGATTGGATCCCAGTGGCTTAATGGTCTACCAGTTCGCTAGCCTTGTAACCAGAAGGTCCTGGGTTCGAACCCTGGTGGTGTCCCAGTTTTCCAGACTAACACAACGGAAACAGCTGTGTAGTACTCCCTGCATGCTTTCCAATGGCTATCCAACCGATGTCAGCTCATGATAAAATCTTGTAACCAATCAATCAAATCCCTACAAACCAATATTTGGATTTTTATGAGTTGATCACGGATTGATATCAGTTAGAGAACCATTGAAAACCAGGGAGTACTGGACAGCTGCTGTTTCATCCTAGTTTGGGAATCATCGGCACTACGCACCCACTGGGATTCGAATCCAGGACCGTCCGGTTACAAGGTAAGCTCGTATACCATTTAGCCTGGTTTTCAATGGTTCTCTAACTGATATCAATCCGTGATCAACTCGTAAAAGCATAACAAACCCTTACAAACCAAACTATAGTACAATATTTGAATACTAAGTTTATATTTTTTCAAAAATAAGCGACACTTGTGCCAATTCCTTGTAAAAAGTTTACAAAAGCATCCATACAGTGGAACTTTGTTTTTTCTTGGAGTACAATAATACATTAGAAATTAACTGGGTAAACACTCATAAAGAAGGCTGCTTAGGGAATGAAAACATCATTCATATAATAATAATAATAATAATAATAATAATAATAATAATAATAATAATAAGTAGACATTTTATACTCCTTTGTCTCACTATATGAATTTTAAATTTAGCATACTTTCCTTCCTACATACACTAAGTGGTTCGATCTATTTATCACAGTTGACTTTGCATAAACAGACTACTAGAAAAAATATACATATATATCCAACTAAATTTATTTTGGACAACACCAGACGTTACCATGGTTGCATGCATAAATTTAAGTTGACTAATTGGCATATATTAATTGTATTAGGTCAAATATATGTTATGATGACAAATAAAAAAAAAACAGACAATAAATAATTAAAAGTTTACAGTAATTAAAGACAAGTTGTTATATGTGCTTCACATTACACGATTGAAAAAAAATAACTCTGTTCGCCTAAAAATGCAATTGCAATCTGAACCACAACATGAGACCGCCTTAACAAAACAGTTTTTTAAGGAATTTGATAGGAAGGAAGCGTCAGTCAAAATTTTTGAAAAACAAAGGCATTGAACAAAAGGGAGGAAATGTACTATGTTGTTATTTAATACATTCATAAATGCGCTCTACAGGAAACTCTTTGTAAAATTTTAATATAATTTACTTTTAAATAATCAAAATAAAACTTAGTTGGAGCCCTCTCCCTCGGTGGACCATTCGCACCGTTAGTATACATAGTAATGCATAGGTAAGCATTGTTATGCCGATCATTGATCGCATCAATCAATGATGCACTGCATAGACAAGCCCAATAGAACTCATCTTGCATACAAGACCAGCCAAATGTATTATTATATGCAAAAGTAGCATGCATAGCGACGCTATAGTTACAATAAGCCCCTATAAACGAAGCCAGCAGCCACCAAATTCAATGAAATCGTTATCCCGACCAATCAATTTAGCCTGCAAATAGATTCTATACGTCTGTCTAGACTATAGAAAACCATACACAGTCATATAGGCTAGCCATGAGAACCATTTAACTCACACTCATATCGTCAAAATAGCTTATGCTGTGTTTAATATAGGATTTCAGGGTTATAAACAAGACAGCCTAGCTGGGTGCTAGTAGGCCTAAACAAGCTCCAAACCCCATGGTCACAGATACCAAAACATGTTTCACGCATTCCTCTATCATTTGGAAGCGTTTTCGAAATTTTCAGTTTTTCGACTTTTTATGACCCGAGTTAGGGGTAGTAATCCCTAACGTTGTGCTGACGTTTCTACTGTTCTCCTTGATAGTCTGCTCCCAGATAATTGAATGATATAAATTACAATTTTGTTATGAGGTCAGAAGCATATAACACGCATTCCCCTTTACTTCCAATCATCTTCAGAATAATACCAATTATGCTGCATACTATCATAACTTTATTGGATATCTTGACTTTCTTGCTCAAAAAATTAAAACGAAAAATCTTTGAGTTCATTATTACTTACCACACGTGAAGAATGCTACGAAGACATTATGATCTAACACTTATAATTGTTTGGAGGATTTCATCATGAGCTGACATCAGTTAGATAACGATTAGAAAACCTGGGAGTACTTTCAAATTGGTCTGATGCTCACTAGTGACTGATCCTATTCAGGCAGTTAACCTGGGGTTAAAGTGGGAAGCCGTGACCAGTAGGGTACAGCAGGTTGAAGGCGAGGCAGTAATTCATTGCGAAGTAGTCGCGCTATGTCATGAATTGGCAGAAGTTGGAATTCATGGGCTGGCCATCGGTCTACGAGATAGCCCGCCTTGTGACCAGAAAGTCGTGGGTTCGAACCCTGGCAAGGGATACGCATTGATGAAGAGTCCCGAACTAGGATGAAATATCTCTCCAGTACTTCCTGCAGGTATATTATTGATTCTCTCTAACTGATGTCAGCTCATGATGAAATCCTTCAACTAATCAAACAAAATCCCTAAATAAAACCAATACTTGAAAACTTATAATTATCTCAAAGTTCATATAACTGACAAACGTGAATAGACACATTTTAGTCAATGACAGCCTGAAGTTAAATCTACCTGTTCAATAAGGAAAGTCTCATTGAAACTATATTATTGTTCATACTTTATTTTTATCCCTCTGCGTTTCCAGTGGAACATTTGGCTTCAAAGCCTTTGGGCCTTGAGGTTTCTCTGGCAGTGGTGTTATTGTTTTTGTTCTTTTCGGGCTGGGTTCGCTAGCTACCTGCAAGGTTTTCATTAATCAAACCGCTGTTAATATATCTACAGTATACATATGTTAACCAACCGATGAGCGTGTGATTTCGGTTTACATCAAACGACATGAAATAGAATCGTCAAATAACTATATTGTATTCTGTTGTTGATGTTTATATTTTTAATATATTTATGCCTTGAAGTTTCTGCAGCAATTTGGTTAGCAACTGTCTTCGCTCCATACTCAAGATCAGATGGCTGGAAAGAATCACAAACAAGAAACTATGCGAACAAACAAAACAAGAACCAATCGCCAAACCAACCAAATATGCAGGAGAAAGTGGAGATGGATTGGACACTCGCTGAGGAGGCCGTTGGGTGACATCGCGCGTCGGACCCTCGAGTGGAACCCGAAAGGGAAGCGGTGAGTGGGACGTCCAAGGGTGACATGGAGGAGATCATGTGAAGCGGAATTGAAACAGTATGGATTAACATTGATGCAGGTGAAAAGTACAGCAGAAGACAGAAGCAAGTGGAGGCATGCAGTTGAAGCCCTATGTTCCACTAGGAACCCAAGGGAACATTAATAATAATAATATAATTCTGTTGTTGATGCCGAAATGAACTGTGGAAATATGTGAGGATAGCATTCCGTTGGCACACATTGTTTGTATCACACTACCACAGCTTCACTTTGATGTGATCGAACGGGAACCAGTGTTTTTCAACATGGTATAGTCACTGACCCTTGAAACTATGGTGGTATGCAATTCCATATAAATTTGTGTATTAAATATACCAAACAGTGGTATGATTATGAACAGTAAACTATTTTCAAAGATTCGTCGAATAAATAATTTTGATTCACTGTGTGACAAATAAAATAAACAAAAAATAATGTGGGAGGAAAGTTTTTTTCAAATAATAAAGACGTGGACCACAACTTACGCGAATTCAGATTTACCACCGGGTTTAAGCATAACAGTTTTAAATTCTCCTCATTTAAATCATTAATGTATGAGAATATAGACATATCGGAAGACTTGGCATTCACTTCATGGTTGTAGGCTTTGTCGACAGTAGAAGTAGTAGTATTTACAGCGGCGTTATACCTGAGCGGCGTCAAATCTTGTGAATCGAAATTTGGATTATCGAATAAAATACGATCAATCTCTTCAAACATTTCATGTACACGAAAAGACTGTTGTCGATCAAATTCCTAAAAAGTAAATCACATACATGTACAGTAGAATATGATAAAATTAACGAATAATATCGGGATATTATTTTTACGAATTTTTCAAATTATTAAGGCAGTAACAAAAATGTTTCGGATTAGAAACTTGTCACAGGATTTCATCACGAGCTGACATTGGTAAGAGAACCATGCAAAAACCTGCAGAGAATACTGGACAGCTGTTTCTGTTGTCCTAGTTTGGGGCCAGCTCTCTAGCAGTACATTCGTGTAAATAAATGTGTAAGAAAGTTCCGGAATAATTTCCGGTCAAGGGTCAGATATATAAAATTACAATTAGGAATTATAATGCCATAATAAACAGAGGGACGGAATAGAAACTCAAACAGAGTAGCATCATAATTACTGAGGTGATTGACATATTGTGAATTGTGAGTTAGAAATATAGAAGTAACAACAATAGACAGGATGTTTGGATAAAACATCCAGTGGGATCTAACTAATGTGACGAATAATTGTTCATCCAATCAGGGATTAAATATGTATAAATACTAAAATGACAAAATAGACAGGAAGTTCGGATATGAAAATCTGGTTGTGTAAACAGGGACTGAGAAAAACTTAAAAATAACACGAATAAATAGGAAGTTTGGATAAAAAGTCTATGAGATAGTTATTATTAGCAGAATTAGCTGTTTATGATGGCCACGGCAGGGACAAGGGTTGGATATATTTCTTTTGAATATGTAGCGTGGGTTTGAGCTTTTGGGTGGCTAGTGCCTCGACTATGCCCAGATGTTTTGATTTTACTCCCTTTGATAGGTTTGATCGAATCTTGTATATTATTTTGAAGGATTTTTCGAATGGCGCTGAATGTCCTGAATTGACCAGACGTTTTCGTTCTCCTCTTACTAGCCAGGCTGGATAGTGTTGACGAGTGCGTTTCTCAAGTTGGCGCATGGTACGACCGATGCAACAAACATCCATACATCCTGTCTATTGTTTTTATTTCCACATTTCTAACTCCTAGTTGCACAATATGTCAATCTCCTCAGTAATTATGATGCTAGTTTGTTTGAGTTTTATCCGTTCCCCTGTTTATTATGGCATTTTTATTCCTAATTGTAATTTTATTAATCTGACTCTTGACCAGAAATTATTCCGGAACTTTCCCACCCATTTATTATAAACACACGAATGTACAGCCTAGTTGATGATTTCGTCGAAAAAAAGAGAATTTTCTTCGCTGCAACTGACTTTAAGGTTTATAAGGGAAACTTCAACAAATCAACTTATTGACAATAGGGATCGTCTGACGGCGTATTTACAGTAAAAGCAAGCACATCTTAGAGGTCAATAGATTTCTGAGATTTTACCTAATTTTGGTCTTTATTACAACTCTGTACTGGCAGAACTGTTGACTCAAATTTTCCCGTTTGGCTTTTTCTCTCCAAGCATCGGTGACAAATATACGCAGTAAAATACACTTCCTTATCTTGATAAATAATGTCACCTCACCCTACTGCACTCTACATTTTTCAACAAAAACGTACTCATTTTATGCCTGTTAGGAGACTGACAATTAGAAAGTGAAAATATGAGCCTCCAATACACTATGTTATCCCCTAGATCTCAACTAGCTGACATAGGGGACCTGGGTGTGATTGAGTAGTAATAATTTGCCTACGGTCGGTCGGTCGGTCGGTTTTCGACATAGAACTCTGCACATATGTGCGGCAGTTCAAGTCGCCACAATCTATGTAGCACGCAAAGAGAAGAAAGTAGAAGAAATGCATAATATAGACAGTAAACAGAGGTGTGAGACAAAGGTATAGTAATAACGGAGAACAAAACAGTTTCATTGGAAGTCATAAGTCACAAGGAGTGGATGTATCTGAGCCACTGAGAACGATTTTGAGCCATGTCACCAATTGTTTCCAACCATAGGTTTTTACCGTCCCTAGGACCCCAACCAGGAAGTCTACATCTTCCTACGTGACTTAGACTAACTGTTGTGGATTTCATTGACTGATGAAAGGATGTTTTGGTTTGACTGCCACTAGCTCTTTTCCAGCCTGACCCTATATCAGCTAACATTGCCCGTCGAGGAAGGCGATGACTAGGCATACGTAGCACATGTCCTAACCATCTCAGTCGATGTAATTTCACAGCCTCGTCGATTGATTTCCCCTCCCCTCCATAACTAGCACTCAACCGATGCCTAACCTCAATATTGCTCACCTTATTATATCACTTCACAAGGGAGACAGAACGCAGACACCTATGATCGAAGACAGCTAATCTTTTTATGTCTTCTGCACTCAATGGCCAGGTCTCACAGCCATAAAGGAGGACGGAGCGGACTGTTGAGCAGTACACACGCCCTTTGGTCGATAGTCGAATATCGTGTCTACGCCAGAGACGGCGAAAACTGGCGAATGCGAACCTAGCCCTCTGTATTCGTGCTGAAATTTCGTCTGAGATCAACCCGTTGGGGCTGATGGTACTTCCCAAGTAATTGAAGCGGTCAACGTGTTCTACCACTTCACTTCCTATTTCTAATCTAGGGGTCGATGAAGTCCAATCCTGCAGCATCATCTTACATTTTACAGGGGCGAATCGCATGCCAAACATACGAAGATTGTTGCTCAGGATGTTCAGTAATAATAATAATAATAATAATAATAATAATAATTTGCCTACACAAAAAATGAGCAGTGAATAGTCCCCTTTAACAGTGTTTCGGTAAAGCATACTGGATAAGCACATTCACTAGCTTTAAAGCATTTGGTTTACGCTGTTCTTCAGAAATGGTTTCAAAGTGGAACTTTGCACAGTTATTCAGCAATTCCACACTCTTCTTGTAGCACACAAAGCAATAGAGGAGAGAGTAATGATTCAGAAGAGAGGTATTAAACAGAAATATGAGGCAAAAAGAATAGTAACATGGCAGAACAATAGAATTTTATTGGATGCATCTGCGTCACTGAGAACAACTTTGAGCCATTTCACTGATTGTCTCCAGCCATTGGTTTTTACCATCCAGAGGACCTCAGTCAGTCAAGAAGTCAACACCTCCTCCCCTCCCTATAGGAACATTTTTAATGCGAAACACAACACTGGCAATCTCCTCCCTAACCGTAACTGAATATAACCTAGATTATGTAAACCACACGTTCTATTAAACAGTGCACATGTGGCACTGAATGATCTAACAAATAAATAGAAATATAACGGATGACTCCACTAATGAAGTAGAAATGGCTAGACCAGTCATAATGATAATGCTGTGCGTTTCTGAATCATGCAGGATTGTAATAACAGTTGTATCAAGTAGCTGTCTCTGTCAACCTGACCAAATGATTACTTCCCAATGAAACGCATTGCCTGAAGTGATAGAAACTTTTGGGCGAATTTGGGTATAGAGAAATGCACTACATTCTCTCAACTACAATGTGGCAACTTTTATGGATTATTTGCCTAGTATATTCGGTCATAGATGTGTGCGCTTAAATTAATGCGGTAAACAGGTATAATCAGGATTGTGACATAATACAAAACTAACTCAAAGGTACGGACGCAGTCACTGGTATCTTATTGCAATTTATTTCCACTTTCATCTGCAAATGCAGCCATTTCTTCTCCTTATTCACTATTATTTTACCTCCACGCTGCTGTGCATCACAGTAACTGAGAGTATTTACTTCAATCAGTACATGTGTACTGCTTTTTTCCTGTAGCTATCCTCAGTGCTACATAAGATGAAAAAATCAGAATACCAGGTACAGTTATACATCGGTAATCGTTTAAAAAAATTTCATGTAGCATTTTATCAGACAAAATAGTCTGTTTCTACATCATATGAGAAATCTATCGATCCATGACACCAACAACCAGGAGAGATAGTGGACAGCTGATGAATTCCAGTTGTGCGTCAGCTTTTTCATCTCAAACTATTGTAAACTACTAGAAGGATGTCCTGAGGTTGTAGTGAGAATCGGTAACCGGTGAGGTCCACCATGCTAAAAAGTAGTGAAGCGATATATATCACTAATTGACGGAAGTGGGAATTCACAGTTGATTGAATTCTGGACCAAATGGCTGTATGGTCGACCAGCTGTCGTCGTAGCCAGGTCCGATCCTTGGCGAATTTGTGTTTCTGAGCACATCTCAGGAGTTCTAAACTAGTAAGAAACAGCAGTTCAGTGTTTCCTGGTTTTCTATGTTTGTTTCTCTAAATAATACAGATTTCTGACGAAATCTAAGTTGATGGAAATAATCAAGGAAGTATACCGTACAGAATATTAAAATGGGAAATGTTTTGTGCACTAGCTAGTAACCCTATTCAGATAAGTAGTTACCTGGAGTTCTAGTGGGAATTGGTGATCAGTAGGGTGCAGCAGATCGGATGTGAGGACAAATACTCGCCGAAGACATTGGCTAGTGGTCACGCTATGTCATGAATTGGAAGAAGTTAGACTTCATGGTCTGGCCATTGGATCGGGTCTCAGTGGATTTATGGTCTACCAGCTCGCTAGGCTTGTAACCAGAAGGTCATGGGTTCGAAACCCCGGGGTAAGTACCTGCTGCTGAGGAGTCTCGAACTGGGACAACAGAAACAGCTGTCCAGTACTCCCTGCAGGTTTTCCAATGGTTCTCTAACCGATGTCAGCTCATGATGAAATCCTGTAAGCAAATGTTTTTGTTTACACTTTATTTAAGCAGAATTTGATTTGAAGGTTGATAATCACAGGAACCAACAAGTGAGTTATGGAAATTCAAGCAGTTCATATTCACCCAGCAGATGTTATACAAAGGAATTATGTGAGTACGTATTTCAAGACTTACTATACTAACTAATGTATCTCAGTAGATACGAGTTTATTTGAGCAGTAAATCATACGAAACTACTATTCTAAACACGTTACACTTGAGCAATTGTTAGATTTCAGGCAGTGCACTTAATTTACTTCGCTAAGCAGATGATATGTCATGCCATATTAGGTCCATTTAGTTCCACATGAAGTATCGTTTTAATAGAAACATTTTACGCATTACTGATTACAAATGGACTAAAATCAACAACCGTAAAAATGAATAAATGAAAGTGTATGAGGTAGAAAGAAGGAAGAACTATGATTAACATGAATTTTAACATTTCAGTAAATTTAATGTGTTTCTTTTAAATATTTTTTTCTTATAAGTCTAACATATCCTATCAGTGAAGTTTTGCTCAAGTAATCTACCTTTCTAGTTCACTTTACTTTAATCGCATTTTAACTAATTAAAAATGTCACTTCTAATTGTTTGGAGGATTTCATCATGAGCTGACATCAGTTAAAGAACCATTGCAAAACCTGCAGGAAGTACTGGACAGCCGTACCTACCAATTCAACTGAGCTTGAGGTGAAGCGAGTTATATTGGCCGTTGCTCTAAGAAACTGATTTTTCGGGGACATCTACCCGTGTGGTTAAGTAAAGGTGTAGTTAGCAACATCAAAGGCTCCATATTAGAAAATCTAGTCCAAACTGGCCACAGAGCTAATATTGAAGCTTACATCATCTATCGGGTAGTAAATAAATTACCTAAAACATCCAGGCACCACAGACTCCAAGCAGCAGGGGCTATTGTGATTCGCTTGAAACACCTGGTGTTCTGTCTGCAGAAAAAGTAAGTCCAGCCACTTCTACAGCCCTTGCCTTCAGTGGAGACTATGAATTCATGAATTTGTATTATTATTTTTCTTAATTTATCTGATATTTACCATTGAGTAGCACATTGTCATCTACTGATTGAAAATATAAACAATAAGTTTTTTATAAACCTTCAGGATCACTCGTTAATTAGACTAAATATTATTTGTACACCGTTATATATATAAATGTACGGCCTGTGTAACTGGCTCCGCAGTCAAATTGGTAGATAAAAATAGAAGAAGAGCAATTAGGCAGTTTATCTTTTACTCCCAAACGCTCCTTCTATGTGTATCTACCAATTTGACTGCTCCTGTGGAGCCAGTTACACAGGCGGTACAACTAGACGTGTTTCTCGTCGGATTTCCGAACATTACCCCGCATGGTTAAGTAAACGACAGACAAAATCTATTCGTAGCGCTATTCTATCTCATCTTGTGGATACAGAACACAAGATTGATATTAAAGAGGCTTTCAAAGTCATTTACCGCATACCAACAAATCTTGGCTTTACCTTAACAGTTCACCTACTACTGAGGCTGTTGGGATCCACATTTAGAAACCTAACTTATGCATCCAAAAGAAGCTTGTTCAGACACTATCCTAACCTTGGCCATCAAGGTTCTAATGACCCTTAATTGGTTGTAGAAATTTCCTTAAAATTATACTTTTGTGTTCAAACCTCAGTATCACTAATTGCCGAGATTCAATACATAATTCCAATAGAAGAAAGCAGTACTGCTAATGAGTTTGTGAACCAGTGTCAAACTAAGTACATCAAATGAACCATGTACCTCCCAAATGAATTCACCATGCGCGTTAAACCACTCTACCTAAAGGATAACAAGTGAACCAGTAATAGAAGTCTACATAAACCATGTTAATCTGTCCTTGACTCAGCACACCAATTTCGGTGGATTAAACTACCGTGGAGTTTAATAGTGCTGTACTGGCCATTTACAAAGTCAACAACTACTTACTCTTAGCATACTGTTAGCGATCTCCACTACTCAAAGTGGCCTTATGATTAATTCCAAACCATAGGGATATGCTGGCTTTCTGTCTAGTAACTCCTTATTGATGTATGAGACTGAATGTAATTATTTCGTCATTTTTGGATTTTTTTTACGCTGTATTGACTGGAAATCACCAAATGCATGTTGCGTCGGTGGCACAAAGGTTAGGACTCTCGCCGACCATGCACATGGTCCAGGGTTGGATCCCCGGCCACCGACACACTCCTTTACCTCGCTAAGCCAGAAATAAAGCCGGTAAAGAGGAAAGGTTGAACATGAGGCTAGCAAACCCATCCTGTAAAAATAATCACCACTGCTACCGAAACTTGAAGCCTTCAGCTTGAAACCCTATGTTCCACTGGGAACGTGAAGAAATCGAAAAAACTAAATGCATGTCAATTAACTGGTAATAAATAAAGCCTTGTCTTACCTTCACCTTAATGTATTTAGATAGTCATATCTCATTGTCCAGATCTTAATTCACACCACATTTACATCACAGACAATGAAATCAGTTGGTTAGCAGTAAACAAGGGGCAGCTCATTTTTCTATGATTTTTGCAACTTATGGTACCCATGCATTCGCTCCTACTATAAGTCGGCTGGTCAACGTATTCGCCTGCCTCTATTTAAACATTGAAAACAAAAAATCTACAAGGCTGCAGCATGTTCTACCTATTCTTTAAAACATTTGTGTTGTGATTAGTGGAATTAGCACGACAGACATGTCCATATTCACAGGTGAAAGTATTTTTGGCCAATGTGGTCACAAGAAATAGAAACAATATTAGGAGTAGATAACACACATTTAACTGTTTAGGCCAGTGAAGCAGACGGACTCTAGCAACGATCTTCATGCAGATGGATGCGACATGGATCAAAACACCCAAGAGAATAATTCAACTGGTCTATAACTTCGTACTGATAGCACTACAGTCAAACTCAGAGAAAATAGTACGTGAAAATGTGTGTGCTTCAACTCTGACAAGAGCTTTGAAAGGTATTCCTAACATGAAAGAAGTATGATCTGATGATTTGGCATGATTTTGGAAAGACGATAGACATCTCTGATAATGGGTGACTGTATTCTGTCTTCATACAATTAATTCTCTTGACGAATTTGAATAAGGTGAAAAGAATAATATGAATTCCTTTTATTCTATAGGACTTTCAACAGCATCCTGCCTATTATTCTGTATTGTTCCCCCTTAGTTTTTCCCGGGCTACTGAAGAAAGACTATAACACATTACGCAGGATGTTAAATGTTGTCAGCAGGGTAAGCAACGTGCCACTTAGCCAGCTTATTAATATTCTGGTTGACAGGCACATGGACTCATGTGAAAAATGGGCCAAATCCATTTTATCTAACTCACATCACCCTCTTCATTCACAACTCTCTCCTTGCATCTCATCAGGCAAAACCAGAAGCCTATATAGAAAACTATATGCTCGCACTAGCAAGTACAAAAACTCAACCATACCCTACTTAGCTCGCGTTCTGTGTGATAAAGAAAGCATTAGGCGTGACACCTATAATTCATTAAACAGTCAGTAGAACAACTGGATCTCGTCTTTCCAACTCACATCATCAATAGGTACAACATTTTCTTTCTTTCTCTTCCTTCTCTCTTTCTGTCTCTTTTCCGTTATGTGCTGCTTTGTTTCTTTCTCTCGCTTACACCAGTTAATAAGACAGCTCCCACTTTTCTAACACCTTCAAACACTGTTTCAGCTTTACATTTGCTACTGACATGCCAGTGTATTGTTGTAATAATGAACTGTGGTTTCCTCAATCTATGTAGAATTCTACTTATTGATAATGTACTAACTGGATGCAACACTGTAGTAAAAATGCTGAGAATTCCATTCTGTATCACATGTACTGTTTTGGAATAAAGCAAATTATTATTATTATTATACAACCCTGAATAATAAACTTTATATAGTTGGTTTGTAAGGATTAGTTTTGTTTTTAAGAGTTGATCACAGATTGATATCAATTAGAGAACTGCTGAAAACCAGGGAGTACTGGGCAGCTGTTTCATCCTAGTTTGGGAATCATCGACAGTACGCACCCACCACACTGGTTCGAACCCAGGACCTTCCGGTTACAAGGCTAGCAAGCTCGTATACCATTCAGCCACTGGGACCCAATTTAACGGTTCGAGCCCCAGTGGGTGCGTGCTGCCGATGATTCCCAAACTAGGACGAAATAGCTGTCCAGTAATCCCTGGTTTTCAATAGTTCTCTAACTGATATCAATCCATGATCAACTCGTAAAAATAAAATTTAATTAGTGGATGGTGACTAGCAGCAGTGGAATCTAGGATGCGCGTTTCGTCCTATCTGAAACTAGTCAGGTGGATGTACCCGCACAACTACAGTGAGTGATGATGTTCCCACCAAGGCTCGAACCCAGTGCCCATAGTTTCAAACGTCAAAGCATTATCCACTAGACCAATCGGGCCACGAGAGTCACCTCTTGTGCAACGGGTCATATTAATTATTGAATTGAATTTTAGATTTTCCCGTCGATTGATTGGAAAATCTAAAACTCAATTAAATAATCGTAAAAATAAACTTTATAAGCAATAGATGTGAAGTAATTTAAACAATACTTTAACTGTGAATAGCCAGTTCATTTTACAATAGTAACATAACATGTTGACAATGGAGACAGGGTGCAAAGTATACGAGAAGTTGGCATAGTGAATTATAATACCCACAACAAAAACCATAACAAATAATCAGGTCAGGGCTGTAATGATTCTGTCTGTTTCTACGCTATGATGATAACCATTCAACCTTCAAGTATACAAGTACTTCCTACTGTTATAATGTATACAAAGATAGCAATGAAATCACTTACGCACATATCATCACCCCATTCCGATGAAGAAACACTAGCCCAGTCAGTTGCATTCGTTGAATTAACATCATAATATTTTATGTTGTTGCCACTTTTGCTTATATCTGATTCGTTGTAATCTAAGATCTCGTCTGAGGATTTCGTTGACTTTTGATTTTCATAGGTGGCATTAGATTGGTTTTGCCTCAGATCATTCAGTTTACTTTGTTCTTCCAATATTTTAAGATTTGAATGAACCAACTGTTTGGTAGGACACTTGAGATTAGGACTTTTTGAATGTGAAGTCGATCTTGTCTCTTGTTTGCCGAAAGTATGCTTTTTATTTAATTCCGGTACAATATCCTTGGATTTATGCACAGTAGAATGTGAAGAAGTATAACTGGTGAGGTGCTTTTTTGAGTCTAAATTCGTTTGTACATTATCAACTGCTAGTTTTGGCTCAGTGCCTGTTTCCTTTGTATCGCCTAATGTCACAGAAGCATTATTGCATTGCATAAGCCATGCTGAGATTTGGCTTGCATTCGGTGATGTATAATCCTTACAACTTGCCTGGTCAATTTGGTTAACAGGTGTACTCTTTTTGACTACCTTCAATTTCGCTGATAACATATTGTAGGGATATTTATAAACTGGTCTATTTACATAATAATTATCACTTGGCTTTAAAGGCTGATAGTTTTGTATAGAGTACTTTTTGTCGAAATTAATTAAAAAATCCTTTTCATCCCTGAGGCATATTGCACGTTTCGACCTGAGTGTAGGATTTGTAGTGATAGGTGACTTTAATTCCGTCTGGATTTTTATGATTCTGTCAAGATTTGTGCATTTCGCATATTTATCACTGAAGGCTCTTCGAGATGTACTGTTCGCTACTTGTTTTTGATTAGTCTGGTGACATTTTACAGTGCCTGAATTTTTTACATGAGGGAGTTCGCCGCCCATCTTTTCTGTGTCCTTACTAGCTGTGTCCGTCTTCTTCCAACTGCGCGGTGTCGTTCGATTTGTAAGTACAGAAGCTCTGGAAATATCTCTTTCATTAGGTCTGCTAAAAATTTAATAAACTGTTTGTAAATTACATTATAGGGAAATTAATAAAATTTTAAGGAAAATAGAAATCTTTCAGTTAAACAAAATTCCTCATAGCTTAAATTTAAGCATAGAGAAAACAAAAGCCCACTACTTCTGTTCATCCTGATCGGTCATATAACTGTAGCGTAATAAAGCAGAATGTGCTGCGCTGTTTCTGCAGTTTAAAAATCCATCCAGAAAATTAACTCTTATTATGTTATAACCTTTTGAAAGCAAATCAATTCTCTTCACATGTTACTAATAGGTTGAATGTCTTAATTGAAATAAACTTAAAAGACATCTGCTCTAATTAAACCAATCTGTTTTCCAAAGATAATTCTGTTTAAAATCCATGCTGGCGAATTTCCCCTGGAGTTTTGCTCACAACAGATACATTATTTGCAGAAATTGCTATTTATTTGTTATGTGCTGCCTCAGATAACTTAACCCCGAAAGTCTGTTCCCCTAGCTTATTCACTTCTTTCATAAGAGGGTAGAAGACTGCTTAACATAATCACAGATGGTCTAAATTACAATGACACGATCACATGCGCATCTTTGAATGATGACATACCATATGCATAACAAGAACCATCAAATGTTCTCTACTATGACCTGGAGAAATATCGGTACTTTTTTGGCATAAGTTGGTATAGTAAGTCAAAGAACCACAGTCAAGAAATGACAGTTATATCATTCATAAAGAATTCCAAAACTTCAATTTACACTAAATTTAGCGCTAAAGATGTTTCCTAGAGCGAAAGCTTCACAATTAAACCAGCTAGAAGAAAATAACCACACTAAAAACATTCATCTAAGCTATAAGACATTCCATACTATTAAAAATTACTGCACACTTTCCAACTAGTGTAACATAGATCATATTCACCACAAACATTTGAAATCTCAGTGTATCATGTTTAACATCGCAGCGAAGAATGCTGGAGTTGTCGCTGAAACAGCTTGTAACCACAACTAATTATAGTAGGTTTTAGGACTTCTGTATACACTGTTTGTTAACACCTCACAAGATATCAGTCTCTGATTGTTCAGAAATGCATAATATTGACATGAAAAGTGTTTACTTGTGTATAAGTATGCATTGGATTTTATGCGTTTTCTTTTTGAAAGCTTTTCTTCGAATTACACTTCTTACTACTGAGGTTAATACACACTGTCTACTCTTTTAAATAGCCATTCAGGCCGATTTTTGGAATTTTATTACTCTAATATACTAAGTCCGACATTATTAACATGGCATCTGGTGTTAGTGATTAGCGGTCCCTGTTGATACACGTAGTATCGTTGTATCAAGTAGGTGGAATTGATAGGGAGATGTGAATTAGAAATCATTTTTCAGGGACAGTAGAATGTTTTAAGATTGGCAAAGAGTAGGTTAAGCACAGGAAGAAATGTGAGGTAGCAAACAGGACAAAAATATGATACGGATAAATCTCACTTCGAGACAATTTCCAAAACTCACTTTCATTCTCTCCTGGAATGCATTCTGACAATCCATAAATTCATACACGGCTCAAAATAATAGTCATTAACTTAATGAGCCGGTGCCATATGTCGACTCAGGTGATCTTCGCTCACTTTCAGCCTAATGCTTATTTTAGAATAACATACTATTTATGTAAACAGTGATTATACATGATTTTATATATATGCTAGCCTGCCCACATAGCAAAATTTTCAAAGTCATCGAATGGCCAGGCAGTTCAGGCTCCATACCTACACTCTACGCTTTTCGTGCAGTGGTCCCACCAAAAGTTGACTAATGTCAAAAACTCCATGGTGACTCAGTGCATTTTAATTTACAAAGATCTAATTATTCACATTCTATCCATCTGGTTAGATCATGACATTAGCATGATTCACTTATATTTAAAGTGTAGGGCGCGAACTCATAGTAAGTTACTGGATTAAACGACAACTAGCCACTGCTATAAGAAACCCATGTTTTAAGAAAACTTCTTCTTAGTAACGACGGTTTCACTACCCTGCAAAATGTACTGATAAGACCCACATGTGCACAAATTAATTCATTAAATTGCTTTGAGTTCAAGTATCCCTTTTAATCTAAACATCCCATTTATGGAGACTTTTAAAATGTCTCTGACCCAGGCTAGGCTACCCAGGGACTGGAATGATGCAATTATAAGCCCCATCTTCAGAGAAAGGGAACAGGCAACTGTACTTCTAACTACTGACATGCATTATAGCAAATATAGTAGAAACAATCACAAGGGATCAGCTTTTAGCCCACAAGGAGCTTCATGGTTACTGGAGAAGGAACAGCATGGGTTCCGATCAGGATGATCCTGCCTAACAAGCTTACTGTTAACTAGGAAAGATTAGGTCTAAGCCAAGGGTAAAAACCTACTTTTGGACGTTGTTTTTATCCATCTTATTGAAGCACTCGATAATGTGTCCAGTTTGAGCTTCCTTAGTAAAATAAAAGGTTTTGGATTAGACCAATACCTATGTGAGTGGTTTGGGGACTACCTAATGGATAGAAGCAGAAGGTAAGGTTAGTGTATGAGGTGGAAAGCGGAATTGAGTGGAGTACTTAAGGGAACTGTGCTAGGCTCCCTGCTATTCCTATTATAAGTAAACGAATTACCAAAACTTCTTGCCTCATCTTCACCGATCTAGAAAACTGCCAATACCAATGATGACAAGTTGGTATTACAAAACGATCTAGATAAATTAGCTAAATGGGCTAGCCTTTGGAGTCTGGAAATTAATTCCAAGAAAAGTGCGATAGTGGCCCTAGGTCAGAAGTCTTACACGTCATACACAGAACTGCCAGATGTTAGGGGACAAAAGGACTTAGGCATTATTGTAAGCCATGACTCGAAAACAACAGAAAATTGTAATGCAGCGCACCTAACACTTTTCGAATGCTATGGACACTTCGAAGGGCTTTCAAACGATTAGACGAGTCTATGCTCCAATTACTCTATGCAACATATGTCAGACCCCGTCTAGGATACGGCATACAAGCGGCGAGTCCATGCTTCAAGAAGTAGGCACATATCTTGGAGATAGTACAGAGGGTAGGAACCAAATTAGTCAGATGTATCTCACACCTTCCTTATGATAAGAGGATGAGGCATTTATATCTCTTCTCATTATAATACCGAACGAAAGGAGGCGACTAAATTTTGGCATACCGTATATTAAAGGGCAATTTAGGGATTGACCTTTCTAATCTTTTGTCTCCCTCCAGGATACATTTACGTGGTTACTACAAAAGGTGCTCAAACCGCAGACGAATAAAATGCGGGTGGAATCCGGACTCTCTCATAGAGTGGTAAACGACTGGAATTCCTAACCTGATTCAGTAGTAACAGCTCCATTGGTAGCCACTTTCAAAGAGAAATTAAGTATCTGCAGAGATATATACTGGAACGGTTAACACACACCACGAGAGCCTACTGTCTTTGTTATCTTATTGAAAAAAACCACAGTATGACATAGTGACATTCAGATTCTGAATGATAAGGATTGCACATATGAGTGACACTGTGACCGAAACACAACTTCTGTTACTTACTACACCTTTCACTGTTAAGTATAATACGTATGAGGTAAATACAATCAACATCCAATCCGTATGTAAAATTATGTCTAATTCAAAAGAAATGATTTTCATCCGAATGACCACAATTTTCATGCAACTTGGAAAATGATTTTCAAAATAATTATTTTAAGCACTTAAGCGCTTTCACCTGTCCTGACTTTTACGAAAAAATTAAATTTAAATAAAAGCCAGAAAAATATGACGAAAGAGCATAGTAACACTCAAATTTATGTTGGGAAATAAAGTCATCTGGGACAAAGGGATAGTACAAAAACAACCAAATGTTATAATGGAAATTTTTTCCAACATTTAATTGTTGCATATATAAATATATCTTCACTTTCGCCTATGGGCCAAGTCCACTAACTATTGATCTTAGTTAGGTTTATGACTCGAATAATTATGGAGACGGTTTACTGCAGCGTTATACTATTTTCAGTTCGTATGAAGGTAAAATGATATCTTTGATCGCATAAATAACGAAAATATCTTCAAAAATCCAACAGAAGCTTTAAAAGCAACAACTCACGCCTCAGAAGCTCGAGATTGCCTTTTATTAGCAATACTCATCTATAAATTACACGACATGTAAAATCTGGCGTCGTTGGAAACGTTTTCAAAAACACGCCTAATGTTGAGATGTTATAAAACAAAAAAATCTTAACATCCATTCCATTTGCTACGTCACACTATAAATCAGTCAAAATGGAGTTGATAGACTTTCAAATTTGCATAGGATATCACACAAAACACTTAGTGTTCTTGAGATATGTATGATTTATAACACCCAGTATCTACTTGATCATGTGGCATAAATATATCGGTGTCTTGGCACTCACGTCTAAATGTTATGGAACGACTGTGCATCTTTTATGGATCTAAATCTGCCTACTAATCTGCTTTCAAGTGTTGTAAGCAGTGAGACGATAGGATTGGTTTCGTTTATGAGGAATGTATTATGTGTTGCGGGATAGCGTTTCTGATTTGAATCATGTCAGTAGTCAACAGCAGCCCAAAAAATGAACATAAATTTTTCAAACAGAAATGGAATATTAAGAACACGTAGTCAAATCGAATAAGATCGAATCATATGTGAGTAAAAGAAGGCGAGGGTGTCAATAAAACCCCTGAAATAATGGCTGATCAGGCGTATATCTCTTCAATGTCAGTTACCACCCAAATTTCTGATTCAGTTCCCAGTTGACCAAGAGGTGGTGAAGTCAGCCGCATGTGATTTCCATAAATATAAGACTCTGATATGCACTAAATTGTACTTCTGCCCTCTGATGGTGAACGTTGAACTAATAACATCAGCCCATGTTAAACAACCACACCTATGCTGAGATGCTGATGCCTAAAAACAAATTTTGACCCCATCTGAGTTGCAGAGGAACTCGCTGCCTCAACTGGTGGTGCCAAATCACTTCTGAAGAATGGGAAACCCAAGATAAGGAATATATGAAATAGTTTCAGAACTAGACAGGAGGGAGGCACACATGCATCAGCGATCCATCACAGATGGAAGCAACAAACTTACTCAGTGGTCGAGAATAGCAAGTGACCCTCATAACTAGTCATCACAACGAATCCTATGGCCACACTGCAAGGGAAGAAATTTTCATATGTGGCTACTTGTCGATACCCCACAGTGAATCTGAGTTACTGAGGGTAGCACAGGAATCGAACGACCCTAAAAGTCAATGATTACTCTTCGTTGATCTCCAGAAGCTTGATCGTACTCCAAAGACAATGTTGAAAGTAAAGTATTTTAGAAGTCAACAATTAAACACACATTTAACGACTTCATTTCTGCAGAATCATAGATCAATACCAGAGTTTTATTATAGACAAAAGGCAGGGATAGTTGGATGGTAGTACTCTGTTAGATGTTGGGCCGAGAACACCATTGACGGGACCACGCAGATTTCGCGAGAAAATACTATCTCGTGAGTCAAAGTGAGTGCACAAACGTATTTGTTCTAGCCAGGCTAGCTAAGGGAAATCTATTCACCCAAAATACACTCGTAGCCCACTGAGGCGGAAATCGATGCTCCAGGAGAATATTCACCCGCTGTTACACCTCTTGCGGTCGGTCATGAACATTTACCGGTAATGGTACACTTGAAGCCTGTCCCGAGACGGGAAATCTTTTAATCATCAAGGAGAGGTAGGGAAGACAGACGAAGGTAATCTTTGATTATGCTGTGTGTCGCCGCTGATAGTGATATCCTGCTGACTGATTAGGACCTGTTCGGTAAACAGCTGTGGACCCGAACTAAATAACATACAGGCTAAATTATGTTGGCTGCACAAGGAAAGTGTATCTCAATCACTAAGTGTCACCCTGAACCCAACCAAGGTATCAGGACGAGTATTATTGCTATCGCAAACGCAGGTTATCAACCGATCTTCATAGATTAAGGTAGAAGCCGGTAGACCGTGGGTCATTCAAAACGTATATCCCTGAGCACAGGATGGGATCGGAACAACGTATGCGGGCATATATCACATTCCAGAACTGGTTCCAGTGATGCAGATTAGGGGCACCTGTGAGACACGCGACAGTGGTGACAGACGGCCGCACAGCTGGAGTTGGGTGAGGTCGTAGCAGCCGGTGGCTTCAGGCTACCTTGTTCACCACGCTAATCTACGCCCGTTACACTAAGAATAATGGTAATAAAGTGCGGAAGCCCTGACATCCAGAACGACGATTTTCGGGCGTGGTGTACATATAAAAACAATATGAACAGCAGCATATGATGCCGAAGGAGTAAACCAAAAGCCATACCGCTTTAACACCAAAACGTTACTCGACTATCCTCATCCTGGGTCATTTTTGAGCTGTGCAGATTTGACCCTAACGATAACAAAGCATCCCGAAAATTCAAAAACAACTAGCTCCTGTGGAACTGGTCATCATGCGGAGCGCCATAGTGGAGCAAATAAGGTACAACTCGAGAACACTGAGTGAAATAACTACTTAGTGGGGGAAACTGGTAAGTGTCTTCCTAGCAACATTAGAAGCCTCAGAAGCGAGATGACTAAACTCAGCGCCATATTCTCACATTTTTGACTGTCAGTGGTCATTCTGACAGATACATGGGTAAAACTGAGGTCTGACCACTGATGGAATGATAACACACAGGGCAGAAATGGAAGGGGTAGAGGTGTTGCGGTGTTCACAAGCAGCACATTTGGTCAGACCTTTCCGCCGAAGCAACAGTGGCCGAACACCCTGAGTCGATCTTGCATTGCCTGACTGCAAGTAACACCACGTTCCTGATTACAAGCACTTACCTATCGTTGACATAGGGGTAAAACACAAACCAAAAACGATGGAAGCCATCTTTATGGCCTTACCATAGGATATGCTCAGTTAATTATCGCTGGCGTCTTGAGTCAGCATAGTCAACGACCACAATTACAGAGGATCCTTAGATACAGAGCTTTTGAGTGATGTCCTGATGACTATATTGAGTGAAACCCTTAGGAATGGCATCCCCTGCGGGCAAGATGGTAAACCAACATTAGTAGTCCACCCTACAAGAGTGAACCAAGTGCCAATGAACCATGAACATTTAGAACCACCGGGACTCAAGAAAGACGAAGCAGTCATACCGTTTGACTGTTATCCAAGAAACATTGTCCAGAAGTGACTTTCTTACTCTAAGTTGCAATGATAAAGTCAGTCTTTAGGTGACGTAAGGAACTGTGGAGTCGGCGCCTTAGTGCAAGGCTATCACTGTCTGACCATGGACGATAGTTAGGGGTGGGTAAAGTCAGTTTTCCAATATCTAAGATACACAACCGATTTAAAGGTCTAGTGTTAACCAAATTGACTTCTTTGCCTCCTCTTCTTCGTTGTAAAGCAAAGGTTCCTGGTCTTCGGTAAACTTCTGCACAGTTTGTCCCACCACTCCACCACCCTAGCTTTGGTTGACTGAAAGAACAGCGGTAAGAGAATTAGCCACATATGGTTTTTAGTGTGCAGTATGTTAAGACCGTATTGCTACGGTGAATGGGGTTCATCCCTTCACCCAGTAGTCATCCGGTGTGATTGAGAAGAAGGATAATAATAAAAATAAGAGTTGTGATTAGTGTACGCTAAGTAGACTTGAGAAAAGTCACAACCTTGATCCTTTTGAAAACTGTGGCGCTCCTAAAAGAACTCACTAGATGAAAAGATGCACCAAGTGTCTCCTTCAGAACAAGATAAGGACTTGGGGCAATTTCCAAAGAAAAAGCCAGACCACGAGGATTCAGTGCACCATAAAAGTTTGTGAGGAGCGATTTATCCATGCCTATATAATTGGCATGAGCCTGCATAGACAGGAATAAACATGTTATTACTCCAAACTTATTCAGGAAACTGCAGACTAGTCCTAAGAACCAGTATCGATAAATGGTCCTGGCAGAGAACTAGTTAACGTGTGTGCTTAGAGACTAGAGGGGTTAACTTCTGAGTGATATGGTAAAAGCTTTAGCCTTTAATGAGAACATTGGAAAGACAGCTGAACAACAATGACACTAGTGGAAACACACAGTGTATTCTGATATGGCGAAGAGCAACACTCTTCAAATAACTCCTAGCGTGGTTCTGGAAAAGCAAAATGATTTGTTTATAAAAATACCCATTATGCTGAGTCATCAGAGCAGCAGGTCTCAAGCAGTGTCCTGAAGCTTTATGTGTTTGTTAGGACGAACAACCTATCTCTATCAACCGTGAAGTTATGATTTATACATGCACTGACATGACAGCCTGACTGAGTAGTTTCTGGTTGGTTTATTTATAGCCTGAATTCCTGGGGCTTTGTAGACTATATGTACCATGTATTTCGACTAATAAAACGTCGTTGTTGTTGCAGTTTAATCTGACTTTTGCGACTATCTCAGTGTGTGCGAATATTTTCAGGCAATCAGTTGGTTGAAATGTTGTGTCTGGAGGCGCATTATAACCAGGTTAAACGGCAACCACAAATTAGTAGCTGTGCGTTATAACGGTGTTGTACTAAGTAAGTTGTGTAAATACTCTGGACGGATATCATCCTTCGAGGAAGTAGGCTATACTGTCACCCATTTTAAAGGAGGGTCCGGATAAAACTCGGCAGTTTAATTACCAACATTAGTAGAAATCTGGATAACCAAATCAGGAAATATCGGGACCAGAACAGTATCTCGCTCAAAGCTTAGTACGGACTCAAGAGGGCGCAATCCGTGCCATCAATTTACTGTTAGTTTTAAACGACTGAACATTATGCTAAAAAAATAATATTCCATTCCGCGACTAGTACTTGAACCTCACTAAAGCATTCGACTCAGTGTCCCGTGAAATGCTAGTGTGGGAAGCGTAAAACTGAAATTGGTAATCCACTGCCATATTGGACTACAGCTTACCTGGGGGCAGTGACTTTGTACGAAGGCACACCCAGTACACTTAACTGAGAGAAAGGCAATCACTGGAGTATGTTAACAAACAACTCTACGTACATTCATACTCTTCATAAACTACCTCCCTAACACTTCAAGCTATGAAGAGTGGTAGAAAGCATCGAAGATCTAGGCAACCTGAACAACTGAGCAGCGGAAAATGGATTAGCCTTCAACATTAACAGATGTCGAGAAATATT